GCCTTTACACATGTATAACAAAACAAAAATGCCATATCGGCTGAGATTGGTGTAAGTACAAATATCGATGTGCCAATAATACTGTCAACTGTACAAGCGTAAACACGTCAGGGTGGATAGTTCAGTTACATATGCCAGTACGCTGATCTAGCTCACCACAGTAAGCAAAATAAGCTGCTGAAGTTGGAGGCAAACAGCCAGGAGGGCACCTCAATAATCAGATGCACAAACTATAGGTTTGCTGAGCGAATTATCAAAGACAGTGAAGTTCACAGTAGAGACAACACTGCAGATATAGATAATCTATTTTGGGCGAAGAAAAAAAAGAAGAAGAAGAAAAAGAACAGTAAATGATGGCTGATGAGATCAAGATTCCACCAGCTGCCTTTACTTTCCAGAGCATTGCCTGGTACTCATTTGGTCAACCTGGGAGCAAATGTCAATTATTTAGGAAAAACATATGTCTCAAAACAGATTTGAACCCTAGGTCTTTGGGCCAGCAGGCTAGCATCCATACCACCCTGGCTCCCTGATGGAATACTGCCATGGTAAAGCAATTTAACTGCTAAATCAGCACTGCTGTATTAAAAAGAAACACAGTGAATGACTGAAACAACAACTACTCAAATATAAACATTGATCTATTGGTTCCTGTTCACAGTAGAAGAAAAAAAATGGTGACATTATCACAAATGTGGAACATAGAGAAATAACTAAATAAATTTCAGTGAATCAAGACATGAGGAAAAAATGGGTGCTGCATTTAGAAATCTAGACAATAGTTTAACTAGAATGCTCTTTATTGGAATCCACAAGATATAACAGATGGAGGAGACATACAACTAAATGAGTATTATCACTTACAGTACCAAAAGATCTCACAGGAAATGCCAAAGTAAAGAAATAATCATCATGAAAAAAATCATAAATGCATTACTTTCAAAGTGGCAATATGCATACTAGTAGTGACCATTAGAAAAACCAGATTTCTTGAATATGCTCTGACCAAATGTTAGAAGTAAGAGAGCACATAATGCTATGGAGAGAAATCAAGGGTAGAGTCATTCATACATCAGACATTGCTTGGCACTTGAAGAGTTAAAGATAAAAACTCATAATATGGAGAGGTCATGGATGAAGAAAACAACATACCCATTGAAAGGATGCACAGCGATGGCTCTGGGTCGTCTGATTCCTTCCTTCAGTAAAGTTCTCTGGCTGGTTCCATTCAACTCTGAGACACTAATGGCTGACTTCTGTCCATCAACCCAGTACAGCTTTCTAAATGAAGATGAAATGTCTTCTGTATGAATGTTATACACTTCTCCTTCACTGACAACCTTAGCAACTTACAAACATCAGCACTTACGACCCCGCACACACATACACACATACGCATACGCATGCACACACTCACGCACACAAAAGCAGAAGAGCCTTTGCTTCTACTGCCAACAGCATGACAATGGAGGTCATGGCTGTGACGATTTTTTTAGATTGCATACCCTGTGTGTACCATTTGGAGCCGCGAGACAAAAAAACCATGTGGAAGCCTTCCATCATTACATTAACCAGAACAGAATGGGAGTTGTTAGCCTAAAAACACTTAGTGACTACGTCATTACATCAACCAGAACAGAATGGGAGTTGTTAGCCTAAAAACACTTAGAGACTCCGTCATTACATCAACCAGAACAGAATGGGAGTTGTGAGCCTAAAAACACTTAGAGACTCCGTCATTACATCAACCAGAACAGAATGGGAGTTGTCAGCCTAAAAACACTTAGAGACTCCGTCATGACATCAACCAGAACAGAATGGGAGTTGTTAGCCTAAAAACACTTAGAGACTCCGTCATTACATCAACCAGAACAGAATGGGAGTTGTTAGCCTAAAAACACTTAGAGACTCCGTCATTACATCAACCAGAACAGAATGGGAGTTGTTAGCCTAAAAACACTTAGTGACTCCGTCATTACATCAACCAGAACAGAATGGGAGTTGTCAGCCTAAAAACACTTAGTGACTCCGTCATTACATCAACCAGAACAGAATGGGAGTTGTGAGCCTAAAAACACTTAGTGACTCCGTCATTACATCAACCAGAACAGAATGGGAGTTGTTAGCCTAAAAACACTTAGAGACATACTCAGGAGGAGACAGCAGCACTTATGGTCATGTCTGATGTGCGATGAAGACGATTTCTAAAAGAACAATGAAACAATGGTAGGGTCAAAATTTCTGTACAATAAATGAAAATATTGTTGATACATATAAATTCAACCTATGACCCGTTAGTCAGAATGGAACTCTGTCGTAATGTGGTAAACATAGTCTAGATTTATGAGATTTTAAAATCAATTATCATGAACAATCAGATTGCTACTGGTACTATTAGAGTTATAGCTGCGCTGGCTGCTTAACTCTTTCAGTCCAAATGAATGCATCATGCACCTATTATATGTTTCTCTCTACCACCCTGAGTGCCTCTGATGCTAAACCCACAGGACCAAAAGAGTTCAGATAGGGATGGAATGCCTATTGGAATATCCTGGGTGCTGTGCCCTCACTTCTGAACTCAGTTCAAATCAACTACAATTAATTATTTCAATGACATAATTATTCGGCATCAAGAACAATGGCTGACAGGAAGTTCCCTATTCTTCTCGCATCTTAGCTATGCTAAATATTCATGCATGATAAGCAGCTTAGGACCACACAGAATTAGTACAACACTTTGACAATGCCACATTATCAATCTAGACTCTCACCTGCCAATCCAGTCCACAGAGATTCCCTCCACGCTGGGCACGTTATCTTTGCTAACCACCTTTTGGTCTGTTCCGTTGAGGAAAATACTGTAGATCTTGTGTTGTTTGACATCCGTGAAATAAATTAAATCATTGGCTATGTCAAAATCAAGGGAAACAATATTTTCAAACCCCTGAGCAATGCGACGATGGTTGTCTCCGTCTATTGAAATCTCACGGAGATAATAACGGTTGGTGAAAATAAGCCATGGTGTTATTTCTGCAAATTGAAGAAAAAAAATATTTTGTTTTTGCTTATTTTGAATTTCACAATACTTGAAGGCAATATTTGATAAAATAAAACATTTGAAATCACAATTTGTGAAGGCATTTTATATTTATAAGCAGAGAATACTGAAAAATGGTGGTGGGTATAATGATTTCATATCATTAACTTTCCGTCCTTTTTAGGATGACATTTTTCGTTATTTGAAGCCCTACTCTGGCTCTTGCCAGAGGCCGCAATATAGCCAGGCCACAAATATGGTCTAAAGGCTGAACGCGGTTTCTGGGACCTCTCCACGGTGACCCTCATCCACATTTTGGCACTTTGTGTCATCGGGTGTTTATTGCTTGTGTGATGTCCCGGTGGGGAAGAAAGTCAGTCAGTCAGTTAATGATTTCATCCAGCATTTTAAATTTGTCACAACTGTACATGCTCCTGTTGTTAAACCAGAACATAGTATGATTAGTCATTTTGCAAAAAGATGAAAAGCAATGTGGGATAACCCAGTACAATGATGTTGATCCTCTTTACTTTTTATATACGTCTGTGTGTGTTCAAACAATTTTTTTAATTTGTCTATCTATATGTACATTGTGCTGCATAGAGTGTGAGATGGATTGTCTGTGTACATCATGCAAGTATATGTTTATGTCCAATGTGTTGACAAGTTATACTCACTGTCTATCTTCTTACAGGTCTTCTGATCATCCTCCTTGTGATAACCTTGAGAACACTTGCAAACAAAGCCTCCCTCTGTGTTCTCACATTTCTGAGAGCAGACTCCCACTTGATCTGTGCACTCATCAATGTCTGTGGATACCAGGGCATGAATTTCAGCAACCACATACAAAATACTTATACACAATACACGACAGATAAGTATCAAATGTAAGGTAAATAGATCATTAAACCTATAACAATACAAGTGAAAAACTTGGGATAATGATGCAGTAGTAGTAGTAGTAGTTGTTTAAACAACAGTATCTTTTTCAACCCTTCTGGGTTTTAAACGGGAATATAATGAGTTTTTCTATTTCAATATTGGATACTTATGCTTGTCAATTACTTTAAGTTATTTAATATTGCACAGATTATGTATTAATTGCAACATGTAGGAATATAGACTGTTAAATTTTTTCAACTGTAAGCTCTTGAACTATTTTTTATGTATCGTTCTTTTCAGCGCTACTAGAAAGTTTGTGGTGAGTACCGACATCTTTTAAAGATACTTTCTGGTGAGTACCAGCACTTGAATTGTTAAAAAAAAAAAAAAAATCCCTTGTGATAATCATATTTTGCAATCTATCTCTGTAAATACTGACAATGATCTGGGATACCATCATTCTGTTTTATGATTTATTATCCTCTCATAAGCAAATTGGGATCAGCAAGGTATAGCAGCTAGATGCTCGCCTGCGAATCATAAGCAGCAAACTTTATGGAGATCCAAGAACATTTCATGTAAAGCTAAGATTCGATTGCTCAGAGCACTAGCTATTAGTACATTTACACATGGCTGTGAAACGTGGACATTAACAGCTGAACTTGAAAGAAAGATACAAGCATTAGAAATGCGATGTTTCAGAAAGATTCTTGTGTATATAATACAGAGACCACATTACAAACGAAGAGGTTTGCCATAAAATTATACAGCACATTGGCAACTATGAACCTTTTTTTAACTACAGTGAAAAGGTGAAAAATACAATGGTATGGACATTTAATAAGATCTAACGGCCTCTCAGTAGAGGGAAAGAGGAGAAGAGGCAGACAAAGAAAGACCTGGTTACAGAACCTGACTGACTGGACAGACCTCAGGCATGCAACCATGAAGTCCATCGCAACTGACCACCCAAGGAGGAGAGAGATGATCAGACAGTCAACAGAAATTGGTGACCTAACGACACGTAGTCTTACGGGATGATGATGATGATCTTCATAAAAATATTCAAAGTATAACAGACCTCTGCAAGCTCGTCGGTCAGTCATCAGTTGAAATCCCTCATTGCACTCACATCTGAAACTTGTCAATGTGTCAATGCAGGTGTGCTGGCACTGGTTGATTCTTACACTTTGGCATTCATTAATATCTGGACATAAGAGATCAGACTGATTAAATGACTGATTCATTTACTGAATGATTGACTGCTTTTTATTCAGTTAATTGATTGACTGACTTAATGAGATTCGAGTTGTTAAGAACCGACATCATAACACTCTGACATACAAATAAGTCTCCAACCCTTCTTGCCTTCAGCCTGAGGGTTGAATGTCGGCCAGACCTCCTGGTCCCTCAGTTGAGTTGAGTCAAGAAATGACATCACAGAACTCTGGCATTCCGATGTGTGCTCCAGTTTCAGTGATACCAATAGCAGTATGATTGTATATCCATCTCACTTTTCCCCTGAATGCAGATAGTTAACCCAAACCTCTGGTCACTCCTCGCACTACAATTCTCTTCAGAGCATGATGATCCATCTGTGCTTCTGCACAGTTCACTCGCCCCAAAAGGCCCTTACAACGTCTAGCTTGTCATGTATCAATTCACTTTAGCTCCCAGGTTGACCTAGCCTTGATTGGGTACCATGTGCATTCCTGGGAAGTAAAGGTGGCCGGCGTGATGCTGACCACATCACACATCTTGTGCCGACTGGTCTATAAAATATAGGTCTAGCCCTATATGCCTAAAGGTGTGGAAAAGGGTCGTCCTATTTACTTTTAATGTTTCAGATGTTTAGTTATATTTCAGAGTATTAACTTCTTTGTATATCTTGCAACATTTTATCATTTCTGATACTTTTAGAAATTTCAAATTTTATTTCTAGTTTTTGAAAGACTTGAAACAATTTCATCCTGAATAATACAAATTTAATCTGTTTTTTTTTCTTCTATAGTTTGCTTAAAAATAACACAAGTTATAAATTTGGTATTTTCTTTTCTGTGAAGAAATTGACATGCTTCTGTATGTGTTTACAACAGAATTTCAAATGTTTCTGTTATTTGTGCCTCAAAACAATTATTGTTTTATTTGTATGTCATTAAAGAACATAAATCAATATCAACAATAAAAGTGTACTTGAGTAAAATCAGAAAAGAAAATATTGGTAAAACTAACGTTGGTCTCCTCAAATCCTGCCCACATACACACTAGCTCACTTCTGATTCGTAGACCTGGAGCGACTCACCTTGGCACAAGGTTACAGGGGTGTTCAGCAATGCTGTTGATATCATGTTTTGTATATTTCAGCAGGCCAGCGCTTTTAACATTCCAAAAACATAACCAAACTGGGTCTAACACAACCCCTCAGAGAGTGCTACAACCTATGTCACAGGCATTATCTTTCTCGAATAAAAATGTAAATGCACGACAATCCAGAAAGAAAACAACAGAGCGGCACACTCGTAACCTGTAGGAAAGTAGACCAGCCCAACAAACTTATGAATGAAACATGTATTACTTTGTTTGAGGAGACTTAAACAAAACCAAAACAAAAAAAAAAAAAAAAAAATGCATAAATATTAAAAGAAATTCAAAATCAAGACAGCTACCAAAATATGCTAACTGGAAAATATAGTGAAACAAAAGTTTGTAATGTTTAAATCTATAACAGAGTGAATATTTCACTTCCAACTTACTGCAGTGTCTCTCATCAGATTCATCTGTACAATCTGGATTTTTGTTACAGACAAACTCATAGCGGATGCACTGTCCATTCTCACATCGGAACTGGTTGCCAGGGCATGTTGGTTCTGGGGTTACTGAAACAGACAGACCCCCCAAAAATTAGGAATAATACATCAGGTTGGAAAAGGAGGGTGAAAATATCATGGAAATGTGGTGATGGCGGTAACTGTGAGAAAGTTAAAACACCAGACTGTCATGTGTTTAATGCATTGTCATAATGTGAAGGTGATGTGTGAAGATCAAATCATCAAAACTATTTTATGTTTAATATTCTGTCAGAAGTGGCTTTTTGTTGAGAGCTGCCATGTTTTGTAATGTCTAAAGCAGCATTTCGCAGCATGGGGCCCATGCCCCACAGGGGTGCAGGTTGATTGTTAAGGGGGGCAATTTGAAAATGAACACATCCAGAGTTTAAGTTACACAAGTGGCATCAGAGTTTCGGAAAGCCTTAAGTGGGGCATGGCACACACACAAAACACACACACAAAGGTTGGGAAACACATGGCTGGATGCTCTCTTGTAGGCCTGAATGTCATATATTCAAATCTGCACCGAGCCAGATTTTTGGTTCCCAGGTTGACCCGGCCTTAAGTGGGTATTAGGTAAAGTAGGTAAAATCCTGGGAAATAAAGGTGGCCAGCATGATGTTGACCACATCACCCACAGAGTCTATAAAATATAGGATTAGCACTATATACTCAGTATGCCTAAAGTGCAGAAAAGGGTCCTTAACTGGACTTAATTTCCAGTATGCTTAACAGTGTGGAAAATGGTACTTTTGTAATGGCTTGTGATATGTAAAGATGAAATGAACAATATATTTAATATACTGTCAGAAGTGGCCTGTGATATGAAAAGACTGAATCAACACTACTTCCTCATGCATTCTCATGTCTAAGATGTTTCTAATATCTTGTGTTCTTCTACATCCTGATGCTCTCTCTGTCTTTTTAAAACCATGCCTTCCAGTATTGTTTTGTCTAAACTACTTCATAGATAATCATTCAGCCTGGCTCACTAGCGCAGTTGGTTTAACCTGACTGCCCGGCAACTGGGTGACAAACTCTTTGTGGTCCGGGTTCACGCCAGAGGTAGGCAAAAAAGCCACATACCTCCCAGATTTATGGTATCTTTTGAGCCAAAGGGTTTACAATTCATGGTTTCTGGCATAAAAAAAAAAATAATAATCATTCTACAGGACACAGAGCAAATAGCCAACATGGTGATTTTCCCATATGGGTTCTGGGGTTCCAATTGTGGTTGAAAAAAGACCCCACTGCACCTCCCTCAATAAATATGTCGTAAAAGGTGACAAACTGGAAGTGTTCAGAAGGCAGAGATACTGCAGCCTTGCTGTAAACCACGACCACAGCATAACATGCCACCCTTACAGGGTAAACACATAAGAAACAAGCTGGTAATTAGAGCTCTTGTTGGAGAACTACTTACAACACAAGGATTCTTTCTCATCAGAACCATCTCCACAATCATTGTCTCCGTCACAAACCCAGGTCTTGGGGACACAGCGCTGGTTGTCACATGTGATTTGGTCAGGACTGCAGGTTCTGTAATCTTTAGCAGAATTCAACAAATTGCCATTGATGCAGTTAATGAGATAAACTGTACTACTAGTAAAAAGTACAACTAAAACTTAAGTAATACAGCCAGTCAGTAGAATGTCCTTTAACAATCAGTTGGAAAACTTCTCAATCAGTAGCAAGATGTCCTGCATCTGATACACCCATCTTGAGATCATCCACCACATCCTGCACGCATCTTCTCTTTGGCCTTCCTCTTCCTCTCTTCCCAGGCACACACCCCTCCATTATTGTTTTCTCAGCTGTGTACCCACTCCTGGGGTACCAAAGAAATGCAGGTCAGTTGAATTCCTAGTCCGCTAAATATAAGGCAGAATGGTCTGAATTTAAATATTTAGGAAGTATACTCTCAGAGAATGAGAGAATATATTTAGAAATAGCAACAAGATGCCAACAAGTGAGTGCATGTATATAACAACTGACACCAATATTAAGACACCTAAACATAAGCAAGGACCACCAAGAAACGATTATAAACATACCAGTGCATTATCAAAGGTTCATCTACGTAAAGTTAACACATATGAAATGAGATTCCTCAGAAAAGCTGCCAACATAACTATCTGAGACAAAGTTAGAAATGATATTATCAGACAGACTGTGCGAACAACACGATGCAGCAAATTCACTGAGAAACAGAAGATGAAATGGTTTGGTCAACTAGTAAGAATGCAGCCAGAACAACTACCAACACAGGCACTACCCATGAAAGATCTGATGTGAAAGCAAGAGGTCGCCCTAGCAGAAAATGGACTGATGATATTAAAGAGCTTCTTCATCGACACGGAATGACAATAGCTGCTGCTGCCCATCAAGCAATGGATTGCAAACTGTGGCACCTAACGGCAGAAGTAAAAAGTGATGATGACGATGATGACCAGCAGAAAGTGAGCAGGAGTTACAAAAACCATGTGGAGTAAGTAAGAAGATAAAATCAGAGTATAGATAAGATATTAATTAAAAAACAAAAAAACTAATAATTAACAATGAAAGAGAGACCTAACAGTGAAAATCAGTATACAGAGAGAGAGATTAAAATAAGTAATGTACTTTTCTTATATTGGATGTGTAATAAAGATTACTGCAGAAGTGAAATAGAAATCTAAAAAAGAAGAAGGATGGCCACAAATGTTTTCATTATCTGCAAACTACCCAAATCTGGGGGGGGGGGGGGGGGGGGGGGGGGGGGGGGAAGAGAGGACAAAGCAATACAATAAAAATGAGAATGGTCACATTTTATATATATTCAACACTACTATTTGGAGTGGCCCCAGGCACAGACTCACTCTGGGACCTACATGTCTTTTAACTGGTAAGGTGGCTCTATCATGTATACAGTACTGTTTCATATGCTGTCTTTCATCTCTTAACCCTCTAGCTATGGTGATTTACGAAAACTAAGCCAGTGACTTGTGTTCAGGAATTCCCAGAAAAAATACTTTAAAAAAAAAAAAGCAACAATTTTTTAAAAGTCACACATACAACCCTAACAATTCAATTCACGAAACAAAACATTATTAGATTTCCATATAGAATAAGAGGAGCAATCAGTAAACATAAATCAGCATAGAATTAACCAGATTACATCTCCGAGCCTGAAAAAATATATTCTGACTTATCCTTGACCCCGTGGTCCGCTGCCTGGATACTGTTTATTTTCATAAGAAAAGCCAAACTAAATGATATTTTTAACAAATATATCATTCTCAGTCATTCTAAACATTTGTGCAGGTGCAAACGATACCAGTGCTATTAGCTAGGCTTCTCATGAACAAACCACTATAGTAAACTGGCTAAAGCAACATTTACAGGGGATTGGATCCAGTCAGAAATATCAAGTCTGCAACTTCTTAAGGTGAAAAGGTTAAGAGAAAATAGGCAACCAGTTCACAAGCCCTTTGTGGATATTTTCACGGCTGGTGGGGTTATAATGCTTGAGTTTTCTCCAGGATTAAGCTGCCCGTGACACCCATGATGTCTTTTCAACTTGAAGTTTTTGAGGAGCTTGTGTATTCCAATGACCTGAAGATCCATGTTGATAGAGGCATGGTTATTGGTTATGTATTTTGTGTCAGACAGGTAGAGGGATTTAAACCAAACCTTCTTCTTCTTCTCTTCCACCTTGTACCTCAATGAAGTGTTGGGGAGAGATGTAACACTCATTGATGATCTCTGACAAAAGCACTGTTGAGATTGATGTTCATTTCTGTAAAGCTGTTCTTCATGCCATATTTTCCAAGGTCTTCCCCTCCCTCTATACTCGTAACATTTTGGTGTGGCTCACTGTGGGAGATAGTACCAGGGCATTCTTGTTAAGGTGTTCAAACCACTTCATTTGTTGTTTCCTTGATGACCTGAAGGACTGGCTTTATTCCTAGCAATCATCTGATTTCGTGATTTCGTATTCTGTCTTTCCTTGAAACTCCTGCAGCTCTTCTAAGGTATTTTATCTCTGTTGTCACAATTCTACGTTCATTAGAAGATGTAAGTGTCCACGTTTGGCACTGATAATACAGTGCTGGCCGAAAAATAGTTCCGATAAGGTTCACTTTAGCACTCCAGGGTATCTGCTTGTGTGTCAACAGGGAAGACAGCTGCCCCGTTACTTGATGTTCTTTGGCAAACCTCGAGCTAATTTCTCTGTCCATTTTTCCATCAGACGTGACAATTACTACCAAATACTAGAATTCCTCTGTCTTTTGACGCTGTTTTTTTTTAAATTTTATTTCTAAATTGTCTTTCTGTCTTCCAGTCACCATCATCTCTGTCTTTGTAGTGTTTATTCTCATATAATATTCCTCTCCTTTGTTACGGATATGATTTAGGTGGAGAACATCACACTGCTATTTACATTCCCTAAAGGCCCCGTAATGCATGAATAAAACCATTTTTAACCACCAATTTTATTAAATTATTCAAAAGCTTAATAAGATATATGGTGTTACATTTAGAAACATAAAACTTACGGCAGTCATTTGGCTCATCTGAGAAATCTCCACAGTCATTGTCATGATCACACTTAAATCTTGCAGAAATACAGATTCCATTGGTACACTGGGTATACAGAAACATCAATAACTGATATTTTAAAATGCTGCAGAATTTTGATATCAAAAGCTACATAAATTTTTACATAAACGAAAAATTTTTTTTTGTTTTCTATAAACACATACATAATTAGTAAACAGTGATTGGACACATTTATATATATATATATATATATATATATATTTATACAGTAAGAAAACAGTGATTGGACACCATTTAACATATCTATAAAATATAATCCTCAAATGCAGCCAAAATTATTACCAATTAACCACTCAACCAAAAAAATAAAACAAAAATGCATGTTCATGAAAACAAAAATGCAAGTGCATGAATGAATAAAACTAATTTCAAACATTCTTACCTCCAGTAACTGATTAGCACAGTAAACGTGATTACCAAAAACTTTATTTTTTCTAGTTTTGTTTCATGAGTGGCTTAGGTGTTGCAAACACGCTACATATTTCTGAGGTGCTGGGTTTGATCTCAGCTGTGGGCGATTTGGCAGTTGACTGCCTTGCGTTGGTTTTGACAGTGATATTGAGAGCCAACATGTTAGAAAGCAATGGCAAACTAATAAACATAAACATTGCCTAGAGTAATCCCAGCCATAAAATCTGGGCTTGGTTCTGCATCATCCTGTAAAGAATATGCAACTAACTTGTTTGTTTCTTCAGACATAGTGTAATGCTCTGTTCTGCTATTTACATAAACATCAACCCTACCAGACCTGAGGCCTGACCTAACTGTTCCCTATACCTGAGCTCCTGGGCATTATGGTGAAAAAACCAACATGACATACAAAAATATTTGTAACATGCAAAGAAGTGGCTAGAATAAGATGAAACCTGGAGACATTGTAGAAAATAGGCTTATCTTTTATCTAGCGCCAATATTCCAACTTTGTATGCCAATCCACTCAGGAGGATCAAGATTATTTCACAAAGTGAGCATCAGATGTTGCTGTTTGAGACGGCCCCTTCTCTTACTACCGATCTATTCCTAGATTTATAATTTTCAAGATTCTTCTCATTATTCGAGTTGGATGTGTCACTTCAACTGTTAACGTATTCTTCATGTAAATTATGACTCCACAGAGTCTGAATAAAGCAAAGTATCGATCACTTTGGACTGTGAAAAGACTAGACCTACTTTACTTTCCTGTCAAAGTGCTTGGTTCATCAGCCGCTCCTTTTATTGTGAATTTTCAGAATTTTTTCATGTAAGACAACAAATTTTATCCAAACATATGAGGGCGGACATCTAGGAAGACTATTCACGAGGTCTGATTACGATTGGCTAGTTATTTTTAGTTTGTGACGCATCTTTTTCACGCACTACGCAAATAGCCAAAAATTAGGGCCAGCGGTATAGCGTCAAGTTAAGAAATTCTTGAAAAATCGGGCCAGCGATCTGGTAGCATTAACAATTTATGTAAAATAAATGACCATTATAGCCACATTAAAAAATAAGTGTGTATCTAAATATTCAGAGCTTTTCACAACAAACAGATGACACAAGATATCAATAATAAACCATTCTAGCTTATGAAATCTTGACCACTGTTAACAACCTCATAAAACAAGAAAAAAATCTGACCAATTCTAACATATAAATAGCATATTTTCCAAGTATAGAGATGGCTACATTTGTAAAACTGGATTGGGAAATATCAACAGATCTAACTCAAGTGCAATTATAAGTCAATGTACTATCACATGTTGCAGCAAGAGTCAGTTTTAAAAAAGTCCCTGGAAATTGTTGCAGAAAAATAGCAATTCTCTGGGACTAAAGTGTTCAATTACAAAAACAAAAAAAAGCTACAAACATTTATAGTTTAAAATAGAATAAAGGATAGAATTAATAACAGTTTAAGACCAACACAGTACACAAGATTAAAAAGCTTTTTTTGTATTTAAAAATTAACTGACCAACACATGCTGTTCCTTGGTGTAGACACAGGGTTTAGGCTTGATTTTATTACATAATTTACTACATTTGTGTAACCTGAAAGAACTTATCAAACATTCCCACCTGGAATTGGTTAGTCATGCATGTTCTAGGGGGACAGGTCTGCATCTCATCTTCTCCACTGCGACAGTTCCTGACTCCATCACACACTCGAGACATGGGGATGCAAGGGTAGGTGCTGTGTTGTTTATTGGACTCACAAGTGAATGTGTCAGGTGGACAAGTGCGCTCATCTGAGAAAGTACAGAGAAATGCTTCCAGTAATTATGGAAGAAAACTTCTTCTTTTTTCTTCTTCTGTCCTACTGTCTATGCCATAAAGCATCATAGAGAAGAGTTAAGTGTAGTTTCTTGCCTTATGCTAGCTGCACAACTTGTGTTAATGTCATATTCTTCTCTTCTTCTGCCTTTCTATCCCCCAATGGAGCATAGGCCCTCAACCAACTCACGCCAAGTCGTTCTATCCTTCGCCATTACATGGAGCTCTCCCCATGTCCTCCCAGTCTTTCTAACCTCATTTTCCAGCTCTCTTCTCCATGTGTTTTTTGGCCTTCCTTTATTCCTATGCCCCTGTGGGTTCCAATGCAAAGACATTCTAGTTATGCTGTTCTCCTGTTTTCTCAGTGTGTGCCCTATCCAACGCCAGCGTCTTTTCCTCACCTCCTGATCCACTGGAGCCTGTTTAGTTCTCTCCCAAAGTTCTACATTAGTTATTCTATCATACCATTTTATTCCCTCTATTCTGCGCAGGCACCAGTTAATGAATGTCTGTAATTTATTAGTAATTGCCTTCGTTGTTCTCCATGTTTTCCGCCCCATACAATAGTACTGATTTGACATTAGAATTAAAAATTTTTAGTTTAGTATTTCTTTTAATTTCTTTTGACCTCCACAAATTCCCTAGTGCTATGAAAGCCCCTCTTGCCTTTTGTATTCTTATTTTAATATCTCTATCAGTTCCTCCATCTTTATCTACATTACTGCCTAAATAGGTGTACGACTCCACGTCTTGGAGTGGGGTGCCATTAAGAGAAACCACATTAATATTTGCCTGATTTATTCTCATTATCTTTGTCTTTCCTTTATGGATTTTCAGACCAAGCTGCTGTGATCTCACATTAAGTATATTTAATTTTTCTTGTATCTGATTCCGTGAATGGGACAGAAGGGCAATATCATCAGCGAAGTCCAGATCATCAAGCTGTTTTGTAGGGGTCCACTGAATTCCATTCTTGGTGTTAGCAGTTACTGTTTTCATAGTCCAGTCTATAGCCAGTAAAAATAGGAGAGGCGACAAAAGACATCCCTGTCGCACACCTGTTTTTATTTCAAATGCATCTGTTAGCTTTCCCTCATGAAGAACTTGACATTTCATGTCTTTATATGTTGCCTTTACTAAGTTGATAATTTTCTGTGGGATTCCATAGTGCCCCATCAATTTCCAGAGAGATTCCCTATCAATGCTGTCAAATGCTTTTTCATAGTCTATAAATCCAATGTAAAGTGGTGAGTTCAGTTCAATGCTTTGCTCTATTATAATACGTAATGTGGCTATCTGATCAGTACAGGATCTGTTTGACCGAAAACCTGCCTGCTCATCTCTTAGCATTTTATCAATAGCATCTTTTAATCTTTCCAAAATAATTCTACTTAATATTTTTCCAGGAACTGGCAGCAACATAATTCCTCTATAGTTTTCACACTCCTGTAGATCACCTTTTTCGGGCAGTTTCACAAGATATCCTTCTCTCCAGTCTGCTGGTATTTCTTCGGTCTCCCAGACTTTACTGAATAATCTATGTAGCAATTCTGTTGATGTGTTTATGTTGGTCCTGATGGCTTCAGCTGGGATACCATCTGGGCCTGACGCCTTTCCTTCCTTGAAAAGATTTATAGCTTTTCTAATTTCCTCTTTGGATGGTATCTCACAGTTGATATCCAGTTCCATTTCTAAAGGCTGGATATCTGGGGGAACCTCTGGGCCTGGTCTATTAAGAAGCATTTCAAAATATTCAACCCATCTGTCCATTTGATCTTTAGTGTTAGTAAGTACCTTTCCTTGACTATTTTTGATTGATCCAGTTGGCTGACTATATTTACCTGCTAATTTTCTTGTGTTACTGTAAAGTTCTCTGAGGTTTCCTTTTGCTGCTGCTGTCTCCGCTTCTTGTGCTAGATCATTTAGATATTTCACTTTATCTGCCCTTATATGCCTCCTAACTTCCTTGTTGGCTTCTGTGTAATTCTCCTGGGCTCTAGCTTTAGCAGCTCTAGTTTTGCTATTGTTTAATTCTGCCTTTTTACTTTTCCTATCTTCGATCAGTTTAATGGTTTCTGGTGTTATCCATGCTTTATGTTTCCTCTCTTTCTTGCCAAGAACTTCTACGCAAGATTCATTCCAGATTCCTTTGATCTGATCCCAGCAGACTTCTGTGTTGATATCTTCAGCTAACTGCTGCAACACCTGGTACTTATTAGAGACCGTAACTGAGAACTGTTCCTTAATTTCTTTATCTCTGAGAAAGCCTACATTATATTGGTTTCTATGATTATAAGATGTTATATATCTTTTTAGTTTCAACTTGATTTTACTTATCACCAGGAAATGGTCAGTAAATACATCGGCACCTCTGAAAGCCCTAACATGGTAAAGGGATGATCTAAACTTTTTGTTAATACATATGTGGTCAATTTGATTAGTTGTCTTATGGTCTGGTGATTCCCATGTTGCCTTGTGTATTCTTTTATGGGGAAAAATACTTCCACCAGTAACATACTGGTTACCTGCACAAAAAATGTGTGAACAATTCTCCATTTTCATTCATTACTCCTAGACCATGTCTCCCCATGATTTCTTCATAACCTGTATTGTCTGATCTTATCTTAGCATTCAAGTCACCCATCAAAATTTTTAAGTTGCCCTTTCTTTCATTATTTATAATATTTTGAAGCTGCATGTAAAATTCTTCCTTAACAGATGCATCTTTATCATGTCATATTGCGTATCTGTAATGTCCCTTTATTTCCTCTACCCATCTTTCTAGGTTGGCTCCTTGACTTGTAGTCTGCTGCTCTCATGTAGTATGCTCTAGCTGCTGGCTGATTTTGTCCCAACTCTGACCAGATGACCAAATCATTTGATTCTTTGATGTTCTACAAAAATCATTTACCAAAACACTCACCAGTTACATTAATCAAATTTAAGGTTAGCTGCAATGAATCTGCAACACACTCTTTTTGTGTGTATATGGAGTTTCCAAAATGATTCTTTCTGTTTATCTCTTGATGTTACCAATACAAGTTCAATGTTGTCTATCTTTTGTTTGAGCTTAACTACTTCAGTCCTAAGGAACATGTGTTATCTGAATTCCAACTACAGCATCATCTGTTTCTATGCTTTTTTGACCTCTGGTCAGAACATAATAAAAAAATATGGCTTCATTGGTGGCCACTTTAACATTTTTAACATTTAAAACAAAATATAGTGCACATATACTTTATAATGGTGATCTGTAGCGAAACCTTCTAAGAATGAATAAGCTAAATGTAACAGAAACATTCTTCACATACAGGTATCAAAACTAATAGAAGTGCTGCTAATTAAAAAGTTTGAACATTGAAGAATACTGCTTATGAATAACAAAGTCTCGGAAACTAAAATATGGCATTACACTTGATCTTGACACCAAAAAAAAAAAAAAAAAAAACATGGAGGTCTGACTGTGAAGAAAGGGAAAAAAAACTGGAAAGAAATGAAGAAACAGAAGAAGAAAGCTAAACAATACTCAGAAGAAAAAAGTGTCTAGCTTGAATATTAAGAATTTAAAAAAGTGTCTATCATTGTCAACAAATACAGATGTGTTTCTAATATTACTTTATGAAACTGCTTGCCAGCTTAATAGTCCTGTTTAAATTCAGTCTGAGGCAGGATTTTTTTCATGTCTTCATAGCTTTGAGGGCGACTCAACCTCGTAACAGAGTATAAATCTAGACTACTGTGATACCGAATACATCGCCAGCTGAGTGGCGCTGGGCCTAGAGAAATGTAGGCCTTATACCATATTTTGATAAGTCATTTTGGCATGGAAAGTTGGTCTTTTACATCAGCTTGTTCAGTTTCATAACATTCTGAAGCAGACATCCATTAATGCTGTAAAATATCTCCCAGTTAAAGCTATCAATTACTGCCTGTATTTATCACTTTTGCTGTGTAGGCAGGGGGGTCTTTGAGCCTAAGGATTTAGGGCTGTATGGCTAGTTGTGTAAAACTTCACCAGAGTCCCACTGGCCAGGATGTTTCAGGGCAACCTAAGATAGTCTTTATGTCTACCATAGCAGCCCTGGTGCACAAAGCCACATGATACTTTACCAAATATTCAAGGGTTTTAGTGGCAAAGTAGCTAATCCAGCTGTCTCATGTAATGACTGTTTTATGTTGATTTTTAGATTCCTTATATTGGTTTGCAAGTACAGGTGTTTTGCATACCTTTGGGGATGGTTGCTGGAGCTACTAATCTCATGATTTACATAACAATAACAATAACAGTTCCATGATAATTCAGTCACTCTACAGACCTCAGAGAGAGAGAGAGAGAGAGAGAGAGAGAGAGAGAGAGAGAGAGAGAGAGAGAGAGAGAGAGAGAGAGAGAGAGAGAGAGAGAGAGAAAGAGAGAAAGAGAGAGAGAAGACAGAGAGAGAGAGAAGGAAAGAAAAAAGAGACAGAAAAAGAAAGAAATAAGAAAGAAATAAAAGAAAGAAAGAAAGAAAGAAAGAAAGAAAGAAAGAAAGAAAGAAAGAAAGAAAGAAAGAAAGAAAGAAAGAAAGAAAGAAAGAAAGAAAGAAAGAAAGAAAGATGAAAGAAAAAGATACAGACATAAAGAGAAGAGATAAAAGAAAGAAAAGAGAGAGAGAAAGAGAGAAAAAGAGAGAGACTGTGCCATATGGAATAACACCCCCTGCAATGATGTCTATCTTCTTCTCTTTTGGATTCTTGGAAAAGAAGCAAATACACATCATATGTTTAGGGTAGGGCTGTACCGAATATTCGCTTCATATTCGCTTCAGGGCCGAATAGTGGACTTAATAACTATTTGGTATTCGGCCGAATACTTGCGGTGGGGCCGAATACGAATAGTGGTTACCTTACACACGTTTTGCATTCACTGCCATGGACTGAAATAACTCTCTCATTAAAACAATAGTTGCTGTTGCCTAAGTTTGTTGTAGCGGGAGAAACTGCGACCCGGTTGCGTGGTACAGAAGCTGGCAAAGTCTTTGCCTGCTGACTCGACCGACGCATTAGAGTAGAAGTTCTCAAACTGGGTGGGGTTCCGCGGCGAAAATCAAGAAAAGTCGGCTATAAATTGTGACATTATTAAAGAAGGCATGAAGATACTTAAAAGTTAAAATTAAAATTGTCTTTCCTAGCCACTGTCGAAAAGAGTTCTTTTTCTTTCTTTCACACTCAAAGTGTTTCATACTGCACAAAATGCCAACCGCAGTGTGCTAAAAATTGTCTTTGTATTTATCTCGAGGTGCGACCGATCCTCCATCTGTATTCGTAAAGTTGCAGTGGATAAGTAAGATTGTGATTACATTTTGGCTGAAATTTTAAAGTGGAAAATCTGGTCTGAACAATAGTCACTGTTAGCCTCATCAAGTAAGCACTTATATTTAAAGGCAATGCGTTGTAAGTCCTGGACAGTCGGTAGGCAGGCCAAACAATTTCTCAGGGCTTCAGAGATGTGGTTTTACAGAACAATGCTTAAAATACTCTGGACAGCCCAAAAAAGCAACCAAGAGGTTTTGAAAGTTGTGGGAGCCCGAAGACAACTAATCACAGCCATCAGAAAGAGACAGTCATCTTTTTCCGGTCATTTTATGAGAAGAGGGAAAATGGAACATGTGGTGACATGTGGATAGAGGAAGACAACGAGAAAAGATTCTTGACAGTCTTGTTGCATGGCATGGAGGTGTGTCAGCAGACGAACTAATACATGCTGCAGGAGATCGCAGATTGTGGCGAGGGATATTCGCAAACGCCAGTGGGCAAGGCACCTGATGATGATGATACACTATTCGTATTCATATTCGGCCGAATAGTTGGTCCCACTATTCATATTCGGCTGAATAGTGAAAATCACTATTCGGTACAGAACTAGTTTAGGGACTGAGTTAACCTTGAGGCAAATGTACATGTTAACATAAAAAGTTAGTTACTTTATATCAGCAATTACCACTTTAACTCATCCCACACTTACTGCAGTTTCTGTCTATAGCTTCATCTGAGTTGTCACCACAGTCATCCTCTGTATCACACACCCATCTCTGAGAAATGCAGCGGCCATTGTCACAGGAAAACTGGTCAGACTGGCACGTGCGATTAAAAGATGCTGAAAAACAAATAACAACACAACAACAATGATACATCCAGATAAATATCTTCTTTATTACTTGTTAATGAAAAATGGTGACATATCGACAATGCAGGTTGGCTGCAGAAGATATTTGCTGTTATTTGGGATTATTACATTGTGAGACCGTTACTATCAGACACATCTTCGGAAAAATTGCTGGCCCAAGATTAACTAAGACACAAAAGATAAAATGTTTTGGGTCTTCTTGTTAGAATTCAGCCAACAACAGGCACTACACATGAAAAGATCTATTATGAAAGCAAGAAGTTATTATAGGAGAATATGGAATATTCTACAGCCTTCACCCCTTCTACAGGTCTCTGAGTCTTCTCCTCAAAAACCCTTTGCTCTATCTGTTTTGTCCAGTCCGCCATTCACTGTGAGGTCAGTGAACTTCTCATGAATCCTGGAGTCTTCACTCATCTTAGTCTGAAACTCCCGTAGGCTGTTGAGCACGTAGTCGCTAAGCAGTCATTTAAGTATTAGTCCATCATTCACTATCATCACCTACAGTCATCCCATAGCCACAGTCATCCCATAGCCACAGTCATCCTATAGCCACAGTCATCCCATAGCCACAGTCATCCCATAGTCACAGTCATCCCATAGTTACAGTCATCCTATAGCCACAGTCATCCCATAGCCAGCCATCCCATAGCCACAGTCATCCCATAGCCAGTCATCCCATAGCCACAGTCATCTCATAGCCACAGTCATCCCATAGTCACAGTCATGCCATAGCTACAGTCATCCCATAGCCACAGTCATCCAATAGTCACAGTCATCCTATAGCCACAGTCATTCCATGGCCACAGTCATTCCATATCCACAGTCATGCCATAGCCACATTCATCCCATAGTCACACAGGCCCTTGAGAGACTACAAAAAGCATACTGAAATGTTCTCTAAAACACCAAAAGACTATAACTGACCACAAATAGTTGCTGACTCATCTTCTCCAAAGCCGCAGTCATCATCACCATCACACTGCCAAGATCCAGGTATACATTTGTGACTCTGAGAACACTGGAAGTCACCTGAAGAAAGACAGAAAACATCAACAAACTATTGAACAGTGTGATTAATTAGTAACAGTTTGCAAAGTTTTCCCTTCCAGATTTTTACTCTGTAGGATTATTGTCTCAAGGATGAGAATCAAAGCTGTAAAATTTCTGGAACTCTGGTAGCCACATAGCAGTTATATTAGGGCACCAGAAAATGATTACAATGTAACCGGTATGCCAAGAGTGAGTGGGTTGTGTGTGTGTGTGTGTGTGTGTGTGTGTGTGTGTGTGTGTGTGTGTATGTGTGCATATGTATGTATGTATGTGTGATGTGTGTGTGTGTGTGTGCATATGTATGCATGTGTGTGTGATGTGTGTGTGTATGTGTGCACATGTATGCATGCACATGTGTGTGTTCCCCCTTCTGGGTTATAATTAGGTTTTACAGAGTTTTTGATTATTTTAAATACTGCATATTTGTGTCTAATATTTTTTGGCTATTTAATATTGCATAAATTATAACACTACTGGGTTAAGTATAACAGATTATAATTGTAATATTCATACTGTGTTATCTGTCTGCAAGTAAACAGTAATTTATAAATAGTAACAAAATAAATAGAAATTGCAGTAAAGAAATATCAGCTTATCAGATATACTCTTTATACTTTGCTAGGACTTATTTTAACTCCAGCCTGTTGTAACCGATCTTTACTTTTTTGTGTGTGTGTGTGGTCTGATAACCCGATAAAAATTATTTACAATATTATTAACAAACCTGTTTTTCTTTTTTTTAACTAGCATTTACAACTCCTGTATCTAGTATGTGGTGTTTTATTATCTTTTTTTTCTTTTTAAAAAATGTGATGAGGGGCTCTGGCCAATACTTGATGCTCATAGGAAAGGCAAGACAGACTTATAATCAGACTCTACTAGCACCATTGCTACCGGAACTCTACACTGGCTGTTAAAGTTGGAGACGGAACACTACATGGGATCACGCTGAGTGCTGTGATGTTGGTTCTCGATTCAAATCAAATCAGATCAAACTGTTCTTTTGTTCTTTGTCAGATACTGTTATATCTGAATTTTGTTTCATTACACTTTTATGTTTTTATATTTTGCTATTATTTTACACCATTTTTATGACTGTTCTGTTAAATTGTCGGTTTTTTGTTTCTGCTGTGGTCTGATACTTTCATACCAGGAGCCGCGGTGGTGTAGTGGCTTCCTTCAGATCGGAAGGTCATGGGTTCTGATCCTGAAGGAGCCAGATTTTAAAAAAAAAATAACCTTGGCTCCTTGGTCGACCCAGCATTGGGTGGGTACCAGTTATAGCCCTGGGAAGTAAAGGCGACTGGCGTGATGTTGACTCCCTCACCCACCAAGTGCTGATTGGTCTATAAAACATAGGTCTAGCTCTATATACCCAATAACCTGAAGTCATGGAGAGAAGTCTTGTACTTTTTACTTTTTTCCCACCCCCCTGTTTTGTTTTTTTTAAACCACAAGATTTTCTTTTCTGTTAAATATACTTATATTCTTTTCTACTTTGTTTGATATGCTTGATTCTTACTGTTATTTCTTCAAAACAAGACCAAAGTTCAGAAGTGAATGAACAGCCAAGACTTTTTACAGCCGATGAATGCAAAGAAGAAAAAGAAGAAGAGTGAATATTTCAGACAAAAATGGATGAGAAAATGGCCCACCGTGGGCTGAAAGAGTTAATGATTTAAAAGATAACTTTACCTGGAGCACAGGAGACCAAGTTGCAGAAGAAAGGATTTTCGTCGCTGTTGTCTCCACAGTCATTATCCCCATCACACATGTAGCGGCGGATGATGCAGATGTTGGTAGTTGGGCATTTTACTTGGTTGGGGGGACAGGTTCGGGGGGCTGGGGAAAGAAGAAGTCACTGAAATGTTTTTAATGTACCCAACATATAAATATATTTCACACATTCTGCTCCTGTATTTTAAACTCTCCACAATATATACCGAAACCTCTTCTTCATGCTCACTGGCTGTAAACTCCAGCAGAAAGATCTTGTTGTTCATCCACCTCTGGATTTTAGTCTTGTTCCAGAACCTAAGTGTTGTGTGCACATCCATTTTACAGAACTGAGGGTCAGATTACAGATACAGATAGTATGCAGATTGTTGGTTTCTTGCCTCTAAGGAAGTTGCACTCTAACAAAGGAAGCCCCCTAGTCAGTCGACTCTTACAAGCTTGTTAGCGAGGTAGTAGGTCTATTCTTGTTTTCTTCTCAATGGGGCAGCAGAACCCACATAAAGAACACACTGATACAAATTTGTTACCATTAAGGGTAAATTAAAAAAAAAAAGTAAAGGACATTTAACACTACTGGTGCACTGGGCAAACTGTGCTTGACCCACATTTGTCTAAACCAGTCAGTGCTCAGTGGGTTATGTGGTCAACAGGCCACCTTTACTTCCCAGATCATTTCATAGTATCCATATCAAATTGGGATGACTTGGGAACCAAGGTCATTGTTCAAAAGATCTTCTTTATTATTGTTAAATTAAAATATAGGTTCCAATCACTGTTCCCAACCAACACACATACACATACTCATATTCACTCTTGTAAGCTTGTTAAGTTCCACATATGTAATTTAATTCCAATGTTTAATTTTTTACCACTTGTGTGCATAATCTCATAATGCAGAAACCATTAATTCTGTGTTATTTCATTCTGTGTGTTTTTCTGACTGTTGCCTAATGTTTGCTGATGAAGGCTTCACTCTACAATGCCCTTTATTTGCTTATGGTAACTGTATTTTTAGAAAGTTGACCATTATTTGATGTTTTTTTTGTCTTTATACCATTGTGCAAAAATACATTACAAGTTAAAGTCAAGAGGAATGATTTCATGGCATTCAATTTCATCATTCATGACGGTATCCCTCCACAGAATTACTAGCCACCCGCTGACAGTGTTGCAAAAAAGCACTCGCTTAGTGGCTGCGGCGATGATCCCCAGGGATCTCCGTAAACATTGCACTCATAAACCAAACAATGGAGCTGGGGAATGAACCCATGACCTTCACAGAGTGAGTCAAATGGCTTGACCACATCACCGTGGATACGCCATTAGCACTTCACAAATTAAATTTAATCACTTCAATTACATGGAAGCTGCCCTGTTGTAGAGATTAAACGCTCGCCTGTGGATTGGAAGGCTGTGTGTTCGGGTCCTGACAGTGCACAGACTGTTTTCAAAAAAGACCTTGGCTCCCAGGTCGACCCAGCCTTGACGGGTACCAGGTACAGTCCTGGGAAGTAAAGGCTGCCGGCATGATGTTGACCATATCACTCACCGAGTGCCAACTGGCATATAAAAACCTATAGGTCCAGCCCTAAATGCTAAATAGTCCTGAATGCATGGAAAAGGGTCCTTTACTTTAACTTTACCATTTTACTTTCAATAAATGGGACAAGAAACATTCACAAGTAAAATGCCCAACTACCTTCACCTACAAATATATTTATCAACTGACAGATATGCAGCTAGATCAGGGGTTCTCAACCTTCCTTATGTCAGGACCCTCTAATACAGTTCCTCATGTGGCAAACCCCCAACCTACAATTATTTTCGTTGCTACTTATAAATTCAGTGACCACATGTTTTCCAATTGTCTTTGTCACCCCCTGTGAAAGGGTCATTTGAACCACAAAGGGTTGTGACCCACAGGTTGAAAACCGCTGAGCTAGATGATCAGACAAGGAAACAGGCAAGACGACAAGCAGACAGACATACCAACAAAAATGAGCCCCTATTTACAACTTTAATCTGGGAATGCTCAGCATGCAGTGATTATGTTTGTCACAACATAACATAACATAACATAACTTACGGCAGTTGAGTTCATCAGTTCTGTTCCCATCTCTACAATTATCAATGCCATTACACTTCTGAGCAGCATCAATACATCTGAAGTTGCTGCAGGTAAACTGTTCAGGGCCACAGGCTGGGTAATCTGTGAATTAACTCTTTCTTTATCAAACAATTAATGTTATTCTAAGCAATCCACTATACAGGTTTTGGAGCCCTTTATTTGGGTATTAGTGACCCACTTTACCATAGCAAGCATCTCATAAGAGTAAACTAATTACTGATACTTCCTTCAAAGTTGGAATACATCTGCCTGAGAGGCAAGGAACTAACATTTTGCACACAAATAAGCCAGATTTGTTTTTAAAAAAAAATGGACGTGCTGGCAAAACTCAAGTTCTGGAACAAAGTAATACAAACAACAACTAGAACTTCCGGCCGGAATTTACAGCTGGTGATCACGAAGAAGAAGATGAAGATTCTAAGCAATGATCCCTTTGCGAACTTCGGTTTCCCAATTCGGGTGGAAAAGAACAGACAGCTTGACAAGCTGTAAAATATTGTAAAGGGCAGCTATTTAAAGGTTTTCTGAAGTTGGATGTGTTGGCCAAAAGGTACAGATATAACATCCTAGCTGTAAAATACAACACAAAATGCCAACCACCTTTTTAAGGGTGAATACAGAAAAAAAAAGAAGACAAAGCAATGTTTTCTTATTGTCAATTTATCTCTCTCTCAGACAACTGTTAGGTTCACTCTTTCAGTCTTAGACTATGTTAGGTTCACTTTTTCAGTCTCAGACTATGTTAGGTTCACTCTTTCAGTCTCAGACTATGTTAGGTTCACTCTTTCAGTTTCAGACGATGTTAGGTTCACTCTTTTTGTCTCAGACTATGTTAGGTTCACTCTTTCAGTCTCAGACTATGAACTATTTCAGTTTCAGACAATGTTAGGTTCACTCTTTCTGTCTCAGACTATGTAAGGATCAACTTTTTCAGTCTTAGACTATGTTAGGTTCACTCTTTCAGTCTCAGACTATGTTAGGTTCACTCTTTTCAGTCTTAGACTATGTTAGGTTCACTCTTCCAGTCTCAGACTATGTTAGGTTCACTCTTTCAGTCTGAGAATAGGTTAGGTTCACTCTTTCTGTCTCAGACTATGTTAGGATAACTTTTTCAGTTTCAGACTATGTTAGGTTCACTCTTTCAGTCTCAGACTATGTTAGGTTTACTCTTTCTTTCTCAGACTATGTTAGGATCACCCTTTCAGTTTCAAACTATGTTAGGATCACTCTTTCAGTCTTAGACTATGTTAGGATCACTTTTCAGTCTTAGACTATGTTAGGTTCACTCTTTCAGTTCCCGAACAACGCATCTTTTGTGACTGAATTTACTCACGTGGAACAATTACCACAATACGAGTATTAGGCTTGTACATTTTATGTTTAGTCAGGGATTGCTTAAAATTCAATAACACACGTCTCCCACAAGGGATGTGTATTTGGGCCCTATGGATTTAGTATACCCATTATTTTGTTGATGTCACAAGTGACACTGCGTCATCAACTATGACCTTGTGGGATAGAAGGAGTTGAAGTTTACATGATTGACAAATTTTTTGCTCAGGGTTACCACGGCCATCGGGCCTCATGCACTCTCCACTTCAAAGGAAGCCCCCTAGTCAGTCAACTCTTACAACAAGCTTGTTGGGGATGTAGTGGGTCTATTCTTGTTTTCTCCACAATGGGGGCCCCAGAATCCACGTGAAGCATACATTTTATTGTAAAAGCTTTATTGATAATTTACATAAGATACTGAAACAAATGCCACACAATAAAGTATGCAAATTATGCCGGTGTGTTGAGAAATGAACAGGCGGACAGACTGGCTGGCTCTGCACAACTTGGTGGAATACTGATACATGATAAGGCAGACATGCTTAGTACCTTGTGGGAGAGCATGTACAGTTCGGGGGAGGAAATGGATCACCACAATCTGGTAAGATTGATGCAGCGGGGAGGGACGAGAGGTTCTGGCAGATGCTCGAGGCTCAGAGGAATGGCAAGACGGATAATTAATCAGAATGCTACTGACACCATAAGTATCGGAACTCTTCGCTGGCTGCTGAAGATGGGGATGGAGCACTTATGGGAATGCCCTGAGTGCTGTGATGTCGGTTCTTGAATCAAATCAAATCAAATTAAATTATGCAATGTAATATTTGTGTCTATTTCAATTCATGACAGGAAAACAGTGTATGTGTGTCTCTTTCTCTCTCTCACACTCACGCACGCACGCACGCACACACACACACACAATTTATTCAAAAGAAAATGAAAATCATTTAAGAAACTGAACTAAACTTATACATACTGCAGCCTTGTTCATCCGAATTATCACGGCAATCATTATCAAAGTCACAGCGGTACCTCAAAGGTATACATCGGCCATTTTGGCAGCTGAAGTACTTGGGGTCACAGGTGTGAAGGGCTGTGAAAAAGCATACAACAAATTCTCAAGAGTTTGCAATATTTATGTATGTCATTGTGACTGCTTAGCATTTACAATGAGTAAAGGATGAAATATGACATTTTAATATAATGACATGATTTTGAAACTCCCATTAAGAAGGAATTACTGGCCCAAAGAGTCAACACCATACTCATAGTTGTATGGAACTAAACCCCCCCCAACCCCTAAAAAAAACATCACCGATTTTATCACAAGAATTCATCTATTGTTGTAAATCAGAGAGCTATCACAAGAAGAAGAAAAATTTTAAAACTATGAAAAATTATGAAATGGACTTCAGATCCAAATAGCCAAAATGTCAAAATGGATGTGCACGCATGCTCATGCACTCACTCTTTCACCAACTCCCACTACACTACACAACGCATGCACGCACGCACACACACGCACACACACACTCATACACAAAACGTGAAACCATAAATGTGCTGGTTAACGTTCTCTCTTAAACTAAATTAAATTTAGTATTTTTCCACTGACTCACCAAAGCAAACAAAATAAGCATCCGAAATGTGAACAAACTTACCACATAAATTAGAATTTTCATCAGAACCATCCCCACAGTCATTGTCAAGGTCACAGACCCACCTCTCTCTGAGGCATCGGCCATTGCTGCACACAAACTGATCAGATGGACATGTACTGTTACTCGGAACACACACCTGCGAATTAAAGAATCAAGCAAGTTGATGATTTGTTTTCTTTCTTCTATTAGTCAGCATAGCTAGCTTTTTAGTGTGTCACTTATCCCAAATATTGTTTGATTATATTATTTACTGTATACAAGCTTGTGATTATATGTATAAACATACACTTGAATGTCAAATGATAGACAAGAAAGTGAAGAGATTTGTTAAGTTTCTCTTAATACGAAAATATACCTCATATCTTTTTCCAGAATACTGCCAATCATTTTTTTAAATACAGATGTGCATTCATACCATGATGCCATACTGTCCAACATCCTGTCTTTTGTTCGATTCTGTTTCTATTTCTCTGTAACATTCCTTTTACTGTATACAAGCTTGTGATTATATGTATAAACATACACTTGAATGTCAAATGATAGACAAGAAAGTGAAGAGATTTGTTAAGTTTCTCTTAATACGAAAATATACCTCATATCTTTTTCCAGCCTCTTTTTTCCTATACTGCCAATCATTTTTTTAAATACAGATGTGCATTCATACCATGATGCCATACTGTCCAACATCCTGTCTTTTGTTCGATTCTGTTTCTATTTCTCTGTAACATTCCTTTTATCATTATGAACTTGTCCTATTCTGTAAGCAGAATTATTCCTTATGTGGTGATAAGTCAATTTTATTGACTTGACTGTCAGAAATAGAGTGCTAGAATTTTATGTGATATGGCAGTGTATCTTGGAATAAGAATGACAAATAAGAAAGAACTTGGAAACAGCAGTTGTGGTTGCTTAAACAAATGTTGCTAATATCTTAACATCTAGAGTAACTAAGGATTTCAACTTGGAGTGGCTTATTTCACTGCACTAGAAGACAGTGTTGTGACCACTGGAAAGATATGTGGAAGGAGAGATAGAGGAAGACAATGAGAGAAGATGCTTGACGGTCTTGTTGCATGGCATGGAGGTGTGTCGGCAAACGAATTGATACATGCTGCAGGAGATCGCAGATTATGGAGAGGCATGATCGCCCACGCCAGTCGGCAAGGCACCTGATGATGATGATGATGAAAAGACACCCATTTTGAATGTCAGAAACATAATAATACTGAACACTACAGTGTGTATTTACTAGACTGCAAGAAATATGAACTTCCTCTAATGAAAAACTGTAATAAGCTAATGACAACAGAATAAAAAAGGTTGAGGATAAATAGCATTAGAGAACTACAAGGAAGGACCAAATAGCACACGACAACAACAAATGTTTGTTTATAAGGTTTCAACCTATTGTAAAACATAATAATAAAAACAAGATCACTTTAAATAATCTCTAAGATAAATTACACAATCTGATCATCAATATTATTGAGAAAGTACACTTAAAATATATTCAGCTTAACAATCGTTACTCGTACAATATGTTTCAATTAATACATAATCTGTGCAATATTAAACAACCAAAAATAACTGACAAGTATAAATATCCAACATTTAAACAAAAATATTCTGCATTTCTCAATTATAACCAAGATAGGTTAAACAGGATATCACCGATTAAATTATTACTACTGACTGCCTAGAAAAACAACAAATTAAGACAGAGCACCATATGCAACTATAAGAAGAAGAAAAAAAAACTATTTTTATTGATATGATGAGAAAGAAAGCACCAGAGAACATCATGACAACAAAATAGGTCAGTGGTAGAAGAAGCAGAAGCAGCACAAGAGAAACAATGTCAGATGGAAACATTGAGGAATAAAGTTAATAACTATGACTGAGTACACCAAAGATGAAGATCTGTGGAGATAACAGATCTATAAATGCTTCTGTTCTCCTGAGGATATACAGCCTAATTTATTTCATGAGCCACACATAGGCTACATCTGTTTATCCAGGGACTCTGTCTTTGTTTATTAAAACAGGACAGCTTCTCAGTTCCTCATCTGGATCTGGAATATAGGTGATTAAAACCCACATCCAACAAAGTCACTAGTTATAAAAACGTCCTGGGATAGAGAACACCAAAGACCAAGATCTATGGAGGCATAAACATCTGCAACATTTGATGAGTCACAAGCTTATGATGCTTCATACTATGAGGGGGCATGTAAACCATCATTAAAATGTCATTATGCTGTCACCATGTTTGTCTGCACCGTGATATCATATGCTTAAAATGCTCGACATCCTTAACAAGAATACTGACAGAATACAAGACAATGGCATATTTATTGTAACTTTTATCGCACCTTAAAGATTTTCTTATGGCATGGTTATTGTAATTTCTATCACACTTTACAGATTTTCTTATGGCATGGCTATTGTAATTTCTATCACACTACAGATTTTCTTATGGCATGGTTATTGTAATTTCTATTACACTTTACAGATTTTGTTATGGCATGGTTATTGTAATTTCTATCACACTTTACAGATTTTGTTATGGCATGGTTATTGTAATTTCTATCACACTTTACAGATTGTCTTATGGCATGGTTGTTGTAATTTCTATTACACTTTACAGATTTTCTTATGGCATGGTTGTTGTAATTTCTATTACACTTTACAGATTTTATTATGGCATGGTTGTTGTAATTTCTATTACACTTTACAGATTTTGTTATGGCATGGTTATTGTAATTTCTATCACACTTTACAGATTTTCTTATGGCATGGTTATTGTAATTTCTATCACACTTTACAGATTTTCTTATGGCATGGTTGTTGTAATTTCTATCACACTACAGATTTTCTTATGGCATGGTTATTGTAATTTCTATCACACTACAGATTTTCTTATGGCATGGTTATTGTAATTTCTATCACACTACAGATTTTCTTATGGCATGGTTATTGTAATTTCTATCACACTTTACAGATTGTCTTATGGCATGGTTGTTGTAATTTCTATTACACTTTACAGATTTTCTTATGGCATGGTTATTGTAATTTCTATCACACTTTACAGATTTTCTTATGGCATGGTTGTTGTAATTTCTATCACACTACAGATTTTCTTATGGCATGGTTATTGTAATTTCTATAACACTACAGATTTTCTTATGGCATGGTTATTGTAATTTCTATCACACTACAGATTTTCTTATGGCATGGTTATTGTAATTTCTATTACACTTTACAGATTTTCTTATGGCATGGTTATTGTAATTTCTATCACACTTTACAGATTTTCTTATGGCATGGTTGTTGTAATTTCTATCACACTACAAGTTATGGCATGGTTTATTGTAATCTATCACACTACAGATTTTCTTATGGCATGGTTATTGTAATTTCTATCACACTACAGATTTTCTTATGGCATGGTATTGTAATTTCTATACACTTTACAGATTTTCTTATGGCATGGTTGTTGTAATTTCTATCACACTACAGATTTTCTTATGGCATGGTTATTGTAATTTCTATCACACTTTACAGATTTTCTTATGGCATGGTTATTGTAATTTCTATTACACTTTACAGATTTTCTTATGGCATGGTTATTGTAATTTCTATCACACTACAGATTTTCTTGTGGCATGGTTGTTGTAATTTCTATTACACTTTACAGATTTTCTTATGGCATGGTTATTGTAATTTCTATCACACTACTGATTTTCTTATGGCATGGTTGCTGTAATTTCTATTACACTTTACAGATTTTTTAATGGCATGGTTATTATAATTTCTATTACACTTTACAAATTTTTTATGGCATGGTTATTGTAATTTCTATTACACTTTACAGATTTTCTTATGGCATGGTTATTGTAATTTCTATCACACTTTACAGATTGTCTTATGGCATGGTTGTTGTAATTTCTAGTACACTTTACAGATTTTCTTATGGCATGGTTATTGTAATTTCTATCACACTTTACAGATTTTCTTATGGCATGTTTTTGTAATTTCTATCAAACTTTTTAAGGATTTCATCTGAAGCATTTCATCCAAGTACATGGAAGTATTAGATGACAAAGACAAGAAAGATTTGGCAATAGCATTTGCTGTCTTTTTTTCAGTGAGAATAAAAAAAATTAAAAAAAACTGCTACCTTTCCACTGTTTCTGATTTCCAGGCCACTGCCCTCAGGACAAGCACACTCGACTTGGCCGTCAGGACCAGGATGACAGCTGTGACTGCAGCCTCCATTAAAAACACCGCAAGGGTTGTTGCTGCCTGTAGAAGTAGAGGCACATTTTAGCTGCTCATTTAACTTCAGTTCAATGCATATTATTACATGAACATAACGTGCTTTATAGATAAAATATAACTGCTGTGTGAAAGATGGATGTCTGGAAAGGCCGAATGTAAGACAAGCCTGCGTGCCTAATTTGTGACCCTTTGAAAAAAAAGTTTGCTTGTTCGTTCGTTCAGTCCACGGCAGGTGTGATACTTTTCCATATTTTATCAAAATCAGGAGCTCTCTTTATTAATCTACATCCTCTTCTTCTTATCTCTTCCTTCCTCTCTCCCTTCCTTACTCCCTCCCTTTCTTCCTTCCTTCCTTCCTTCCTCTGATCTCACAGCAGAGTGTATTCTTTCAACCAGGTGTTTTTTTTCCCAGAACTAAAGTACCAGTACTTACCACAAAGTATTTATAAATGTTCTGGTACTTAACATACTATTAAAGTAACACTGAAAATAATATGATGCACTGAAAAAAGGTGCCGTTACTGTGTATCACTGTGTACCACCAGAAACAAAAGCCCTGCTCTCAACTATCTCAGACTAAGCTTTTTGTAGCTTGGAGCTAAAGTTGTCTAAGGATGAGGTAGCCAATACAACTCTTTTTAGTAACATCTTACAGCATCCAATGTCTGTTTAGTGTCAATAATTTTTGCTTCCTTTGAGATCTTTGTAATTACATCAGTCAAACAGTCAACACAAAATCTTAATGTCCAATACATCAGTCAGTTTCTGATGAGTTAACTTTTACTGCATTTTTGTTTCATTTAGCCTGGCTTTAATTTTAGTTAAGCCTTTTATACCACGGGAGTTTCCGTGAACGAGCGGCGAGACGCTCGCCGCGGATCGGAAGGTCGTGGGTTCGCTCCCTGGTAGAGCCGGACTATTTTCAAAAATGACCTTGGCTCCCAGGTCGGCCCAGCCTTGAGTGGGTACCGGGTGCAGTCCCGAGAAGTAATGGCGGCCGGCGTGATGCTGACCACATCACGCATCTTGTGCCGATTGGTCTATAAAACTATAGGTCTAGCCCTATATGCCAATTATGTCTAAAGGCGTGGAAAAGGGTCCTTTACTTTTTTTTTTTTTTTTTTTTTTTAAACTTTTATACCACCTTTGAAGTTAATATAGTTTTAAAAATATGAAACAAAATCATTAAAAGTAAATACTCAAAGAAAAATCTAGCATTTAATGAGGAAAGTAATGCACCACATAATTCTTCTCAGGAGCTATTTATTCAAAAAGTTTGAAATGTATGCACAAAATATATGGATACATCATGCAAATATATACACAATATACATGGATACCTCATGTAAACATCAGCATTATTCAACAGAATCCCCATCAACTGGTTTGGCTTTATACTAACAGTTGGCATTTTTTGGACCTTTTGGTTCTTTGCCTCTCAGGCAGATGTACTCTGACTTGGAAGAAAGCTCCCAATTAATCAACTCTTATGACATGCTTTTGGGTAGGCAGTAGGTCTTTTGTTTCCCCCCCCCCCCCCCCCCCCCCCCCCCCCCCCCCCCCCCCCCCCCCACCCCCCCCCCCCCCCCCCCCTATAATAGGGCCCTGGAACCCACATGGGAAATGTGGTATAGTGAAACATGACAGCCTACATTTACCAGCATGGCACTTGATGAAAATGTGGTATAGTGAAACATGACAGCCTACATTTACCAGCATGGCACTTGATGAAAAGTGTGTTCAGTGAAACATGACAGCCTACATTTACCAGCTTGGCACTTGATGAAAAGTGTGTTCAGTGAAACATGAGAGCCTACATTTACCAGCATGCAGTGAAACATGACAGCCTACATTTACCAGCATGGCACTTGACGAAAGTGTGTTCAGTGTACCTACATTTTTGTTTATCCTTGGAGTACACAATGATGCCCATTGGACGAGAGGACAATCCTTGAACTAACATCTTCATGTTAGCCCCTGTGTGTTTCTCAGCCCTGTATATGCCTCTCAGTGTCCAGTCTGTCCAGTAGATGTAGAAGCCAAAAACAGTCAGGGAAAATGGATGGACTGTTGACCTGACGATGACCTCACGGTAGTTGCCATCCAGATTGGCTCTCTCAATGCGACCCCTGAAATATTCAATATGATGATGTTATGTTCTTTTAAAGACTGCAGGACAAAGTTCCAGATGCAGAAGTCTGCAGGGAAAGAAAGGACAGAACACAGAAAGGCATAAAAAAATTTAAGGTAATACAGCTACCAAAATTTTGTAAAATGGATGTGTCTGCATAACTCAATTTCCGGAACAAGATTTAAGTCCAGAAGTGGACAAACAACCAGAATTTTCCACTGGAATTTACAGGTGAGGAAGGCTAAGGAGAAGAAGTAGAAGAAGAAGAAGAAGAAGAAGAAAAGCCAACGGCTGCACATTTCTTACCTTGTAAATAGAATGTTTTTGTTTTGGTCTTATAGGGACACCTATGCAAAAGAAAAAATGGCGTCTCATATTCAGAATAAAGTGACAGACAAAAGAGGAGTGTATGTTCATCTAACTGTTTTTCCCTTCCAGTGCTTCTACCTAGAAAAAACGTCAGATACCCCCTTAAACCTCATAAGATGTTTAGAATTTAGGTACAAAGCAGCTGAACTAAAAACTACCTTACTTAGATTGCTGTTACCCTGGTGGGTCAAAAAGGTGCAAAATTGGGGATAAGCATGAATGCATGGATGAGAAAGTGTCTTAAACATTCATCTATCATACACCATACATTTTTGGGGTTGAATCTACACCTAGTAGAGTAAGAAAAGATTGACTGTACAAGATCGACTCCGCCTAAAATAGGTACCAGGAAATGTAATGGGAAGTAAAAGTGGCTGGTGTGATACTGACCACATCACCCATCAGATACTGATTGATCTATAAACATATAAGTCTAGCACCATATGCCGACGCAAGATGTCTTGAGATGTGCCACTAGTTTGAAAAGGGTCCTTCACACCAGAAATGGTAAATAACTCCTACAATCATTTTGTAAAGAATGTATTTACTCCCCTGTGTTTGGAAATAAAACCGATGGAGCCACTGTAAACTAAAGAAATAGAATTCATCCCCTGACAAAACAGAAACTGCAACAAGTCAGATTTTTAAGAATGCATTTGCCTGTTGTGATGTCTTGAGATGTGCCACTAGTTTGAAAAGGGTCCTTCACACCAGAAATGGTAAATAACTCCTACAATCATTTTGTAAAGAATGTATTTACTCCCCTGTGTTTGGAAATAAAACCGATGGAGCCACTGTAAACTAAAGAAATAGAATTCATCCCCTGACAAAACAGAAACTGCAACTAGTCAGATTTTTAAGAATGCATTTGCCTGTTGTGGTTTTGTTTTTTTGGTGTAAAATCAGATGAGTGCGAGGAATAAAGCCAGTCTTGCAGGTCATTAAAGAACAACAAATGAAGTGGTTTGGACACCTGACAAGAATGCCCTGGTACTATCCGCCACAGCAAGCCACACTAAAACATTACAACGGGTATAGAGTGAGCGGAAGACCTCCGAAAAGATGGAGTGATGGCATTAAGAATAGCCTTTCAGAAATCAACATCAATCTTAATAGTGCTCTTGACAGACTCAACAACAAATGTTACATCTCCCCTGGCCCTTCGTTGAGGTACAAGGTGGAAGAGGAGAAGAAGGTGTAAAGCTGACCAATTTTTGAAAACTTTAATTGACTTCTTGTGTCAGGAAACACTTTACATTAATCTACATTTATCATTGTTTACAATTTTCATGTCTCTCAAAAACTAGAAATAATTATTTAACTATAAGTGTATAAGTTTGTAAAAATTGATAGTGAAGAGTTAACATTAAAATTGAGATTTTTTTTTCTTAATATTTGTTTCTGAAAACTTTTTTTCAGAAACAAATATTAAGAAAAAAAAATCTTAATTTTAATGTTAACTCTTTGAGTCCCAAGAAACGCATCATATGTTCATAGGTTCCTACCTAGAAGCCCAATGAACGCATGATGCGCCGATTTTATTACTTTCTTTACTACCCCCTGGGCCTGTGATGCTAAACCCCCTGGGACTCAAAGAGTTAAGAGACTGACCCTAAAATGAAAGCATAGACAATAAAAAATATATATTTTTTCAGCTTGAGCAATAGAAAAAGAAATAGGAACAATTACATTATGAAAGATATATGAATAAAGATGAGATTAAGACAATGTTATTAGAACCAAATACAATTATTATAATATAAACAATAAATGAGGAAGGAAAAAACAAGACAAGGAAAGCAACTGAAGTAATTATAAGAAGATTCATTTTAATTACGACTATACACCTGACAGAATGATAAACAGAAATGTATGTTACTTACCTCTGAGCATCGGCCCAGTAAATTTTCTCATCATCATAGTCCACAGTCAACCCATTAGGCCAGCCTAAGTCAGTGGACACAATTGCCTGTCTCTGATTCCCAGCCATGGTGGCCCGTTCAATCTTAGGTACTCGACCCCAGTCAGACCAGTAGATGTAGCTAGTTGACAGATATCATATGTTATGATAATCACATATTGTTCACATACAGTCAGATAAAACTGACGACAAATTGCATTAAACACACTTTTCCATGTCTTCAGGTGTTTTCAGCGTATAGTTAGTTGCGTATCCTTTACAGGACGTTGCAGAACCAACCCCATGGTTTTTCTAGGCAAATTTACGTCCAGTAGTTTGGTCATTGCTCTCTGGACGGTTGGCTTTCTTGATACCACTGTCGAAACCAACGCAAGGCGCATGGCCTGCAGCTGGGATTGAACCCGGCATCCCGGCATTACGAAGCCTTCGCATCGACTTAGCCACAGAGCCGAATTTCAGCATATAGTACTAGATCCATATTAGATAGACAAATCAGCACTCAGTGAGTGATGTAGTCCACATAAGGCAGACCACCTTTACTTCCTGGGACTTTACCTGATACCCATTAAAGCCAGGGTCGGGCAGGGTCATTTTGGGGAAAACTCCAACTCTGTCTGGATTTAAATCTATGACCTTCTACAAAACAAATCTGGTCAAACAAGAAAAAAGAAAATACAAACACAAATCTACAACCCAGGAATCGAAGCCACAGTGGCATAGCAGCTTTATGCTTGAATCCGCAATGAGTTGTACTTTCAAAACACATGACTTTGGCTTTCAGGTCGACCCAGACTAATACAGTAGGAAGTAAAATCCCTGGAAGTAAAGGTGGCTCATATTATGTTGATTACATCACCCATCTAGTGCTGATTGTTGACCACATAACCCGTCTAGTGCTGATTGTTGACCACATAACCCATCTAGTGCTGATTGTTGACCACATAACCTATCTAGTGCTGATTGTTGACAACATCATCCACCAATCTAGTGCTGATTGTTGACAACATCATCCACCCATCTAGTGCTGATTGTTGACAACATCACCTGTCTCGTGCTGATTGTTGACCACATCACCTGTCTCGTGCTGATTGTTGACCACATCACCTGTCTCGTGCTGATTGTTGACAACATCATCCACCCATCTAGTGCTGATTGTTGACCACATAACCCGTCTAGTGCTGATTGTTGACCACATAACCCATCTAGTGCTGATTGTTGACAACATCATCCACCCATCTAGTGCTGATTGTTGACAACATCATCCACCCATCTAGTGCTGATTGTTGACCATATCACCTGTCTCATGCTGATTGTTGACAACATCATCCACCCATCTAGTGCTGATTGTTGACCACATCACCTGTCTCATGCTAATTGTTGACCACATCACCTGTCTCATGCTGATTGTTGACCACATCACCTGTCTCATGCTGATTGTTGACCACATCACCTGTCTCATGCTGATTGTTGACAACATCACCTGTCTCATGCTGATTGTTGACAACATCACCTGTCTCATGCTGATTGTTGACAACATCACCTGTCTCATGCTGATTGTTGACAACATCATCCACCCATCTAGTGCTGATTGTTGACAACATCATCCACCCATCTAGTGCTGATTGTTGACCACATCACCTGTCTCGTGCTGATTGTTGACAACATTATCCACCCATCTAGTGCTGATTGTTGACAACATCATCCACCCATCTAGTGCTGATTGTTGACCACATCACCTGTCTCGTGCTGATTGTTGACAACATCACCTGTCTCGTGCTGATTGTTGACAACATCATCCACCCATCTAGTGCTGATTGTTGACAACATCATCCACCCATCTAGTGCTGATTGTTGACCACATCACCTGTCTCATGCTGATTGTTGACCACATCACCTGTCTCGTGCTGATTGTTGACCACAACACCTGTCTAGTGCTGATTGTTGACCACATAACCCACCTAGTGCTGACTGATCTATAAAAAATGGGTCTAGCATCATATGCCTGATGCAACACAAGCAGGATAAGAGTTTCTCATTTACTAACTGTAGTTAGAACTCAGCAATGAGCTACAATAAGAAAACATCAACATATTATTTTCACTGGGATCAGAGAAACATCTGGTAAAATGATCAGATTTCTCTAGAATGCTCTCACTAAATGTAAAAATTATAATCACATAAACCGAACATGTTTACTGGCTCAAATATAAAACAGTCAACTGCCTGTGAAGCATACTTTAAGACAAACACACACAAAAACATTAAGGTAATCTATTCTTTCTCTTCTTTCCATTATTCTCAGTAAAGCATAGGTCCCCAGCCAAGTTCCACCAAGCCTTTTAGCATTGTTCTTAGTTGACTATTGCGGCTGACGTTTTTCTCACTCAATAAAACCAAATCCCCACCCTATAATCCCTAGCATACATCGCTCGCTATGACATGCCAGGTAGGGTGAATGTTGCTATCCGTTGCTTCACTTATATATATCACAATTATAACCCACATGGGTTGAACTGGATATTGTTGATTAAATTACTACTACTAAGATAACAAACTCACTCACCCCTTGCAGGGATCAATGGCCAGAGCTCTAGGACTCTGAACAACAGCAATAACCACTTTGTTGGTCAGGTTAACATTGATGCTGCAGATTCGATTTCTGGCCAGGTCCGCCCAGTAGAGCTTCTTGCCGACCCAGTCGAAGGCAATTCCTTCCACTGATGACAGGTCATGGATGTAGCCAGGTGCTGTATAAATAAATGTATACATATTAAACTACATTGTCCCACTGTAAATGAGGACATGGTAGTAATGTGGTTAATCTTCGACATCAGTTGGTGACATTTGTAGTGTAGTAAGAAACAATGTGATTTGTGTATTTCAGTAGAAGGGATACATTTTTTGTAACATCAGTTAGTGAGATTTATAGTGTTATAAGAAACAATGTTATTTGTGTATTTCAGTGGAATGGATACATGTTTTATGATATCAGTTGGTGAGATTTATAGTATAATAAGAAACAATGTGATTTGTGTATTTCAGTGGAATGGATATATGTTTTGTGCTTCATTGAATTTTAAAGTAAACAATGTAGTCATGCATTTGACAAGATATAGCAAAATATGCCCAGAAATAAACTGCAATATAATGCAATATTAAAATGTATAGATGTAAGTGAAATCACTGAAGGCAAAATTTAGGTCCCTTTTATGCTACAGATAAATTATTAGAATGCCACTGGCCAGCGTTTTCAAACGTGGGACCACACACACAAGAGAACGGTTTGATTAGTAAGGGGGGGTGGAAGTGGGGGGGGGGGGGGGGGGATTAATTGTTAATTTGAAAATGGATTCATCCAGAGTTTATGTCCCACAGGGGGCATACAAAAAAAGATTCTAGAAAAGCTTAGGTAAAGGCGTGCTGGGCACAGAAAAGTTGGGGAATATTGCCATAAACTAAGAAGAAAAACAACGATGACATCCTACATGATCTGAGCATCAAGGAGAATTGGCTCATAAACAGCAGCTTGTCCTGAAAGGTATTCTGGTCATGCTAAACATCATGGTTTCCTGGAGAGAACTGTCATGGAGGGTACAGTTTCAGAAGGATGAGGCAGAGGCAAACATTAGAGAGACATTGAAGATGAGATGGCTATGAAAGCACATAGGGCTGGAGAACTGGCTAGGAAAACAAAAAGACTTTCAAGCGTGCCGTGATGAGAGCGACGTTCTGTAAAGGACCTACTGATTGATAAAGAAGTGACATGAACATGTTTATGTTTCGTCATCATCATCATCTTGTTTAGCCATTTAAGCATCACATAGGTCTTGCAGCGTATTCCTCTGTTCAGTTTTTTCCTTACAATCCTTTCAATGTCATGTATGGAATCCAGGTCAGTGCCATTTGCCTCTCTCATCAATAGTGTTTTATAGTTTCTTAATTTTGTTTGTTTCTATGTTGTTGTCTCTTATGTTTATGCATAAGCTAGATAATATATTATTTATGCATAGGCTACATAAACAACTGTTTGTACAAAAAGGTATTTAAATAAATTACAAAGGAACGTTAGTTACAAATCCTTTACAGAATACTGCAAACAAACTCTAGTATTTGTTAGCTGTTTGGGGTTTTAGTAGGCAATTTTAAATTTAATTAGTTTGCCATTTCTTTCTAAATTGTTAAAGCTCATATCATAGTCAAAATATATGCAAAGCAATCTGCTGCGAAATCACATGCAGCTGATTTGAACTGAGTATGTCAAAATCATGAAACCAACTTTATAATCTCTAAACCACAGACATAACTCTGAATAAGGGAAAGTTACACTATAAACATATATTAATAGACCATTAAAAAAATGCATGTGTGTGTGAATGGAGAGTGTGGACTATAACATAAAATTCCAGTTGAAATTAAAAACTAGCCACACTCACAAGCTAACTGTTCACATTTAAAGCCTTTTTTGTTAAAATTACAGTGAAATCTGAAGAAGAAAAAAGATAACCATCACCATCTAGTTGCTTTACTTGCAAACCAGCCTCCTATGACTCAGAGAAATGAGTTTAAAATATGGTATGATAAGGCAGCACTCACTAGAACTCATGTTAGGAGCCATGACATCTTCAACAATTATGGAACCCTTTTTAACCCTGCTGATCTTTCTGGAGTTGAGCTGACTGAAGTAGATGTAATTTTCATGAGCATCAAAGTCCACAGCTACAGCTCCCTGCCAGAGAAAAGAAAAGCAACATACTTGAACAGCCAAAAGACCTGGTGTTTCCTTTAAGAACAATTACCACATTTTACACTTATTTTTCTGTTTCTGTGTGGTAAGCTTGCAAGCTTTATTTTCTGCCACTTTTCCATCTAACTGGGGTATGGTTATGAAGAGCACTATAGAGATAAAACATTCAACAACATAGGGGGTGGTCTGGGAGATGAGAGTGTTGTAGTTAACATCCAACAATGTTTTTGTCCCGAGTGCTGTGATGTCAATTCTTGACTCCACTCAACTCAACTCAAACAATGTTTATAGTTTAAAGTTGCATGCACTCAGATTTATCTTTTAAGGCTTGGTGCTCTCCAAACAATGGTTAGCAACTTGCAGAAAGTGTCACACAAAGCATGAACTCCGTAACTCTAATCAACAAAGATTTCCACACCAATGGTACTTGTGAATAAATGATGCAGTCCATGAAATGAACCCAGGACATTTAAATATAATTGACCTGTTAACAATTAATGTAATTGATACCAAATCTGAAATTAATTTAGAATATGGTTATTGTGTACAGTTGTAAACAAAATCCCCCCCCCACCCTCAAAATCCCTCCTGCTGCCTCGTAAAAGCTTAAAAAAAGAAAGTGGGTCATAACCTTGTAAAAAATATGTAAAGATATACATACATGTATAATTGGAGTAATCAATAAACATAAACTGAATAAAGCATTAAATGGAATACATTCCCTGGGGGCCTAAAAGAAATATAATATATTTAGTGACTCATGATGTGACCCCGTGACCTCTAGCACTAAGGCTTATGGGGAAATCTGACATCAATTTAGCCTTGAAAAAAGCCCCTAAATGCTCTTTTTGTAAAAGTATTCATATCCTCACCTGTAGATTCTGAGAATTCTCACGAGTTGATGACCCATTTTTTAGCATTCATGGAGCAAAATAGTTCAAGTTCATTTATGAAATATTTAACAAACAACAGAGATTACATTTCAATAAAAACTAAACATCTAAAGATCTGACACAAACCTGTAGGTCCGATATAGCAGGAACAGGACTGGAAGTGGAGCCTTGTTCCAGGGACAAGCTCTGGATCTCTGTCTCAGCAGCAAAAATCAGGAACGAAGATGGTGCTGGTAATACATGAAATCAATTCTATTTATTCTTGCAGACTCTTACAATTGTTGCTACAAGATATTCAACTACAATGTGAAATTTAGTGTCTTTTTTTAAAATAGTTATAATGAGTGTAAATAATTCAATTACTAAATAGAACATGAGAAAATAACGAATGGGATTAAGTATGTTAGTGTAACAGAAAAATGGGTAATTAAGTTAACAGTGCACACCATCTTCAGAATGACCAATAAACATGTTGTCAGTTATCTGACAGTGAACACCTATTATCAACATAAAGTGACAGCTTCCTTTACATTTACAGGAAGTCCTTGAGTTATGATATTTGAAGAAGGATTAATATATGCTTGTATATTATAAATAATATTTATATTTTTTTACTTGCATCACTTGTGATGTTCCGTTGCTTACTCTGACATTTGGCAGACTACTTTTCTTTATGTGTGCATTACCATTTACATCTGTGTATTGAAGACTTAAAAAATGTGTATGTGCAAAAAAAGAAATAAGAAATAAGATAGCCTCATAGTTGTAAAACAAATGTGCATGAGTTACCATGGCAAGATTTCTGGTCCTCTGTTAGCGTCCCTGTAGAGCAGCCACAGAGAGGTTCTGAAATGTTTGGCCTGGCAAAGCACAACTGTTGACAGCCTCCGTTGTTGGAGGAGCAGGGGTTGGTCTCATCTGAGAACAATGTATAATACAGAAGGGACTGAGCAAGACTATTTAACAGCAAAAATGTAAATCTTTGAACACATAGAGTTCAAATACTAGAGATTCAAGCAGACAGTTCATTGTTCATAGTTCATTTTAGAGATCATTTGCTTCACTCCTGGAACATGACCGTAAGTGCCCCAATCTTCTCCTGAGTATGTCTCCAAGGATTTTTAGGCTTCAAGTATTTTTAGGCTAACAACTCCTATTCTGTTCTGGCTGATGTAATGATGGGTGGCTCCAGCATTGTTTTCCCGTCTAGCAGCTCCAATTGGTACATCCAGAGTATGCAGTCTATTTAGTGAAAAATCATCTTCCATGAAACTGAAAGCTTATTTAGTCTCTCCTATGGCATTGACGATGTCTCTTCTGTCCATAGATGGCCCATTCTTGATAGTTGCAGACAATATGGAATTTGAGTTCTTCTTCTTCTGCACTTGTCCTCATAAAGGCAGCTGGTGGATCAGATTGTGGTTTACAGATAGGTTGTGATATCTGTGCCTTTTTGCGCAACAAATCTGATTTCAACAAAGCCTTAATTAGTGTCCTTTAATGACATGCTTGTAAGGGAGGCAGTGAGTCTGTGACGAGATGACCTCAGTGGTCTCAGAAGTTATATTGTGTTTAATAATTTCTTATGTTCAGAGAAGGACAAAGAATTATACTCAAGGTGCACTGAGCCGAAAATAGTTATAAAAACCACTTCAAGGGATTTGAGAATTGTTTAAACTTTGTTTCCAGTCCCTCGCCAGACAAAGCAACCTTGCTTTATGTAATATTACGGAATACTACTGTAGCTAGAGTTTCACCTGCCCGTGTCAGAAAGTTATCTCCTGACCAGACTGTAGAGGCGAGGAAGGGGGAAATAACTTTGTATCACACCTGAGATTAGTTCCCCTGAACCCGACCCTAAGGTCATAAAAAGTTGCATAACACAGACTGAGTGGGGCGTTTAAACAGGCTAGATCAGGGGAATTAAATGGTCTGGTAGACATTTCTAGACAGGATGGCGTCCAGCGTCTGAAGTTTCACACATGATAGTGAAATTCTCAAGAGAACAGATGTTTGGCAATTAGGAATGTCTAATCTTGGTCAAGGTCGTACTGTAGGCCGTTCACTGTGAGTGACAGGCCCATTGATAGCTAGGTTGATCTGCTAGGTACCTCAGAGGCGGGGCTTAGGTCATCTCCTGGAGGGTTGGGTAGAACCGAGTAAAGGGAGGAGTTTAACCTTGCAGACAGATAGGGGTATTAATAATACTAGCCTGTGGAATTCCCGTCATAATCGCAGCCACGAGCAACAAACTCAGGTCGCAAATTAGAGGTAATTCTAATTGTTGATTCTGGTTTGGCGATTGCTGGAATATCCCAGGTAAGCTTGTACAATTATTTTCAATCTTGTATACATAGGTTAGGGAGTTAGCTAAAGTCTATACTACCTTTTCCTAATTGTTCTACACATTCTGCTTGAAATAGTTCTTTGTGAGTATTCAGTATCTCAGTTAGGGAACTGCTAAACCATTTCTATTTCTTGTATGTTGGTGGCACATGTTTTTCAGTGTATGTTTTCATGTTTATAAAATAAGACTTGTATACTAAAATGTAATGAAATTATAATGTTTCAACCATCAACCAAAACATGAGTTTGGACTGTGGGAAATGATGCCCACATATGCAGCTATGATGTTACGTTTTGTGTGCCCACCATGTGCTCACTGAATGTGTTCACCTAAACAGGGGATTTATAACCCCAGGGGAAGAATCATGGGTGTTTATTATTCACTGTCTCTGAAAGATAATATTCAGGTTAGCATGCAGGTATAAAATCTTTTGCGTGTTCAGCACAGAACCTGCGCCACATGTTTATGTCAAATCAATGTCAGCAAGTTGGAAGTCTGAGTGATGACGGACAACAGAAAGTCAACTATCATGACAGAACCTTAGAGGGAAGGCAGGATATGTGAGACGTCGATGTGAGACACAAAGACCTTCAGAATAGACTGGAGAGAATGTGGAATATGAGGAGGAGTGATGAGATATAATGTATTATTATATATTTTATTAATTGGCACATGTATTCTTAGTGTAAGTCAAGATACTACACGTATGTGTGTGTTTCCATTATTGCAGCTCTCATGTGGGTGCGGATCAGTCTTTTCTAAGAACAGAAATAGAGGGTCAACACGGTCACGAGACTACATTGTGTTAGAACTCGGCCAGCTGGGATACAGGTGGGAACCAGGGAACCAGGTGGAGGAACCAGGAGAACTGGGCAGAAAGGTTGGAACAGCTAAGAAGGGACTCAACACGAGGACTCTCAGAGGTTCCACTTTCTAAAAAGTTATGTAACATGTATTTATGTAACTAAACACCACCATTATCATTTATGCTACTCTTAAGTGCTCAGTTAGCTGAAGCATCTCATTACCACCATACCATCACTATGAACTTAAAATATAAATAACTAAAATGATTGCTAGGTTAATAAACAATTATATGGTCTTATCCTGCATCAGTTTTTATAATTCCAAGTGTGTCTGTTCTTACATGTTTAATTAAACTGGTAAGATAGAATAGCATTTGGTGGGTGCTCATTAAATAATAATAATAATTCTGTACCAAGAGAAGGTCGACGGATTGGGTCAACTGCCCTGTCTAGTTAATCATTCAAGATAATAATATATAGACATCTAAAACCTATTTCCTTCTCTTGTGGGTACCAAGTTCACCTAAAGTTAAATATAAATAACGAGCCAATATGGCTGTTTTCTTGGATATCCAGGACTTTGTCTGAGAGCAACATAGCCCTGATAAAAATTCAGTTAAACCCAAATCCAGGGAACCCATCACCCGGGACGTTACACTGGAAGTGTTTTAATCTCAAGTGAAGTGGTCTGCAACGTCAAAGGGTCTGTTCTGTTTTTTCCATGAAGAAAAGTAATAAACTTGGTCAGGGAACCCACACAAGAAACTCGAGGGAGTAAATGATGAAGAATGCTTTCCTGCTGGTCACAGGTGTCATCCCCATTGATTTAAAAAAACTGCTCTGTGCTGACCCAGCTTTAAAAAAATGGATACCAGGCTATGTTCAGGGAAGTAAAGTAAAAGTGGTGTAACAGTGAAATGAATCACTCACTGAATGCCAATTTGTCTTTAAAAATAGATGGTTAGAGCCATATATTCAGTATGCCTCAAATTTGTTAAATGAGACATTACTAAAGGAAGAAATACATGAGAAAAGGTAAAGATGTGAAGAAAAACAAGGACAAAAAACAATGCAGAAAAGAGTTAGAAAAGGCAGAAGGAAGAGACAGAAATGAGAAGAAAGTTGGGGTGGTTGTGCTTACAAAGGAGGAGTGAGAGAAAGGGCAAGAAAAGATGTGGGAACAGGCCAAAATAGGAAGAGAATATAAGATGGATTTAAAAAAAATCTTAATACTAAAACCACTACTGTTATTAGAAACACTGACCCAGAGGCTGCACGGACTGGTCAAAGATGACTATGTCACTCAACATCTCTAGGTTGCTCTTCAATGTCTGAGGTGCAGTTAGCTGAGAGGATTTCAGAGCTCGGTAAAGCTGAAACATAATACCAGATTTTTAAAGCAACAAAAAAGTAGGAATAATAATAATCATAAAGTAAAATTAAAGGACCCTTTTCCACACCTTTAGGCATATTGGGCATATAAGATGAGACCTATATTTGATAGATCTATCAACACTTATTGAATGATGTGGTCAACATCACGGCGGCCATCTTTACTTCCCAGGACTGTACCTGGTACCCATTTTAGGCTGGGTTGACCTGTTAGCTAAAGTCATTTCTATAAAAAAAAAAAAAACGTCTGGCTCCATCAGGATATGAACCCACAGCCTGCACATCTGCAGGTGTCTAGCGTCTAAACCACAGCAGCACCCATAATAATAATAATAATAATAATAATAATAATAGTAATAATTAGGGCTGTATCAAATATTTGCTTCGTATTGGCTTTGGGGCCGAATAGTGGACCGAATGACTATTCGGTATTCAGCCGAATAGTTGCGGCCGGGCCGAATACAAATAGTGGTTACCTTACACTCATTTCTGCATACACTGCGATGGACTGAAATAACTCTCTCATTAACACAATGTTGCCCAAGTTTGTAGTAGCAGGAAAACTGCGACCCGGTTGCGTGATACAGCAGCTGGCAAGGTCTTGCCTGCTGACTCGACCGAGGCATTACAGCAAAGGTTCTCAAACTGGGTGCGTATGCCAGGGGTACCGGGGCGAAAATCAAGAAAAGTCGGCTATAAATTGTAACATTATTAAAGAAGACATAAAGATACTTGAGATACTTTCCTCGCCACTGTCAAAAAGAGCACAGGTGACAGGCAATAACTGCATTTCATAAAACTAAGAACATCTTATGCAATATATCTTTGCCATTGAAGGTTAGAAAAATAATTCTTGCTTGTTACTATTTTTCTCCTATTTTTCCAGTTTTAACATATGGCTATAAGTCCTGGACAATCAGTAGGCAGGCCAAACAATTTCTCTAGGCTTCAGAGATGTAGTTTTTACAGAACAGTGCTTAAAATACCTTGAACAGCCCAAAAAAGCAACCAAAAGGTTTTAAAAGAGGCGGGAGCCCGAAGACAACTAATCACAGATATCAGAAGGAGACGGTCATCATTTTTCGGCCATGTTGTGAGAAGAGGGAAAATAGAACATGTTGTGACCACTAGAAAGATCTGTGGATGGAGGGATAGAGGAAGACAACGAGAGGACATCCTTGACAGTTTTGTTGCATGGCATGGAGGTGGGTCAGCACACGAACTAATACATGCTGCAGCAGATCGCAGTTAGTGGTGAGGCATAATCGCCCAAGTCAGTCAGCAAGGCACCTGATGATGATGATACACTATTCATATTCGGCCGAATAGTTAGTCCCACTATTTGTATTCGGCCGAATAGTGAAAATCACTATTCGGCACAGCCCTAGTAATAATAATAATAAAGGTGCAGTAAAAATAAACATTAAATAACTGACTGAAAGACATAAATATACTTTGTATAAAATAGAAAAGCAAAACTAACCTTGAGGGTTGAGCAGAGCATTATATATGTGGAAAATACTACTACTACTTCCTCAGCATGTTGGGTTACTTTGAACATATTAGTTAGATGGTTGTTTTCCTTTCCTTCTCTCACACAAGTTGTATTATTACAAACATACCATCATCATCATCGTTTCCTGCTGGTAAGCACAGGTTTTCATGTTTCACCATCTCACATGGTTACCAGAATCATGAATCAGGTCAGTGCTCTTGTCCCACCACCATTTATCATATTGCCAGGTCACCTATGTGTTTTTTCTTTGTTTTCCTCTTGTTCTTTTTCCATGCATCTTATTAGTCATCACAAACTTCTTGAGTCCATTTCTTCTCATAAAATGTACAAAAATCACTGTGTATATCTAATCTCTCTAATCAGTTTATTATTTTCTTCTGACTGGAGGATGACTGCTGTGTTTTTTACATAATGTCATGATATGTGTTTTGTGTGTGCATTCTTCTCAAAACCCACATCTCTGCTGTGTGGTGTTTTCCATCTTGTCTCTATATTGTCCATTTGTAAGCTACAAAAGAATGGACCCACTGCTTCTCCAACAAGCATATCATACACATTTGAAGACAGCAGGTGAAATGGTTTGCCCACTTAGAGAGAATGCCTTGTGACACCATACCATACAAAGTATACATGGAAAGAGAAGAAGGACGTAGAGCACGAGGTAGACCAAGAACAAGATGGTAGGATAACATCAGAGAAACTCTACAACAGCACGATGTGCCTATGGTCGAGGCGGCCAGAAGAGCTAGAGACAGAACCTTTATCTCCCTCGACACCCACAGCGGTAAAAGAGGAAGTGAAGAAGAAGAAAAAGAAGAAGAACACTTAGATGAAGAAGAAGACATGCATATAACAACTCAGGTTCTATATAGCACTTGAATACTCCATGTCTCAGGGTGTTTGACATCTGTTTATTAGTGTGGATCTTTCTCTTCTTGCTGAAAACCACTTTTACCATGGCAATTCTTGTTCTAATTATTGCATGGCATCTATCATCAGATGTTATGACTGTTTCAAGATATTTGTATTGATTCTCTTTCTGAAGATAGATCATTTACTGCGGTATTGATTTCTTCTTGGTGTTGACCATACTTATTATTTTCTTACAATTAAACAGTTAGCCTGTTTGCTCACTTGTGTACTATTACTGCATCCACTAAACCCTGCAGATTTCATTTATTTTGCTTTGTGTCAGCAATCAACACTGTATCATCTGCATATGTTATGTTTTTGATATTATAATATAACATAACATAACCCTTGACCCATTAGAGTCGTGGAGGTGTATTGATAGAAGCCCTAGCACATAAAACCCGCCATCTTCTATGTCTTCCGCCTAATGAATAAGTGTATGATAACCTAGTTCTGTCCATTTCTTGATGTTGTCATTCCTGGTTTCTCCTTTGCCATCCTCTTCTTCGACTACCCCCCCTGCCTTCCCGGCCCACCCCAAATGTTTCTTGAAGTAGAGTCTTTGCAATCGAATCCTGCCTCATCATGTGCCCAAACCAAGCCAGCTTGTGATGTTTCCCCACAGCCAAGAAAGGCTCCTGATGTCCCACAAATTTATATATTTTGTCTCTGACATATTTATTAGTTTCGTGTTCTAGATAACAAATTCGTAAAAATGTGTCTGTAGCATTTACATTCGAAAGATATATCCACCCACAATAATTGAAATTAATGTGTTTCTTTTCCTTCTGGTGGTATGGAATGGTATACAGTTAAGCACGCCTTTATGCATCATTATTTAAGCATTACTGTAATCGACACTTTGTGGTGAGTACTGGCACCTGTTTTAGACACTCTGTGGTGAGCAATCGTCACCTTTTTTTAGAAGAAGAAAAGCTATGCTAAATATCCAACTTACTCTGCTGTCCCATAAATGCTTTAAATTAACTTACACGCTGAAGATTTCTGTCTATCCAGTATACATAGGATTTGAACACAGCAATACCAAAAGGATTTGGTATATTCGTCTGGATGTAACGTCGATTCTCTCCATTGAAGGATACACTCTTAGAAATAGAAACACTCAAAGTCAGGCGACGCAACTTTATATTTGAACTAGGTTAAGTAATGTAAACAATAAATCTATACATTTTGATTCATGATGGAAATCTTCCTGCCATGCCAATATGTATCACATAGGGCTCACATTCTATTTGTTTATTCCATTTGATCTAGTGCCATCCCATATCAGGCGACTGTCTTGCTGCTGCACCAATGGTGGCTTCCTGAAGTTGGTATGTGTATTTACATATATATGTGCATGTATGCACATACATATACATGCATTCCTACGTGGGCATGCACATGTTGTTCATATATATATATATATATCTCCCAGATTAACGTACCTATAATCATGTACATGTATGTCCACATGTGTGTGTGTGTGTGTGTTTGCGTGCGCGTGTGTGTGTGTATAGAGTACCAGTCCAAGCCACTAAGTCTGGTGCAATTAACACTTCTTAGCCAACAAACATGGCAAATAGAGACCAGACCACAATTATAGATGATACTGCTTGCAGTGGGTTGAATGTTGTCAATTTTGTTTTCATAAATAGATAGACAGAAAGCGCACTTTGGTGATTCTCTGCCCAATATTGATTTAAATTTTGTGTTAGCTATAGTGTGAAGGTGTGCTGTACAAATGTGAAGCCATCCATGTGTCTGTATCTCTTATAAAGGGTTTGTTTAACCACTAGTTTGCTTGTACTTTTCTTCTTCTTATATATATGCATAAATATAAATATTTATATATATATTCAAACATAATCTATCTCAATAATTAAAAATTTTGCCAGAAAAATCTGTATCAAAGACGTATTTCTCAATTAAATAATACTATAACTATGTCGCTCGCCTGCAGATCGGAAGGTCATAAGTTCAGGTCCTGTCGGAGCCTGACTTTTTAAAATAATGACCTTGGCTTCCAAGTCGACCCCGCCTTGAGCGGGTACCAGGTACAGGGTCCTTTACTTTACTGTAAATCTGTTGCTCTAATTTACAAAAACTTCATTCTTTAGTACAGAAAGTATAAGAACTTTATAACAGACAATGTTGAAGTAAAAGCTACTTTGGACTGAAAGAGTTAAATTCTCTAACCTGGATGGCATCAATGATGGCATCCACCCAGTAGATTTCATGGGTTTCAATATCCACTGTGATGTCCCGGGGCAGGCTTATGCTGGTATTCACTATTACTGTTCTGTTGGACCCATCCAGCAGGGACCTCTCAATTTTAGCTGTCTGACCCATATCTGCCCAGTAAAGATATCTAGACATAAGAGAATAAAAATTAAATATCATTGAAGTAGTTAGGTAAAATTTAAAATTATCTTCAAACATCACAGGACCTTTACTCTCTTCAAATATCAAACATCACATCACATGTGTACTTCAAATATTAAACATAACCAACCTATCTTCACACCAAAAACCTGCCTAACTTCATCATCATCATCATCAGGTGCCTAGCCGACTGGCGTGGGCGATCATGACTCTCTATAATCTGCGATCTCCTGCAGCATGTATCAGTTCGTGTGCTGACACACCTCCATGCCATGCAACAAGACTGTCAAGCATCTTCTCTCCTTGTCTTCCTCTATCCCTCCTTCCACAGATCTTTCCAGTGGTCACAACATGTTCTATTTTCCCTCTTCTCATAACATGGCCGAAAAATGATGACTGTCTCCTTCTGATGTCTGTGATAAGTTGTCTTCAGGCTCCCGCCTCTTTCAAAACCTCTGGTTGCTCTTTTTGGCTGTCCAAGGTATTCTAAGCATTCTTCTGTAAAACCACATCTCTGAGGCCTCTAAAAATTGTTTGGTCTGCCTACCGATTGTCCAGGATTCACATCCATATGTTAAAACTGGATGTATGTAGCAAGCAAGAATTCTTTTTCTAACTCTCAATGACAAGGATATATTGCACAAGATGTTTTTCATTTTATAAAATGCAGTTTTTGCTTGTCCAATTCTGTTTCTTATTTCAGTTATGCATCTTCCATCTGATGTTATCCATGTGCCCAGATACTTAAATTTCTGTACTTGTCCTAAAATAACACCATTGACTTTTATTACACACTTAGGAATAATTTGTTTCTTTGATACCACCATTACTTCTGTCTTCCCATTAGTCAAACTGAGGCCCATTCTTCCACTTTCTAACACCACAATGCCTATCATTTCCTGTAATTCTTTCTGACCTGTTGCTATCAAGACTGTGTCATCAGCATAACGTAAATTGTTTATATTGTACCCACCAACCACAATTCAGGGCATATCAATTAAAGATCTCATTATATATTCACTGTATATTGAAAACAAATCAGGTGACAGTACACATCCTTGTCGTATGCCCCTCTTTATGCTTTGAAATGTACCTAAACAGTTGTTTATTCTTATAGCTGCTGTTTGCTGCCAATACATATTCTTTATTATTCGTAGATCTTTCCCATCAATGTTTAATTTTTCTAACAGTTTGATTACTTCTTCATGCTTCACACAGTCAAATGCTTTTGTATAGTCTATGAAGCATATGTACAAATCAGTCTTTACTTCTATAGCTCTTTCTGACAATGTCCTTAGGATGTATATGGCATTGTTTGTACCTTTTCCTTCTACAAATCCACATTGTTCATCACTGATTTCTGGTTTAATTTTGTTTCTTATTCTTCTCATAATTATTCTCAGTAAAATCTTAGTCATGTGACTCATAAGACTTATTGTGCAATGGTCTTTACATTTTAAAGTGCCTGGTTTCTTTGGCAGAGCTATATTTTGAAAGGTCATTTGGAATATACCCACTATTATAAATATTATTTAAAAGTTTAGTTATTATTTCAATTCCAAAGTTTCCCAGTGCTTCGATTTCTTCCAGTGAAATGTTGTCTGGCCCGGGTGCTTTTCCTTTCTTCATATGATGTATTGCATCCTCAACTTCTGCAGTCATTATTGGTGGACCATCATTGTTGGTCTGCAATGCCTAACTTACCCAGCCTAAAAAATGTACCTCGTCTCACTCTAACTGCCAGTCTTACCAAGTCTTACCTTTCTACACATCATATGTACACTACAGTCTTTGTTTACAAATCCATTACATATTTTCAAAAACATACACACACAAGTACATGCTAATTAACACATGAAAACTCAAAACAATGTTTTTCCATTGTAAATTTAAAGAAAGCACACAGATACTCGGTAGAATTTATTGCAAGGCATATAGAAACATACAGATAACCACAAAAAGAAACTCATTTCTGCATACCTCTTAATTGGGTTAACAGCAACAGCTCGAGGCTGGCCTTGTGATTCTCTGAGAAGAACCTTCCGGTAGGCTCCATCAAGTCTCATTACCTCAATGAACACCTCCACATCAAAGGTGTTGGTAAAGTAGACATTACCTGTGCTCAAAATGTGGTAGTTGTTAGACATTATGCATCTATAGTGCTCGTGGTCAACGATAAGGATCTCAGATATTCTTCACAAAGGGAAAAAAGAGAGACAGAGAAAGAGAGAGAGAGAGAGAGAGAGAGAGAGAGAGAGAGAGAGAGAGAGAGAGAGAGAGAGAGAGAGAGAGAGAGACAGGCAGGTAGAAATGGAGAGAGAGACAGAGAGAGAGAGGAGAGAGAGAGAAAGAAAGGTGAGAGAGAAGTGGATTGCTACCGTAGGTAAACAGAACAGGTAGGTCAGAAGATATAGATAGGTAAGTGGGTAGATAGGAAGACAGATATACTAACAGATAGACAGGAAGTGTGTCAGAGACACAGAGAGACACACAGAGAGATACACAGAGGGTGAGAGAGAGAGACAAAAAGAGAAAGGAAGAGAGAGAGGAAAAGAAAGAGGAAAACAGAGAGATGAACAGAGTAAAATAGAAATGGAGTGAGGAAGAGAGAGACACAGACACAGGGAGAAGAAGAGAGAGAGGAAGAGAAACAGAAAGAGATCAGATAATAAGGATGATTACTTACGAGCAGATATTCCTTCAGCCCCTAGCCCTTCCCCAAGTATGAACATACAACATGATCAGGAAACTCAATTCAATGAAAGAAAACACACACACACACACGTGTGACCATTTCAGACAGTCTTTTTAAAAATAAATAAATCAATAAATAAATAATAAAAATGAGACAGTAAAAACAAGAACACGGCTAGGAAATTGAAATATCATAGTCATGGCGAATGAAAATTCTGAAACAAAAATTGGTTACCAAAACACAGAAATGAGGTGTTTTAGAAAGGCTGGGAGACTGACCAGAAGAGATCAGATAGAAATGAGGTGATAAGTGAAAGAGTTTGACTAGAAGCTATACTCACAAATACAGCTAATAAAATGGTTTGTTTACTTACAAAGAATGTTTTGTGATGTAATACCCTTTATAATGCATATAATAAAAATACAAAGAGTGCCTCAGGTAGACCAACAATCTGATGGAAAAATAAGATCAAGGAAACTCTGCAAAAGTATGATGTGTCTATGATCAAGACGGCCAAAAGAGCAAGAACTAGAAACCCGTATTTCCCTCAACATCTGAAATGTGAAAAAAAAGGGGGCAGTAAATTACTGACAAGTTCATAAAGTCTAAATCACACATTTTGATAGGTTTTATTGAGTACTTGTTATAATTGCAGGATGCACCATTTTGTAATGTTTGTTTTTTAAAATTTATTTCAGGAGGTTGATATGAGTATGACCTATAAAATAAACAAACCTGCAATCCAATCAACTGCAAGTCCTTGTATATTGTGGGATCCTATCCCTGAGGTCACAATGTCCTGTAGACCAGTCCCATCTGGTTTGATCCTGTGGATACCACCTTCCAGCTTTGAGCCTTGAGTGCCTTGCCTAGTATCAACCCAGTAGATGTAGTTGGCTGCCATGTAGACATCAACTGCCACTTTGGCTTGTCCTGAAAAAAATTTATAATAAAAAAACAAATGCCCACAAAACACAGAGGATTTTATTTTCTTCTTTCATCACAGGTTAGTGGGTAGGATTCCTTTACTTTTAAGATGATGGCAAAGTATATGACCCTTGTGTTTCCCCCTTAAAGTCCATGCTTTGTGGTATTGGTCAGCATGTCTGTGTCCAGCCTTCTGTCCATAATTTAACTACATACATAAGAATGGACTCTTTTTAGCTTAGGATCCATGCACATGTTAAAGATCTCTTGGTATTTCACAGAAACAACTGAAACACCATTAAAAATTTGTTGTGCTGGTATGTATGTGTTGTGTGCCCTTTAGGAAAGAGTAAACAGTGTGGAGGCGCAGATAGATCATTATAGTCTAAGGAGAATGACGCTGCGAGGAGTTACCAGAGGATCTGGCCGACGCTCAACACTCAGGGGAAGAATGAGACGGAAACAAAATAAAACAGTTACTGTTACCATTGGAATTGAAACTCTTCGCTTGCTGCTGAAGATGGGAACTGAGCACTTATAGGAGTGTCCCGAGTGCTGTGATGTCGATTCTTAATTCAACATTCAACATTCAGTATGTGTTGTGTCTGTGTGTATGTAGTGCATCTGTGGCATTAGTTGTGTCATTGGCATTAGTTGAGTCTGTTTATGTGTTGTGCATGTGTCATGTCTGCATGTAAATAAAGTGTGTTTATGTAAATCTGTGTGTTTGAGTCTGTTCTACTGTCTTTTGTTATTCTGCCTATTTTGCAAGTGTTGTTGGCAATGAAAAAGCTGACAGATTGGCATGTTCTGCATTAAATGCAAATGGCTGGCCTATGGATCACACTGACATTGTTAATGCCCTTAAAGAAATAGTAAGTTCTAAGGATTTTCGAAGAATATGAGAATCGGGGGTAAAGATCAGCACAGCCAGACATGAGTGACACATCGGTCACACAAGAAGTCTTCTTCACCAGCATAAGACTGGCACCATAAACCGTGCGACAGTGATGAATACGTTGAAGGTGTAATGTGAACACACACAGATGTGTCTGGTGTGCTGTTAAGATAATCCAACTCATAACTCATGACTCTGGTTATGAATTCTTTGTAAAGAACTGTCTCGAACTGATCCAGCATCAATATACCTTCTTCCCGTGGAATATGATGCTGAGCTTTCCTTCCCCTCTCCAAATTCTGAAATAAGGCAAATGTGCAAGACCAGCACTAGAACTTAACATCTAGGAAGATGCATACAAATATATAACTAGACCATGCAACATCATCATCATGTGCCATGCTGATAGCTTAGCCAGTCAGGTTTTAACATTCCAGATGACTGCCAAAGTTGAGGATCTAGTCAGTGTTCTTGCCTTGCCCTATTCATGTTTACGGGAGATAGATATACCACAGAACCATGTTTTATTTTAAATAAATCACAGACACAGAATTTTGAATTACTGTGCCAGGGTGATAACCACAACACAACTCAGGTGATGATCATCATCATCAATTTCTACTTTTGTCATTAAGCGTTATGGAGAGGAACAGTTTGCCATCCACTGCATGATGTGTAGCAACAGCTGTTGTCATTCCGTGCTGATGCAGAAGGGTCTTTAATTTAGTCAATCCATCTTTTCCTAAGGCAACCTCTTGCTTTCACATCAGATCTTTTCCTGTGTAACGTCTAAGTAGCTGTGGCTGCATTTTAACGAGATGACCAAACTAGCGGATACGTAATAAATAAATAAATAAAGCTCACCTGTACCAGCTACAGGTATCATAGTTTCATCCACATCCGTACGGGTAAAACCAAATCCTCGGATAACACTGTACATGGAGACCACCACAAAAGAACTCTTATCTGTACAGAGGCAAAAGTATACACACAGAAATTATATAAACTTGCATAAGCCTATTTAAAAACAACAAAAAGGGATACTCTAAGAGAAACAGTTACAGATAAAAAGATAAGAAGAGACATTCTTTACAATAAAGAGGCATTTAAAAAAATGTATGATAAAATAAAGATATTATTTAAAAAAAATAAAAATAAAATGTGTCAACTGTCTATTTGTTAATCTTTCTTTCGTTCTGTCCATATTTTTTCTTCCTTCCTTCCTTCTATTGTCCCTGCAATGCCTTCCAACATCAGACTTAGAAGAACTGTCTTGTCAAAGACCTTGTATGGGCTGCAAACAAAATCACCTAGTCTCTATTTCATGCTAGTACTTACTTTTGCAGCTACCATCATCTTTCTGCTCATATCCAATGCTGCAAGCACAAGTATGGCCTGAACTCTTCGGCAGACACAAATGCTCACAACCTCCATTGTTGGTAGAACAAGCATTTGTACCACCAGCTGGGAAAGTAAAGAGCAAACAATGAGTTTTTGTGTGTTCTTTTCAGTAGTAGTAACAATAGTAGTATCACTGGTATTGGTAGTGGAAGCAGCAGAACAGCAGCAGTAGTAAAAGCAGTAGCAGCAGCAGTAGCATAGGTGGCAACAGTTATAGTAGAGATGCTAGTGAAGTTTTATATATTGGGTTTTTACTTATGAAACTATCACAGCTAGATTAAAAATATCTAATCCAATGACACTTCAATGAAGCCTGTAAGTCAATTATAAGCAGAGATATTGACATTTTAATGATGGATAGCACCATAGACAAATTATTGTGTAAGCTGACAAAAGATGGATGCTGAGTTGCGACCCAGTAAAATGAAGGGTAGAAATGACACATTTTTACATTTTATGGCAATAACTATTTGTTGTTAAATGAACCCCTTAGCAACTATAAATCAATGCAATTGAGATAGTAAGGTCTATGCATTTCTCAAATATAAATAAAGCAATATGGGCCTAATTAACATATAAAAATGTCTACCAGCTCACTATTTTTAAATAAACATCATCTACATTTATGGCTATCTGCCAACGAGCTTGGTAAGATTTATACCGTGTTGTGAGGACCGATAAGGCGGACATAAGGATAGCACAACAATTGTTGATATCAGCTGAAGTGACCTAATTAACATATAAAAATGGCTGCCAGTTCACTAGTTTTCAAGTATGCACTTGATGTGCTAATGATTAAAACAGGTTTAAAGTAAAACAATATCCACTTCACTGCATTTGGATTTACCCCACATGGCTTGATCTGTGTCTGCACAATAGCTAGCCACATATTGAGAACAATGCACAAAGCACAACCTCCAACAAAGCTTTAGCAATGATTCACAGAGAGCCTACAACTTTCAGGCCATGAGGAAAAGGGCTTCACAACTTACTCACTAGGTGTTTAGCTTTTACTACGTATTTTTAACTTGTTTGTAAATATTTTAATGGAGCATGTGTAAAGTGTGTTACACATGTTGGATGCTATCTAACTTAGAGTAAATAGAATTTACACATCACATTAATGTGACTGTATTAACAAATGGGAATACATTGTTACTGTGTACGACGATGGATTAGCTGCTCTTTGCCGGTGAGTATGTACTATTTGTGTGTGATTAATTTATTAATGTTGTAGACTTGAAAAAATATAACTCACATAACAGCAGTATTTTAGTGTGCAAACTTAACTCCTAAAAATGCTTTGCCAATGTGGCATGGTGAGTGAAATTCAAGTACGAATGCTGGAGGTGCTCAGGTAAAACTGTATCAGATAATTATGTCACATTGAAAGAGTGACTGATGCATACAAAATTGCAACACTGATTGTGGATTTAGAAAAAAAAAATATTTCAGATAACATTACTAATTTAGTAAGCATGTTAAGTTAATTATTAAAGTTTTAAAAAATGCGGCCATGATGGCCAAAATTCATTATCTGGATATGGGGGGGGGGGGGGTCAGGTAAAAATATCTCAAATTAAAAATTGTGTGGACATGCATGAAAAAATGCTATAATGATTGTGGATTTTGACAAAATAACTCACATAACATTACTAATTTATAAGTAAGGTAAGCATTTTAAGTTAATTACTTAGAAAAGCTGCGAAAAATGTGACCATGATAGGTGTGATGGCATACCACAGCAGACTTATAGAAAAACAACATTTAAAAGTTTAAAATCAGATTAGATTATGAATTAAATTATAAATTAATATTTGATTTCTTTATAGTGTCCCTATGATGTGCCACTATAAGTGGCTAAAAGTATGAACAGGGTGGATTCCAAAAGCCACTTAATTGGTGAAAAGTCCATAAAGAGTTATCTCCTGCAGTAGTTCTCTAGGCCCATATATGTAATATGTTTTCCATTTTCATAGGATTTTGTTTGTTCACCTGCATCTTTCTGTCTTTCCAGATGAAACTTTTATATTCTGTAATATACAGTAAGTCCTTCCGAATGTCACTCTCTTCATGGCACACCTGAAAACTGATCTTTCTCTGGCCAATTCTCCAGCTGTACGCGCTTGTAGAGCTAGTATCCACCCCAGTGTGCTCTCCACTCAAGGCCATTGGCAGAGTGTGTGAGTCAGATTTAGTGTGCACTACCCAAACATTCAAATTAATTTTTTTAGTTCTTCATTTATTAATTTAGTCTTGTTCTTTGGAGTTCAAATTTCATGCACACCAGTAACTAATTTTATGCCCTAAATAATCACTGTCTACCAAGTTAAAATGGTGGCATACTGGTTTGATGCTTGGCTGTTGGTCCAAAATCTTGCATTCAAATCTACCCTGAGGGCAGATATTTTTAACCGACCCATGTTAACCTAACCTGAAATGGGCACCAGGAAATTTCCTGGGGAGTAAAGTCGACAGTGTAATGTTGATGATATCACCCATCAGTGCCAACTGGTCTATGAGAAATAGGAATCTAAGACTATATACTCAACATGCCAATGGCATCAAAAGGGTCATAAAAAAACTAATTTTTTCTAATTTAAGAAAATTGTGAGATCCAACATCAACAAAATCAAAACTTACATTCATGTCTGTCATAGTAAACTTTCAATGCCCCCACGTCCTTGATATTACTTCGCAGCACGGCCGCTGTCCTAATGAACGGGTATGGGGCTCGGTTGATGGTCTCATAGACGGCATCATAATAATAGAGTCTGTTACCATGGAAGACAACTCCCTGTGGTGACCCTGATGATACCACTTGTGAGATGGACCAGTCTTTATGAAGTATCGCTGGAGCTGTTTGACGGGAAAAATATTTCATGTAAATGATGAAACAAGTACAAAATAATGCATAATTTGGAATGAAGATAGGTAAAAGACCTTTTCATGCCATTGATGAATCTGGCATATGATACTAGAGCTATAACATTGTGGACAGTGAAGAAATATGCTGCAATATCGACAGCTGCGAGTCATTGTGCACAGCGGCTAGATGTTTGCCTGCGAATTGGAAGGTCGTGGGTTTGCTCCCTGGAGGGGCCGAACTTTTTTTTTTTTTCAAAAATTACCTTGACTACCAGATTGACCCAGCCTTGAGTGGGTACCGGGTGCAGTTCCAGGAAGTAAAGGCAGCCAACCAGTGTGATGCTGACCACATCACCCATCTTGTCTATAAAAATATAGGTCTAGCCCTATATGCCCTATACGCCTAAAGGGTGGAAAAGGTTACTTGAATTTTTTTTTTTTAATTAATTTATTGACAGCTGCAAATGTTATTAGTTGACTTGAAAACCATACAGACAAGACAATTCAATGTGTGGGGTATGTCAATAAAAGAGGTGGATATGTTGATATATGCCAGGTATAGAAAGACTTGAGAATTACTGTGTAGAAATATTATTAGCTATGCAAGAAAAAGAAAATCAAAATCAGATTCATTAAAATGTATGGCTGCAGACGTAATCATAGTGGCCAATGTCTGCTCCAGAAACATGTATACAGAGGAGGAGGAGGATGAGGAGAAGAAAAAACATTATTGAGAGAGAGAAAACATTATTGAGAGATAGAGAGAGAGAGAGAGAAAGAGAGAGGGAGGGAGAGAGAGAGAGAGAGAGAGAGCGAGAGCGAGAGAGAGAAAGAGAGAGAGAGAGAGCGAGAGAGAGAGAGAGAGAGAGAAAGAGAAAGAGAGAGAGAGAGAGAGAGAGAAAGAGAGAGAGAGAGAGAGAGAGAATGATACATAGTATATAAGGTTTTATTTAATGAGCTTGTTCACCAACAAAAAGACTTGACTTTTGGTCGCTTCATAATGCCTCTTTTTTTTAAATTTGTTTTTCCAGCATATAAAAATCTTGGGTCAGTCTGTCTGTCTTCCTGCCCTACTACCTTACCTTTCTATGAAAAGTATCGGTAAAGTACAGACTCTGTGACTGTGTGTCTAGTGTCAAATAGGCTGGGTTTCGGATGCCTACTGACAGCAAGACTCTAGGATTTGAACCATCCATATCCATTACCCCAATCTTGGCTGGAACTCCTGGCACTCCACCATCTCCCCAGTACAACAACCTACAAAGAAAATTGAAAATGTCATCCCAATTTATTGTATAGTCAAAGAAAGCAGTTTTACTAATTTTTTGGCCTGTGATTTGCATAAAGAAAACAATTCTACAAAAAGCAGTAGTAGCAACTTCTAAAGTGGCAACCTGTTCAACCTATGCGGGTTATAATTTGGATGTATATCATTTTTTTTTTAAATTTCATTTTATTGCAGCTCTACAGTTTAGAGGTTAGTGAAACTTGTCCCTCGACGTTTACCACAGTTAAATTCCCATAGTTATAGCCTTAAAGTTTACCAAGGTTCAATTCCCATGGTTATAGCCTTGACCTTTACCGAAGTTAAATTCCCATAGTTATAGCCTTAACATTTATTTACCAAAGTTAAATTCCCATAGTTATAGCCTTAATGTTTTCCAGTCAAATTCCCATAGTTATAGCCTTAATGTTTATTTACCACAGTTGAATGTCCATAGTTAAAGCCTTAACCTTTCCCAAGGTTCAATTCCCACAGTTATAGAAAGACCTGTTTCATGGCAATCAGTGGTATGAGAGTGACACCATGGAAGAGACTGAGCCCTCACCATGTTATATTCACATAGTTAGCAGTGGACACATTACAGCCAAACTCCATTACAGACACAGCACAATTTGTTTTTCTATTTCAAAATTTATTATTAATATTTGTCAATTTCCCGGTTCTACAAATATGACCAGTTTCTCAACATTTTCCACGACCTTCCGATCCGCAGGTGGACATCTAGCTGCTAGGTCACTAGGTAACTCCCTGCAAAATAATTTGAATTATATAAACAGAAATTATCTAAGATTTGTGGAGTAATTTTCAGATGATAAAATTTTCTAGTAGCTCTCGACAGTCAGCTAGCTGTTCTGTGAGAAAAAACCAAGCCGCATCAGATAAAGCCCAAGTCGATTCTCTCAACTTAAACATCCATTACCAAAAAAAAAATCCACAAATGCTAAATTAACATCACCCTGTAAGAGCCATCTGATATGGTTTTTCAGTTCTTTGTGGCCCAAAGTTTGTAATGCATCAAATAACATATGGTTGAGTTGAATTGAATCAAGAATTGACATCCCAGCACTCAGTGCATTCCATCCTCATCTTCAGCAGCCAGCACGGAGTTCCAACACTGATGGTACCGGTCACAATCTAGAATGACATATGGTATGCTAAACAAAATGTATGGTGTTACATAATTTCCCTTACCCCTTGCCAGGGTCCACACATAGTGATAGGGGATTAGCAACATCTCGATTTCTGCCTTGGTTGCTGTGCAATACTCTACGATAATGGACAGGGCCATCAAGTCTCATCACCTGCAGAATTAAAAAATGCTTATAGAGGTATAAAACAACCAATTGCTCACTACAAGTTAAAGCCAAAAATCATCTCTGTTATGAACATATATAAATTATTTCACTCCCCCCCCCCCCCCCCCCCCCCCCCCCCCCCCCCCCCCCCCCGTCCCCCCCCCCCCCCCCCCCCCCCCCCCCCCCACCCCCTTTTCCCCCCCCCCCCCCCCCCCCCCCCACCCCCCTCCCCCCCCCCCCCCCCCTCCCCCCCCCCCCCCCCCCCCCCCCCCCACCCCCCCCCCCCCCACCCCCTCACCCCCCCCCCCCCCCCCCCCCCCCCCCCCCCACCCCCCCCCCCCCCCCCCCTCCCCCCCCACCCCCCAGAGCCCCCCCCACCCCCCCCCCCCCCCCCCCCCTGACTTTTGCATTATGGTTGGAACTTTGCATTATGGTTTACAGCTAGGCTGTGATATCTGTACTTTTCAGCCCAATTTATTCAATCTCAGCAAATCCTTAATTAGGTACCTTAATGACATATATGTTCAGGGCTAATGGGTATTTATTTTTGTGTCCTGAAACTAGGGATAACAGCCCACATAAGGAAATATATTTTATAAAGTGAAGACTATCTTATGCAAAAAATGGAGGTTAGAGACATAATTTGTGCATGCTACATATAACCACATAAGGAAATATATTTTATAAAGTGAAGACTATCTTATGCAAAAAATGGAGGTTAGAGACATAATTCGTGCATGCTACCTATAACCAGTTTAAGAATGGATGTGAATCCCTGACAAGTATCAAATAAGCCAAACAGATTTCCTGGATGCTCCAAAGATGTTTTGCAAAAACAAATTTGTTTAAACTTCTAGGATAATCGGAATGTGTTATTTATATTTTTCTTTGGCTCTCTGGGTTCCAAAGCCCTCTAGGTCTATTATATTCTAGTTATATTATTATAAAGTTTCTCTCAAGGGCTGACCTATCCAACATCAGCGTTTATTCCTCAACATTTGGTTCATCTGAATCTCCAGATTGTCTATAATTTTCTTCTTACACCGTCTAAAAACATACACAAAATGCAAACTAAAATCACAATAACGATTGCCACTATTATTTAATAACTCCAACATAATGGTTTAAATTCTGTTCCCCATAATCCATACACCAACAATCACCAGAAAAACTGTTCCCAATCCACTACTAAAAGTTGCACACCCAGTTTTCCTCCTACACATTTTACAAGACACTGAACATCTAGAAACTGCACATGAAATTTTCTTCATACACATTCTACAAAACATTTACCATTGTGTAAAACCATAATAATGATTGCCCCATTTGTTGATACCTTCAGCTGTCCCCATTACTAAAGGCCACCACATTTTCTTCATACACATTCTATAAAACATGTCTCATGCAATCTAAACCCACAACAGCTGTCCCCATTACTAAAGGCCACCACATTTTCTTCATACATATTCTATAAAACATGTCTCATGCAATCTAAACCTACAACAGCTGTCTCCATTACTAAAGGCCACCAAATGTTTTTCATACACATTCTATAAAACATGTCTCATGCAATCTAAACCTATAACAGCTGTCCCCATTACTAAAGGCCACCACATTTTTTTCATACACATTCTATAAAACATGTCTCATGCAATCTAAACCTACAACAGCTGTCCCAATTCCCTGTTTCTGTTTAAACAATGGATCAACATCATGGCACAAGGGTGGTAATCCACAAGTGCTCCGTTCTACTTCTAACTTAAGCCTAAGTTCGAAGAATCTCAGCGCAGTGCACAAACTCTGTAGCGCAGGTGAAAATCCTGAAATACTTTGGGTAGATCTTTAACTCAAAATTTTGCTCTGGCAGGACTATTAAGCTACTCTTTTTGTTTTCCAACTGCCAAGGGATTATCAATGTGCGCACTGGCATCCGATCTTACTACCCTGAGACCAGGGGAAATTACTAGAAGTCCACGTGAGAAAAAAATCCTATAGTAAAAAAAAATCCCCATTCCCTGGTACCTCCAAAAGACTGGCTGCAGCATTGGCCCAGTACAAGTTCCTGGACATCCAGTCAATAGCGATTGCATTTGGGCTGCCAATGACTGCTGTAGGAACAAACTCAGAGGTGTTACGTCCATTGACTTGTATCCTCTTTAAACTACCCTACAGAAATAAAATTAATTATTACAATTAAAATCTCGTACATGTTTACACACACACACAAAAACTATGTGAAAAAAAATTGAAAGTTGACTGGAGATGAGCACAGGGAGGCAACAATAAAATGTGTGAGGAAAACATTAAGAGATAGACAAATAGCTGTCTGAGTGAGCATACCACCATGGCAAGAGACAGAGAGTGTTGGAAATCTATTACAGCAAACTTTTACTCTAGAGATGGCAGCTGATTGAAGATGTCAGAACTGCATTAAAAAAAAAAAAACTATCTCTAACTCTTACAACCTCAAAGGATGTTTAGATACCCATAAGGAAAAGGTGTGTGTGTGTGTGTGTGTGTGTGTGTGTGTGTGTGTGTGTGTGTGTGTGTGCGCGCACGTGCGTGCGTGCGTGCGTGCGTGCGTGTGTGTGTGTGTGGGCGTGCGTGTATGTGTTGGTGCATGCGCGTGCGTGCGTGCGTGCGTGTGTGTGTGTGACATTTTCATGGCTCTCTGACAGTGGTATGAGAGTTGCACTGCGGAAAAGATTGGGAGTCTCACCATTTAATATTTCCAAAGGCAGCAAAGGCAGCAGTGAATGTAGATATCCACTGTAGCCAACCTCCATTGTGGGGACGGCAGAATATTTATTTTATTTACAAGTGAGGTTGGTAGGTGAGTTAGCAAGTAAAGGACCCATTTTATACATTCTGAACATAGAGCTTGACCTATATTTTGATAGACTACTGGCAGTTGACGAGTGATGTGGTCAGCATCAAGTTGTCTATCTTTAGTTTCAAGGACATTCTTTAGAACTAATTAACTCTTTGAGTCCCAAGGAACGCATCATACGTTCATAGGTTCCTACCTAGAAGCCCAATGAACGCATGATGCGCCGATTTTATGACTCTCTTTGCTACTCCCTGGGCCTGTGACGTTAAACCCCCTGGGATTCAAAGAGTTAAGGATAGGCTGGCTTGGGACCTAGGTCATTTTTATTTACTAGAAATTTTAAAGTAAGGTTACAGGTAAAGAATAACCACTATGAGAAATCCTGAGTGCAATAAAGAAGCTGAAAATACATCAGAAGTGGCTGTAGAGAAATACTAAATTGTTTGGTCATTTAGCAAATGTGAAAAATAAAATAAAATCTAAGAAGATACATAGTTTGATGACAGGGATTCAATTAAAAATTCAGATCTCTTATTATACACTGTGTAGAATTTGGATCAGTTAATAATATTTTACTACATCAAGCTCAAAATAGCCCTATTTCTTATCTAAAATTATACTAACATTATTAAAGTCACATATTCAAAAAGGGCTCTTTTTCGTGACTTCAGGCATACTGAGTTTATAGTATAAAAGCTGTAAATATACCCCTGTAAATATACCCCTGTAAATATACCCCTGTAAATATCCCCTGTAAATATACCCCTGTAAATATACCCCTGTAAATATACCCCTGTAAATATACCTCTGTAAATATACCCCTGTAAATATACCCCTGTAAATATACCCCTGTAAATATACCCCTGTAAATATACCCCTGTAAATATACCTCTGTAAATTTACCCCTGTAAATATACCCCTGTAAATATACCCCTGTAAATAAAACGGACGGCACAATATGAATATGACAACTGTCTAAATAAAAAATATCATACTATAACTACAGTATGAAAAAGGAAAAACATGTTGAAAAACCTTAAACATATATTAAATGAATTAATAACAGACTATATATAACAACAGGATACTACATGTATAAACTAATACAAAACATTAGCACTCACATTAATTTTCTCGACATAGTAAATGAAGCCATCCCTACTATCAAAATCAAAATCCTGGCCATTACTGATGGAACTGACAGGAATAATGCCTGTCACATTTGTGCTGCCTAATTTGATTCCAGCAATGAAGCGTGACTGCATGAACAGAAGGATTTCTGAAGAATCTGTAAGGATTTCAAAGTTAGCTGAATACGTGTTTTATAATTGTTTACCCATGAGGCTGCAGTCTGAAATGAAAGATTGACATCCAGCAACACAAGAAGTCCCTTCTGATATGAATCTAAGAGGAGAACCACTGCTTTATACAATAGTTTAATGAGGTTAAAGTCAAGAGGATGCACCAGGTTTTATCCTATATGGCTCAGTCTCTCTCCACAGAACAGCCCCTGCCCCTCCTTCCTTGTACCATACCTTCTGCTATTATTTTTTCCAATCCGTCGTGGCGCTTGATATGACCAAAATACTTTAGCTTCCGAGACAGGATGCTGTTTATTAGCAATTCTTCCTTGATGTTCAGAGCTTTCAAGATGTCAGTATTTCTCCTCTTCTTTGTCCAAGATATTCTGAGAATCTTTCTAAAGCATTTCAGCTCAAAAGCACCTATTCTCTTTCTTAAGGACTGGGAGATAGTCCACGACTCACATCCGTATGTAGCTACAGGGAAGATTGGAGATAGTCCACGACTCACATCTGTATGTCCGTATGTAGCTACAGGGAAGATTGGAGATAGTCCACGACTCACATCTGTATGTTGCTACAGGGAAGATGGGAGATAGTCCACGACTCACATCTGTATGTTGCTACAGGGAAGATGGGAGATAGTCCACGACTCACATCTGTATGTTGCTACAGGGAAGATGGGAGATAGTCCACGACTCACATCTGTATGTTGCTACAGGGAAGATGGGAGATAGTCCACGACTCACATCTGTATGTTGCTACAGGGAAGATGGGAGATAGTCCACGACTCACATCTGTATGTTGCTACAGGGAAGATGCATGCTCTTAAAATTTTAATTTTGATCTCCCTGCTGGTGCTTGACCATAGACTTTTAATGCTGTTTAAACTTTGCATTGCTATGAACATCTTCCTTTTAATTTCTGTCAAACAGTCTCCCTTGCTATTTATTATAGAGCCTAGATATTTAAAGTTTGTGACATTTTCGATTTCTTTATCATTTATTGTTTTTGTTCAACCATATAAAACAATTATATTGGGACACCCTTGTTACATGTCATCTCTTGTCCAGTGTGGGTGTGTAATATACCTGCTGCTTCTTCTTCTTTAGCATTTCAAGCCCTTGAGAATCTTTGCTTTCTTTTTATGTTTATTTTTAATCATCAACGGCCTTCATAAATCTCTGTTACTGGCCTTCTCTTTTCAGTTGGTGAATTGACTTTTTCTTTCCAACTGGTGATTCCAAGTGCTTGTAGGTCTGCCTGGATATTATTTCTAAACCGTCTTCTTGGTCTGTCACAGGGTATGACTCCCATATAACTCTTGTGTACACAGTTTTTGTAGCTGTTAAATGATTTAAATCAATACAGACATGAAGCTATGCCTTTTCAGCCTAAATTAATGGTTTCAAAGTTTTATTTCACAGAACCCTTTAAATTCTTATTTCTTTTAGAGCCATGCAACTATGTCTTCTAAAAGTACCTTACCTGTATAGGATTGTAGATTACACCTGGGTAGTTGTACTTGGTGTTGTTCTTACTAGTACCCTAATTATAACTTCTTGAGAGATTGAACAGTGTAACTGGGATCTGACCTGTTAAAATGCCATCTGATCACTGGGGTAGTCAAACCTGCAGGTAACAGCCCAGACTGACTGACTGACTATCTACCCCACCAGGACATCACACAAGCGATAAACACAGGAGAACACAAAGTGCCACCATGTGGATGAGGATCGCCGTGGAGAGGTCCCAGAAACCGCGTTCAGACAATTGGCCATATTTATGGCCTGCCTATATTGCGGCCCCTGGCAAAAGCCAGGGTGGGGCTTCAAATAACGAAAAATTTCGTCCTAAAAAGGACAAAAATAACTCTCATAACAGCACAGAGGGGAAAGAATAGTCTTCATCATTGTCTTGTTCTGCCCTTCAAAGTGTAGGCTCTCAGCTAACTTTTGCCAAACCCTCCATAGATCTAATCATGACTGGTTGGATTTTGCAGTTTCCCTCAACCCTTCCTAACTGCCTCAAACGAGATGTTTGTTAAGCTACAGTGCCATTATTTTTCACTGGCTTTACTGATAATATCATGTCATCATCATCATCATAAACCACTTCTGCTGTTAAGTGTCGTGGGGAGGAATAATCTAAATATCATATGTATCTTTAAAAATAGCTCTTTCTGTCTCAAGCGATTCTTCTTGAATATATGACAAATATATGTTATTAACTTTTAAATCTGGTCAGACCTTACTAAGAGATTCTGGCTTCATACATAACTACTCCCATGACTGACTGACTGACTTTCTACCCCACTAGGACATCACACAAGCGATAAACACCCGATGACACAAAGTGCCACCATGCGGATGAGGATCACCGTGGAGAGGTCGAAGAAACCGCGTTCAGACAATTGGCCATGTTGATGGCCTGCCTATATTGCGGCCCCTGGCAAAAGCCAGAGTGGGGCTTCAAATAACAAAAAATTGCATCCTAAAAAGGACGTAAAGAACCCCATGGTGTAATTAGTCTCTTAAAGGTTATACACTCGGAAAGTTTAAAGTCGTTAATAGAGTATAATACTCTCATTTGGAATCTGCTGCAGAACCTTTGGGAACTGAAGAGTTATAATTTTACAGCACTAACACCTGTACAACATATGTACACAATATAACATCATTTGACATGAAATGAAATGATACAACTCATTTCCAGCAACATACAACATGTTACACAACATGTGGCACAGAATATTTATGTTCCACAACATATGGTATACAACATACATCAAACAGTAAACATCATTCAGCCTACATCAGACACCACATGTCAAATGATATACACCACAGAACATACCTTTAACACAGTTGTGAGCTGTGCCATCCAAAGTCATCCCAATGGGACATGCACAACTGTAGCCAGTTGGTCTAGGAGACAGCAGACATAGGTGGCTGCACTGAGCTTCCTGGCATGGGTTAGTGCCTTTGGATTACAGCAAAGATGCTTTCAGTTATTTACAGCTACGAAAAGCTACAGAGTAAAGATAAAAACCTGTTTCTGAATTTAAAGAAAACAAAAATAGTGTTCACAGACAAAACTGCCTGTCACTCAAAAAAAAAAAGCAATGATAGAGAAACTGAAAATGTCACAAACATTGAGTATCTAAGTTCCATAATAAACAGCACTGCAGACTTTACAACAGAAGGGAAAAGGAGAATGGTCGTAGCAATGCAAAGATTAAACAGCATTAACTCTTTGAGTCCCAGGGGGTTTAGTATCACAGGCCTAGGGGGTACTAATGAGAGTCATAAAATCGGCGCATCATGCGTTCATTAGGCTTCTAGGTTGGAATCTTTAAACGTATGATGCGTTTCTTGGGACTGAAAGAGTTAAAAGTCTATGGTTAAGTATCAGCAAGGAAATCAAGGTGAAAGTTTTGAGGGCATGCATCTTCCCTGTATCAACATACCAATGTAAGTCGTGGACTATCTCACAGTCATCAAGGAAGAAAATAGGAGCTTTTGAACTGAAATGCTACAGAAAGATTCCCAGAATACCACAAACTGAGAAGAGAAGAAATACTGACATCCTAAACGATTTGAAGATCAAGGAAGATTGGCAGGTAAAAAGCATCTTGTCTTGTCATAGTACCAGCAGTAGTAATTAAAACAACAATATCCTGATCAATCCATCTGGGTTATAATTGGGATATATTTTTCTATTTCAATAATGTATTTATGTCTGCAAATTATGTTAGTCTATATTGTTGTCAAATAGAAAAGATTTTGGTTCAATTTTGTGCAAAATAAGGCAACCGAAAAATCTTTTCTGTCTGACAACAATAGACTAACATATTTTAAGAAGAATAAAGTGTGTGCATCAATCAACAGCCACATGATGATGATTTAAACAAAATAAACACTCTTTATTCTTCTTGAAATGTGTTCTCCATTCAATTTGGTGCAAAAGTACAAAATACAATAAGTGTATGTTAAGTAACTGTGAAGCTATGGCATTTTCAGTACAAAGTAAAATACTTGGTATCTGAAAAAGTGCAAGGATCAAAGGGCTTGGCAAACAGTGGGTTAAAGCAATATAAAATAAATATTACCTGTTGGCTGTTTGATGATATTGTAAACAGCAATGCCCAGGGGTCTGGCTATACTTGAAGCAAGGACTGACCGGTCAGAACAGTTGAACTTGTTACACATGGATACTCTACTAGCAGCTCTGTCCGTCCAATATAACCAGTCCTCGTAGATGGTGAGGGAGTGGGGATGTCGCAGGAACTGAGTGATAGAAGAATAACAGGTTACTGATCAGGTTGCGGGAATCAAAGGAAGACTGCACAACTGCAACCACATTCAGACTCTTCTTTTTCAATCTTTCTGACAGAAAACCTTTTAAAAAGAAGCCAGTAGCCTTGATGAAAGTCTTTGTGCAGTCCAGATTTCCCTGTGTACCATATATCTCTCGCCCGTGTGTTACCGAGGGGCCTCACGGGAAGCAAAGAATAGTGACACTGCACCATACCAGGCATGTCGTAAGAGGCGACTAAGGGTAGGGTTGAGCTTGAGGTTGGCTGCCTCATCCTGTAAAAATAATAGCAACAAAAACCAACCAACCATGGAAAAATCAAAAAAGAGAAGCAAGTAAAACCGAGCCAGCCAAGATGAGGGAAGGCTCTTCAAGTAGAAGTATGACACAGTGTGGAGAAAGCCGTAAGGAGTTCGGATCGTTGACGTACCTCCTCTCAGCTAGGAAAACCTCCAGAATTGGCACCTGGAATGTTAGAACTCTCTATGCCAGACCAGAAGTTCGTCCTCTCCACAGCACAAAGCCTGGGCAGTATTGTATTGCACGATCCCTCTCTCAACCTGCCTTGTTTACTCTAAAGAAAAGGTAACACCAGTACATTTGGAACAAAGCCGGTGCAGAAGAGCAGTGCTCTATCTGTTAGCCTGTTGGAGCTTTCCTCCTAAACCAGCTGCCAGTAATCATGTCGTACGCTCATATTTATTCATTGTCTTGTTTCTACCATTATTTGTCACATATGGCTTACAGTCTATTATTATTTTTCATTCTAACTTTTGCAATCAGTTCAATAACACTGATGTGAACTAGGTCTAATTAGGATTAATTTACTAATGACTAATAACTAACTCAAAAAAATTACTTAAATAAACAAATTCTTACCATTAAAACCACATCAGTTAAAACATTCACAACGCAACACATTTTAATATAAACTTGACAGAAATATGAATGGTATACTTCTTCAAGAACAAATTACATACATGATCATTAGCAAACACTTGGTGCCTCCCAGACCCATCATAGTTACAAAACTCAATGAAGTCCATCCTGGCATCTGCAAAGTACAGCCTCTTGTTGGGATAGTCAATGGTCAGAGCATTGGGCCAAAACAGTTTCTCAGAAACTAGAGTAATACGATTGGTGCCATCCAGGCCTGATCGCTCAATGCGTGGATTCTGACCCCAGTCTGACCAGAACAGGTATCGCACCCTGAAAACAGACATAACATTTTGTATAAAATAATTTTTTTTATAGGCCTGTAGAAAAGCAGTAAAGATAATAGTTATAACCAGTGTTTTAATGAGAGGTGATGGCCAAGAATGAAGGAAATAGATCACCATAAAAGCAGTAAAATTAATAATTATTATTCTTTCTCAGCATTTTAATGTAAACTGGTGGCCAAGTACGAAGAAAACAGATAATCATAAAAGCAGAAAAACTAATAATTATTATTCTTTGGCATTTTAATGTCAAATGATGACTAAGTATGCTGAAAACAGATCTTCAGAAAAACAGCAAAGATAATTATCATTGTTCTTTAGAACTTTAATGTAAGGCAATGGCAAAGTGAGGAGAAAAAATAGCAGATCATCAGAAATACAGTATAGATGATTATTACTATTCTTCAGAATTTTAATGTGAGACAATGGCAAAGTATGGGAGTCTCCATGGCCCAGCGTCTAGACGCTCGCCATGGATCGGCAGGTCGTGGGTTCGCTCCCTGGCAGAGCCGGATTTTTTTTTCAAAAATGACCTTGGCTCCCAGGTCGACCCAGCCTTGAGTGTGTACTGGGTGCAGTCCCGGGAAGTAAAGACGGCCAGTGTGATGCTGGCCCCATCACCTATCTTTGCCGATTGGTCTATAAAAATATAGGTCTAGCCCTACATGCCCTATACGCCTAAGGCGTGGAAAAGGGTCCTTTACCTTTACTTTACTTCTACTTTTTTTTAAATGGCAAAGTATGCAGGCATGCGCACACACACATATATATACACAAACCAGATCAACAGAAATGCAGTATACATGATTATTTCTATTTTTCAGCATTTTAATGTCAGACACTGGCCAAGTATGCAGAAAACAGATCATCAGATAAGCAATCAATTATTATTATTCAGCATTTAAATGTAAGGCCAAGTATACAGAAAAAATAGATTTTTTAGAAGAACAGTTAATTATTATTCAGCAATTGGCACATTGCGTTTTAGTCTATAGCTAGAGTGTAATATCTGTGTCTTTTGACCCCAAAACATCTATTTCAGCAAACCTTTAATTAGTTGCCTTATAAGACATGCTTGTTTACTACAGCAGGTAAGAGCTGAAATAACAACTGCTCAGGAAAGAACAGGTTGAGTAATAGCCGGAACTGCAGGAGTTAATAAAAGTTATAGACTGACTTACCCATCACGAGGATCAACCTCAATAGCCCTTGGGTTTGTAATGTTCTCGCTAAATAAAACCATGCGATTCTCCCCAGACAAGTTGACCACCTCAATGGTCTCCATGCCATAGTCTGTCCAGTACAGGTTCTGACCAATCCAATCCACAGCTATGTCCTCAACAACATCAATGCCAGTGGCTACAATCTGTGAATCAGTCATTCTTTGATATAGTTACAGGTCTAGTATATATAACAGTGTCAGTGGCTACAATCTGTGAATCAGTCATTCTTTGATATAGTTACAGGCCTTGTATATATAACAGTGTCAGTGGCTACAATCTGTGAATCAGTCATTCTTTGATATAGTTACAGGTCTAGTATATAGTTATTCTGTGATATAGTTACAGGTCTAGCATACCTAATAATGTCAGCGGCTACAATCTGTGAATCAGTCATTTTTTGATATAGTTACAAGTCTAGTATAAATAACTGTCAGTGGCTACAATCTATGAATCAGTTATTCTTTGATATAGTTACAGGTCTAGTATATCTAATAATGCCAGTGGCTACAATCTGTGAATCTTTGATATAGTCACAGGTCTAGTATATATGTGTCTGTGGCTACAATCTGTGAATCAGTTATTCTTTGATATAATTACAGGTCTAGTAAATCTAACAATGCTAGCAACTAAAATCTGAATATCTGATATCTCTGCAGGTCTAGTATATACAACAGTGTCAGTGGCTACAGTATGTGAATCAGTTATCCTCTGATATGGCTACAAATCTATTATGTCTAATAATGTCAAGGGCTACAATCTGTGATTCTTTGATTAGGTTACAGGTCTAGTATATCAAATACTGTCAATGGCTACAATCTGTGAATCAGTTATTCTTTGATATAGATACAGGTCTAGTATATCTAACAATGCCAGTTGCTACAATCTGTAAATCAGTTATTCTTTGATATAGTTACATGTCTAGTATATATAATAATGTCAATGATTACAATCTGTGAATCAGTAATTCTTTGATATAGTTACGGGTCTAGTATATCTAACAATGCCACTGGCTACCATCTGTGAATCTTTGACATAGTTACAGGTCTAGTATATATATATAACAGTATCAGTGGCTAAAATCTGTGAATCAGTTATTCTTTGATATAGTTACAGGTCTGGTATATTTAATAGTGTCAGTGGCTACAATCTGTGAATACTGTGACAAATCTATCAAACTTAACAGTGACAGTGGTTACAATCCATGATTACAGTTGCAGGTCTAGAATATCTAACAGTGTCAATGCTACAATATATGAAATAGTTATTTTAAAGATAAATTACAGAATAAACAGAAAGGACAATAAAAGTAAATACGTTACGATCAGAGCAGTGCTAAACTGAATAAATTAATCAAGTAACAGAAAGTGTATTGATCGGCACTCATAGAAAGAAGTAGAAAGGTAGAAGAACACACTAGACAACATAAAAATCGAAAGCTATAGTTACCGCGCCAGGAATTGAACCTGTCACCTCCAGACGGCATCTGCGCCTCGCCATGGATACAAGTGCACTAAGAACACGGTCAACTAGGCACCCCCAAAAAAAAGGTGTCTTGTTGGCCATATCTATCGTACAGCTTGAAATCCACAACTATGGAATACGGACAGAATTCATTTCAAACCATTGAAAATGGCACCATAGGTTACAGAAATTTATATTAACGAAGTATATGTCGAATAACAAACAAGAGACAACAGATCAGCAGGTTCAGACACGCGTCAAGGTTACCAAAAGATAGTGCACCATAGAAACATAAAAACAATGAGAATCAATTACTCCAGGATGTAGTTACAGATCTACAATATATCTGCTAAAAAATCAATGCTGATGCAGATCAACAAAATTGACAATCTGCAGCTACAATCTGAGACTCAATTATTCCATGACATAGCTACAGGTCTAAACACAGGAGAATAAAACAGATCAATTTTTAATCAGGTTGCAGTTGGCACCATTAGTATGGGAAATCCTTGTTGGCTAGTGAGAAAGGAGACGGAGCATGTATGAGAATGTCCAGAGTGCAGTTATGCCAGTTTTTGATTCATTCATTCATCTACCACCGATGCATATAGCTGCAAGCTAAGAATCAATTCCTTCAAGAGACAGTTACAGATCTAAAATTTTGAAACAGTCCTATTAGTTACAATTGAAGAAACAAGTATACTACAGGAGAGCTGCAGGTCTACCATTTCTAAGACTAAAATATCTACAGGCAAAAAATATCTTCTGACATCTCTCAAATAGTCAGTCATCTCTCACATGTGAAAACAAAAAATATAAATGCTGCAGCATTATGCCAAACACTTGCCTCAAGATAAAACAAAATATCTCCCTGTGCAGAAGTAAATATAATTAATATCTTCTTTTTTTTTCTTCTTCTTCTTCTGTGTTTGCCTTTTAAAGGGTAGTGGGTACATTGCGTTGTGGTTTACAGCTAGGCTTCAATATCTGTGCCTTTCGGCCCACCATGCTGGATTTAAGAAAACCCCTAATTAGTTGCCTGTTATGATATGCATTTTTAGGGGCACAGTGGGTCTGCTATTTTTCTCCCCAGAACCCATACACCCAAGTCCTAGTGTAAATACAAACAGATATAAGATCATTTACAAATGCCATCTTCCATCAGATACTAGGGAGATAGCATGACCTATTCCAAATAATGTGATAAAAACAATGCTAAATTAGCCACAACAACAAAACCAGACCTCTGTCAGATTTGTTCCATTGATGTCTGTTCTAAATATTTTCTTGAGAACAGTGTCGGAGAAGTAAATATGTGATTTGTTGACGTCTATATCTATGGCGGTCAGCGACCGAAATGGAGGCAGTGGAAGAGTATCATACATCCACACTTCAAGGTTGGACTTGACCACTGAAGTTCTGCTGGCGATGAGCAGGTGTAAAGCAGTGTCATCTGAAACAGCGGGAAAAGGTCACTTTAATATTTAGCAATGTACAGAAGAGTAGATTTTGGTGTAGTAGTATCAGCAGCAGCATCAGCAGTAATGGTAGTGATTTAATTATATTTATCTGGCTCACCTCGTCTGGCTTAAAAGCCTACTACTTTTAGCTACTAATAAAATTTTCTGTATTTGATTGTTGGCAAAAAGATATTTTGATAGTCTTAGCAGAGATGATAGTTTTAAATGTTATCAGTTTACAGACAACTAGAAATATGAGACTAGCATCATAATCCTAATCTGCCACTGACATAAGAAGGGTTTTTTTACTTGTTTTTTTTTTAAACATTTCTCACACGTGGCAGAAGATGAAAACTAGTTTCCTCTAGGCTGTCTTTGCTGCCTGTATTTTACCATTTTATTTTTTTGGGGCAGTATAAGACAGGAGGTCTTTGAATCTGAGCATTAAGGGCATGCATTTCAAGTGTAGTCGGCAGGCTGGGTGACTTTGTCGACACCATGCTGGGTGATGTTGTCGACACCATGCTGGGTGATTTTGTTGACACCATGCTGGGTGATGTTGTCGACACCATGCTGGGTGATGTTGTTGACACCATGCTGGGTGATGTTGTCGACACCATGCTGGGTGATGTTGTCGACACCATGCTGGACGATGTTGTTGACACCATGCTGGGTGATGTTGTCGACACCATGCTGGGTGATGTTGTCGACACCATGCTGGGTGATGTTGTTGACACCATGCTGGGTTATGTTGTCGACACCATGCTGGGTGATGTTGTCGACACCATGCTGGGTGATGTTGTCGACACCATGCTGGGTGACGTTTTCGACACCATGCTGGGTGATTTTGTCGACACCATGCACTGTGATATTGTCAACACCATGCTGAGTGATGTTGTCGACACCATGCTAGGTGGTGATGTTGACACCATGCTGGGTGATACTGTCAACACCATGCTAGGTGGTGATGTTGACACCATGCTGGGTGATATTGTCAACACCATGCTGGGTGATATTGTCAACACCATGCTGGGTGATGTCGACACCATGCTGGGTGATGTTGTTGACACCATGCTGGGTGGTGATGTTGACACCATGCTGGATGATGTTGATACCATGCTGGGGGATGTTGTTGACACCATGCTGGGTGATGTTGTTGACACCATGCTGGGTGATGTTGTTGACACCATGCTGGATGATGTCGATACTATGCTGGGTGATGTTGCTGACACCATGCTGGGTGATGTTGTCGACACCATGCTGGGTGATGTTGTCGACACCATGCTGGGTGATGTTGTCGACACCATGCTGGGTGATGTTGTCGACACCATGCTGGGTGATGTTGTCGACACCATGCACTGTGATGTTGTCAACACTATGTACTTTGATGTTGTCAACACCATGCTGGGTGATGTTGTCGACACTATGCTGGGTGATGTTGTCAACACCATGATGGGTGATGTTGTCAACACCATGCACTGTGATGTTGTCAACACCATGTACTTTGATGTTGTCAACACCATGCTGGGTGATGTTGTCGACACCATGCTGGGTGATGTTGTCGACACCATGCTGGGTGATGTTGTTGACACCATGCTGGGTGATGTTGTTGACACCATGCTGGGTGATGTTGTTGACACCATGCTGGGTGATGTCGACACCATGCTGGGTAATGTTGTCAACACCATGCTGGATGATGTCGACACCATGCTGGGTAATGTTGTCAACACCATGCTGGGTGATGTCGACACCATGCTGGGTGATGTTGTTGACACCATGCTGGGTGATGTTGTTGACACCATGCTGGGTGATGTTGTTGACACTATGCTGGGTTATCTTGTCGACACCATGCTGGGTGATGTTGTTGACACCATGCTGGGTGATGTCGACACCACGCTGGGTAATGTTGTCAACACCATGCTGGGTGATGTTGTTGACACCATGCTGGGTGATGTTGTTGACACCATGCTGGGTGATGTTGTTGACACCATGCTGGGTGATGTTGTTGACACCATGCTGGGTGATGTTGTCAACACCATGATGGGTGATGTTGTCAACACCATGCACTGTAATGTTGTCAACACCATGTACTTTGATGTTGTCAACACCATGCTGGGTGATGTTGTCGACAAAATGCTGGGTGATGTTGTTGACACCATGCTGGATGATGTCAACACAATGCTGGGTGATGTCGACACCATGCTGGGTGATGTTGTCAACACCATGCTGGGTGATGTTGTTGACACCATGCTGGATGATGTTGTCGACACCATGCTGGGTGATGTTGTTGACACCATGCTGGGTGATGTTGTCGACACCATGCTGGGTGATGTTTTCGACACCATGCTGGGTGATGTTGTCGACACCATGCTGGGTGATGTTGTCGACACCATGCTGGGTGATGTTGTTGACACCATGCTGGGTGATGTTGTCAACACCATGGTGGGTGATGTTGTTGACACCATGCTGGGTGACGTTTTCGATACCATGCTGGGTGATGTTGTTGACACCATGCTGGGTGATGTTGTTGACACCATGCTGGGTGACGTTTTCGACACCATGCTGGGTGATGTTGTTGACACCATGCTGGGTAATGTTGTGGACACCATGCTGGGTGATGTTGTGGACACCATGCTGGGTAATGTTGTGGACACCATGCTGGGTAATGTTGTGAACACCATGCTGGGTGATGTTGTGGACACCATGCTGGGTAATGTTGTAGATACCATGTCGGGTGATGTTGTGAACACCATTCAGATTGATGTTGTCGACATCATGCTGGGTGATGTTGTTGATACCATGCTAGGTGCTTTTACTTACCAGGACATTGTCATATCCATTTTAGGATGGGTTGATCTGGGAAACAAAGTCAGTTTTGAAGAAAATCTGACTTGATGCAGTTTGAACACACAACCTTCAGGCTAACAGGTGAGTGACTAGCCACAATGCGCCTTACTGACTTCTCATACGCTATATATAAATATATATGTATATATATATATATGTATATATATATGTGTGTGTGTGTGTGTGTGTGTGGTGTATATATATACACGTAAATATATATAAATAAATATATATATAGAGAGAGAGACAGAGCGAGAGACAGAGAGAAACAACAGCCAGAGAGAGAAAAAGAGAGAGTGTGAAAGAGAGAGAGAGGGAGCATGAGAGAGAATAAAATTAACAATAGGAACTCTGAAAAATCTGCCATAACTTTTGTTTTAATGATAGATTTCATATGTCTGGCCAGATGTCTCCAAACAATAGAACAAGCAATCACCTTCGATTTTCAACACAAACTTACTTCTGACAACTTGGCAAGTCCTTTTGTCGGGTAGGAGTATGTAACCGTCCACACACCGACACTTGTATGATCCCTTCGTATTAATACACGTCTGACTACACAAGCCTGGTGGGTCACATTCGTTGGCATCTGTTAGAATTGAATTGTAAAAGTAAAATAAAAAGGTCTGTCTTGATCTGGTTTGGAGTTGACTTTGTATGGAATTGTTGCATCATTCCAGAGATTGCAGATGGTGAGAGTCACATAGATATTTTGTTCAGGCAATGTAGGTGTGTTTAGGAATGAGCAAGCAAATAGGTTAACTGGACTGGCCCCACTTGGGGATGTTCTGCAACTGCACAAGTTAGAGGTGACTCTCGCTTGTGGGATTCAGTAACAAGTAAAACAGGATTTTAAACACCCGTAAATTGAGAAAATGATGCAGCAGGGAGTATCTGTTGGCTCTGTGCAACTTTTGGGACTCAGGAGAAAGACAAGATGAGTAGTTAACCAGATGACAACAGATGCCATCTGTATGGAGATCATTGCTGGCTATCAAGGAGGAAGACGGAGCTAATATGGGCTTGTCCTGAATGCTGTGATGTCAAATCTTTACCAAGATGAACCCAGATGCTTTAGGTTGAAGTTTTTTTAAATTTTTTTTTCAAGTATCCAGAAGCCATGAGTTATCCCTTAGGCTTGGTATTATGGATATCGCAACCCTTCGGCCTTGATTCCATGATAAATACTGTAAATCTGGGAGAAATGTGGCTTTTCTGCCTACCCCCGGGCGTGAACCCGGACCACAAGGAGTTCGTCACTCGGTCACCATGGAAAAAAACAAGCCAACTACGCTAGTGAGCAGGGCAGGGTTGAAGTTAAGTGTCATAATAAACCACTGAATACCAAAGGGCAATCAGACGAATGAGTAGAGATCCAGAGTTGCAGCCTCAACAGTTGATATTTGGCAATTAACAGTAACTGAGCTGTGAGTTTTAGTGATTGTAATTTGACAAGTAAACTGTGGAAAAAGACTCTATTTATATGGAGTTAGAGAATACATGTAATAAAGATCTAATCCAACAGAACATCACCACCTGCTTTGGATGTGCAAAACCACAAAATGAGATGAGTCAACTAGTTAGTTAACGGATCGATCATCCTTATCATTGATTATGGCCTGAAACTGCTTACTGTCTCAAAGAGTCAGATAGACAAACTAGAGTGTACACAGAACGCAGTTATGTGGGTCATTCTGGGTTGCTCCAGAGATACCCCAGTGGTATGTACGCGCTAAAACATCCTTGGTTTGCTGACTGTTGCAGGTAGGCACAAGGTGCTGCAGGCAAAGTCATATCTCAAGGTAGCTGCAGACACAGATCACCCTTTACAAAGATCTGGACACAGTTAAGGGTCAGCGGCTGACAAGAGGGAAGTCATGGATGGCTCAGGCAGAAGACACAATCAGTCGGGTCTGCAATCTAAAGAACATTAGGTGAGGAGAGGAGTGGATCGAGTGCCAGCAGAACAGTTTTAATCACACTGAGCAGGAAGTGAAGGGAGTGGCCAGCAGGTGTCACGGAGGTGGAAATTCAGAAATTAATTCAAGATAATGCTCGTTCAGAGGATGTAATTATTTATACTGACGGTTAAGTGTCAAGAGGCAAAATTAGTGCTTGGGGGTTCTTAGCAAAAGCCAATGGTCGATGGAAGGTGCAGGAGAGCCTAGCGTTTTAATACCAGAGCATTCAGCCTAAGAATGGAGGTGGAGGCAGTCACTGCAGCTTTCCACTGGCTAGAGAACATGACACACACACACACATCCTGATTGTAACTGACTCAGAAAGCATGTTGAGAAAGGTGATAAAATTCATGCTTCGTGCTGAGGTCACGGATGAGGAGCATTTTCTGGATTTGTTCTCTGGGGTTTGCCAATGTGCTGGGAAATGAACAGGCAGACAGACTGGCTGGCATTGCACAACTTCGTTGAATGCCGATACATGATAAGGCAGATGTGGTATGTGGTTAGGGCCTTGTGGGAGAACATGTATAATTCAGAGGAGCAAATGGATTACCAGTTTGTTGAGAGTGATGCAGCGAGGGTGACGAGAGGATTTGGTCGATATTCAACGCTTAGAGGAAAGGCAAGACAAACATATAATTATGATGCTGTTGGCACCATTGGTATTGGAACTCTGCGCTGGCTGTGAAGATGGAGACGGAGTGCTTATAGGAATCTTCCAAGTGCTGTGATGTTGGTTCTTGAATCAACTCAACTCAATTCATCATTAGCACAGATCAAGCAAATCCATAAGCACTCAGATCCCATCTTCCGTATCTCTCTCTCAGCGTGTGGTGACTATTAACACTTGATCACTGTTGGCTTACTATTCTTCTTTGGCTACCTTATAGAGTTCATGTCTGGCAGCACATGAAATTCTTGTAGTCTTGTCAAGTTTGCCAATTCTCCACCATCTCCTGAATCATCTACTTGCTTTGCCTCCTTGAGAGCAATCAGAACAGTAGTCCAGTCAATTGGTTTTCCTGTGACTACCCTGGCCCTGCCAACAAACCAGTCCACTCATTATTTCCCACTTACCCCAGAGTGTCCTGGCACAAAAATGACCCCCTTCCTATTAGACAAGATTTCCTTACAGACTCCAACCACAGTCTTCAAACCCGTCCTGTCTTGATTTTTAAGCATGTCAATGGAATCAAAAAACATGTATAAGTGCAATATTGTGCAAGATTGTTCATATTCTTGTCTGAATGCAGCTGCAGCTTTGTGTGAGTATTTCAGAAACAGAAAAGCCATGGTACCAGCCTGCCTAGCTAGCTCTATGGTAAGACCCCTGTTCATAATCATGTGAGCTACCTCTTTGAAATGAAGGTTAGTCTTGCAAATTATAACAGGAAGCTCAATGAAGGGGAAGCAAAAACATACACAGATACAACCAAATGTTTGGATCAAAGTCTTTATCAACTAATAAAAGTCTTTATCAACTAATAAATGAAAAGGTATCTGAAAGCAAAGATATAACTGACCAACACAAGTCTTGGTTCCATTCAGCTCCTGTCCACGAGGACACTTGCACTCTGCACCTCTTGGAGTCTGGATACAAACATGGCTGCAGCCACCATTTTCTTGCTGGCAGCTATCTGAATCTGATATAAAATGTAACTCTCATTACATTACATGTTTAGGATCGCCATCCCCATGTGGGATCAACTTTTAGTTATTCTGAAGCCCCACCCTGGCTTTTGCCAGGGGCCCTAAATAGATCCGGGGCTTAAACATGACCTAATGGCTAAAGGGTAGGGATTTCCTGGACCTCTCCAGTCTCTGTGTCACCAGGTGTTTATCGCTGTGATGTCCTGGTGGGGTACAACTTACCTACCTACCTACATACACAAGCTACCTGAAGGGGCAAGTAAAGTTAGCTGAATATTCTTCATCAGGTGATGCACAGCTAGTGAGATCAGGTTAGTTGCGTATCCTTTACAAGACGTTGCAGAACCAACCTTATATTTACATCCAGTAGTTTGCCATTACTTTCTGGACGGTCAGCTTTCTTGATACCACTGTCGAAAACCAACACAAGGCACATGGCCCGCAGCTGGGATCGAACCCGGCATCCCAGCATTACGAAGGGTTCGCATCGACTTAGCCACAGAGCTGACAGTGAGATAAATAACACACTAAAAATAAGAATCGTCAAATGTTATGGTATATAGGTACTTAATTACTGATTACATACTCAGTCCTGCAATATGAACTGAGTCTCTAGAGATGTGGGTATACAGAAGAATAGGTCATATATCATGGACACAAAAACAGTCTAATACAGAGCTTCTGGAAAGGCTACAAATGAAAAAAAAGAATTACTGAAAGAAATTTGCAAAAGAGACAATTTAAATACTTTGGCCACATTAAAAGAAATAACACACTTTTAGAAACCACACTGGAGAGTAAGGTCGAAGGCAAGAGGTAGGCAAGAATACAAGTGAAGGACAACATCAAGAGATGGACGAGAAGCAGTGTGAGAAAGCATTCAGCCAGGACAAGAGACAGAGCACTATTTAGGCTGAAATTGGACAGAGAGGTCTTGAGCCTGCGGATTTAGGATTGCATAGCTAGTGCAGTCATCATGAGTTGTGCAGGCTTGGATTTTAGTTTTGCTCCCAACAGAAGAAGTCCTGTACATGACTGAGAATTCAAATTCAGGTCTCTCAAATAAGAGCCCAGTGCTCTTAACCACTCAGCCACCTATCTTGTGTATCTTCCCAGTACTCATGGCTGAATGTGGTCATCGTGAAAAAAGAATCATAATCGGAGTCTCGTGTGCCGCTAATAATTTATGATGCAGATGTTCTTCTATGCCTGATATCAAATGATTCAAAATCTATTCACTCTTCTCCATCTTCCCCTGTTTTATTTTCTCTCCGGATTTCATCACAACACAATCTAATTTTTCCTTTGTTATAACTTGCCCAAAGAATATGAACTGTTTTTGTTTTTCAGACAGACGGTTTACTTTGTGGATGAATCTAAAACAGGAGAAGTTATTTACACTTTTTATCTGTCTATCGTATTCTCTTCTACAAAACCACATCTGTGCAACTTTCACATCATCATTATCATCCTGTCATGTTGTCACACAGGCTTGTACTCTAGTCCTCCAGTTCATTCCATCATCTGCATTCCTTTTGCTTCTACATAAATCTTCATGAATCTGCTGACTATTCATGATTCTTGTGACACTTGTATATAAATAAAACATAAAAAGATTGGTCACTTACTACAGACGGGACTTTCATCATGTCCTTCTGGGCAGTCTGGACTTCCGTTGCACACTAGCTGCTCATCGATACACACCTGACTACCACCTGGACACTCCCACTTGCCTCTAGGACAGGAGAAAGGGGGTGGAGCTGCGGAATACAATATAGCCTCACTAAGTGCTAACATCAGTCAATAGTAACACCACATAAATGTTTACATCTGTAAATAGTAACATAAGACAAATGTTAAAATTAGTAAATAGTAACATCACATAACTATTAACACCATTGAATGTTAACATCAGTAAATGTTGACATCATGTAAATGTCAACATTATGTAAATGTTAACATATTAATGGACAACATTCTTCCTCTCTCTGTACACTTCCTTATATCAGGCCAAAGAATTCTGAATCTGCCTGGAAATTTTGACACTTCTGTTAGTGTTTGGGTCATTCTCCTCAATAAATGGTCTAACTGCATTGTTAATGTGTTGAAAGGATAACACCAGTGGTGCTGAAGAAAGGTGTTTGTTATATTCAACACTAATCTCACACTCTTCATCCCTTTTCCTTTTGTTTTCCATTTCAAGAAGATCTACAATCAGACAGTTACTGGTACCATCGGAATTTTAACTCTTCGCTTGCTGCTGAAGATGGGGACAGAGCACTTATGGGGGTTGTCCTGAGTGCTGTGATGTCAATTCTCATTTCAACAATCAAGAAGATCTTCATTGGTGAGCTCTGATAAATGAGACTGGAGCAATTCAGACACACAGAACTGGCCTATATTCTCAGATCTGACAGATCTTGCCATGTCAATGATGCATTGTCTTGAATTTGAAAGCTTTGAAAGTTTTTTTTGTGTGATTGAAGTAATTAGAGCAAGAAATGTCTTCCAAACTCCTTTCATACATGACCGTTTAACCTCTGACTTTGCATAAGTAATGTTGAAAATTACACTTTTTATAAGTCTTCCAAATATTATCTCATAGAAATCTGATTCCTGCCGTCAGCATTTTTAACCAGCTAGGAAAATGTTTAGCACAGACAACAGCTCTTGAAAGTTGCAATAACTGTCTTCTGCAACAACAGGGCTAGCAAGCTCAATACTTCCTCTAACACTGATACTGTTAAGATGTGACCAGCCAGTGCACGTACCACTTAAATTCACGCCACCACCGTGACTGGAGAATTGCTGTGCAATACAATTTTCTCACTCCTTTTCCCTTTAATCATATTATATCGAAAACACTTAAAATGAGATCCTGTATACCTGTATAATAATAGTAAACTTACCACAAGTAAGAGCTGCATCTTCATCAGAGTTATCTCCACAGTCATCATCTCCATCACAAACCCAGCCCTGAAAGATACAGCGACCATTGGCACAGCGGAACCGGTTGGCAAAGCAAGTCACCGGAGCTGTGAAGTTGGACAAATAAAGTGATGCATATTTGAAATTGATGCTGTTTACAAGAATTCACTTGTCAGTCAAGTTCATAGATTTATGAGGTTAGAGTAAAACAAGAAAATGAGGGAAACTTCTTCCTCACATCTTTTACTGATTTGGGTATTGAGGGAGATACAAGATTCAGGTTCTTGCTCCTCAGGCTGTCTCAGTCATGGCAACATTGTATGCTGTTGTAGAGTTTATCTGATTTATCTTTTCATCTTGTTCATGATCTTTTTCATGCTCTTTGTTTCTCTCCTCTTTAAGATATGCTTTGTATTTTCTAATGTCGCAAGTGAGCAAAATATTTTATTTTCTGCTTTTGTATATAACTTAAAGGAAAAATAACTTAGCAATAATGGGACATGAAATGAGCTCAGCTGTAGAAAAAGTGTTAAATTCAATTCAATTAATGAGGTGTAATATCCACCAGGAAGATTGACAGCGCTGGATAACCAGGTTTCTCTTATCTCTTGCTCTCTTAAAAACTACTGTAGGAAAAATGTGAAAATGTGTGAGCAAGATCTAGACAGCAATACAAGTAAGTGCTCTATAACTGCACACCCTTTCAGATTGCTGCTTGTTTATCTCTTGCTGTTTTCCTCTCCCCTGTATTGCTGTCTACATCATACTCCTTTATCTGCACATTTTTCCTCCAGTAGTTTTATCAGAAATTCCTAAAATACTGTGCACCAAGAAGAAGAAACACATCATCCCAACACACCGGCATGACCTGGAGAGAAAATCCAAAGGATGCTTACTATAAGGGACCTCTGAAGTAATCTGGTAATCTTAGTTTCACCCCATAGTTGCTCCGCTCCCGTACCAACGAAAAACACACTGAATGTTTATCACAGTCCCTTATGGAAAGATTGACAGACTGCTGTCTCAGCATATGCACTAGCATACACACACATTAAAAGCATATGGTAGCCATCCAAAGTGCTAACACAAACAGTCCGACATTAGAAATGCAGTTCATCATGGATGGTAGCAGAAATAACCAACAGATCAGTAGTTACACACGCGATAAATTTTAATCACATAATCGCACCACCAATATTGTGACAACAGGCATCGGGCCATTTTCTGAATCTACAATTCACACCACCATGTTGGTCACAGTAGAAAAACATTCCAAATGAAATCAGCAGCTCCCAGTGCCCCGCCATGCACTCAACTCAGAAGCTGGGCGACGAAATTATTCTTCCAGTCTATAAATAGAGATCAAAATGCACCAGCCACCATCTGGCAGAAGCAAACAAAAAATTTGCCACAGCTCACAACATTCACCGTGCGTAACGCCCATCAGCAAGGTGTCACCCTTGTATGACCTCTGAAGTGATGCTTGCCACTCTGCGCAGAGCATACCTGGCTCTACCTTTCTCAACATGCTATGTGAGTCATTTACAATCATAGCATGTGTGTGCAGCTGATTTTTAAGCCAGCTGAATGCAGCAGTGACTGCCTCCACCTCCATTCTCAAACTAGACGTTGTGTTATCATATCCCAGGCTTTGTTGCACTAGGTGACGTCCATTCGCTTCTGCAATGAACGCCCATGCAGGTCACCTTTGTTTGTTGACCAGAACTTTTACCAGAATTAGAAAAGAGGGAAGGACAACCACTACTGCCTTTTGGTGGTTATCTGAGATATACATGGGCTTACCAGTAGGTAATTTTCAGTTCTACTTCAGCTCCATCATGAGCGTTGTGTTTTTAACTTTACTTTCTGAAATACCTGTTTCTATCAAGCTATTTGCAAGGTAACTTCACAGTAACTTACGACATAATGCTCCTTCATCTGACTCATCGTCACAGTCGACCTGCCCGTCACACTTCCAGGACTCTGGGATACAGCCCCCATCTGTACATCTAGACTGGTCTCTGCGGCAGCTATCTGGCGTATTTTTGGCTGCAATATGATTGTACAAATCATTCATTTAAAAATCATAAAATACTAATAAAAATAATTAATTCTGTACTATCTCCACAATTAAAGTTGGCTTCAGTGTTGTTTTTGGGAATATTATGTGGTGTGACCCCAATGTCTTCCATAGTGCGACTCTCGTACGAATGTCTGAAAACCACGAAAATGTTTTTTAAACCATAAACTGCACATTATTAACTCTTTAAAGCCCACACAAGGAAGCTGATATATTTATTGCCTCTGATATAATATTTAAAATAACCCTGACTTAACTGTAGTTGGTGGCACTGTTACTGTGCAGCCAGACAGTATATAAACTCCCTCTGGTCTAATTGTTAAATTCCTAACTTGAAACGCTGTTGCTCAACTTTCACTGTCCTAAATAGTTTTTATAATATCAACATAAAGAACTTCTCACATGTCTGTTTTGACTCGGCTGGATGATAAAGAGAAGCAGTTGGAAAAGTCTGTACACAGGAGAGTTAGCTGAAAGCTCATTACAGCTGAAGTTTCATGTGAAATGTTTTGACAATAAGCTATAGGTAAAACCCATGTTAATAATTTCACTCCTTATGTCCTACAAATTTATTATGTTAACCCATATTTGAGTTATAATTAATTAATTCTCCCTCCACTTCTTCTGTTAGACATCTTCAAATGGAACAAAATCCTAAACCATCTCAAGTTCATGATGAGTTGGATTCTGCATGTATATTTTTTCAAATGGTATGAGCTAGCATCTTTCAGAATAGCTATCCTTAATGACTTCTTATGACATACATTGTAGTTTTCATTGGTTCTTCACACTGTATCTCTTATGGGACCCAGTAAAATAATAAAAAAATTTAAAATGGGGGAAACAGATTACTTCTAGATAGTGACAAACAAAATCATACATTCTTCTTCACTTCCTCTATTATTGCATTTCTTGCACATGTGAGCTGTTAAATGACGGCTTTCATGAAAGTTTGATGTGTTCAGTCATTTTACACTGAATTTTTTTGTGAAGCTACCTGCGCCCAACAATAGCGAAAAGGGCTGTTACAACATACTGTAGCAACCCAAACATAGCAGAATGCAGGAAAAGAAGTAGAACCATGTGCCAGAAGTGTCTGAAGGGCCTCCATGTGCGTTACTTCCCAAAACACAATTGCTAGTACTTTTTCAGGCTTCATACATAAAAAAATTCACCCAAATTTTTCAGGTTAGTTATATTTGTTCTCAAGTGAAAAAAAGATTGCATAAATTATTCAAAACAGAATAGTTAATTCGAATAAATACTGAGGGTTTTTAAATACTCTGTTAGCTCATTTAATTTTCTACACAAATATGTATAGTTTTGTATATGTTAATTAAAGGCTTTATTTTTTAATAATTTTTTTTTTTAAACGAAGAGAATCCCCTCCTGAAGGCTCCATCATTTTTTAACTGAAACTCCAAAAATGCTCCGTATCCAAAGAGTTAATGCCTTTAGAGAGAAAAGGAACAATTTGAGGCATTTAGGGAGAAGGAACAGTGCATTCACACTGCTGTTAAGAATCAGAGAATTGTGAGTAAAGATCAGCCCAGCCAGGTATGAGAGGCACACCCAACTTATCAGATGTTTTGCCAACCAGTACATGACTGGTTTTATTAGCTGTGAGTCACTGATGTTTATTTTAAGGCAGGAGGAATCTTTGCACCTGTGGACATATCCAGAGTGCCATATGGATAACCAACCTTGTAACTCAAAAAAACAGAGACTCGTGCTAAATGTTACTTACGACATTCCTTTTCATCGGATCCATCATCACAGTCTGGCACACCATCACAGTAATGTTTCAATAAAATACACTGCCGCACATTTTTGCAGGTCCATCTGGAGCCGGTGCAGTTCAAGGCAGGGCAGTCTCGTTCATCCGTACCATCATAGCAGTCGTTGCCGCCATCACAAACTCTCATTTCTGGGATACATCGTCGATCGTCACACTGGAAATAGTGTCTCTGGCATGTGTGCTGACCTGTATCAAATTTATTTTTTTAATTTTCAATTTACAAGAAAATGTAATTTCTTTTAAACAAAAAATTTAACATGAGAACATAGATGGAACATAAGTATCTTCTAATGATTATTTTGTGACATAAATATTAAATAACAAAATATCATATTTTTTGCCACAATATATCAAATAGGACTGGCAATATATTTATCCATTAGTTTTTATCCTTTGCAGTTCATTTTCAATATTGTAGATGGAATACAGTCTTCTTCTTCTTCTTTGCGTTTGGTTTCGTATGCTCAGATCAGACCATCACGTGGGCTGCCTTTATGAACACGCATGTCAGTAGCAGGTCCTTCATGGTTCCCCATTGCCTGCACTGCACAGTCCACCTCTGAGGCCAAGCATCTAAGCTGTATGTAGCATGGGCAGGTCTGCAGAACATGCCCAGGTGCCTGTGGTCCCACCTGATAGGCACATCGTGGGGACAGCACAATCTTGATTCCATGCATGTGGTAGCCGAGTCTAGCCGAATCCAGTCTGGCAACTTTGATCTTTCCCATCAACATTCATCTAAGGGTTTCTTTTGGTCGTCCTCATTTCCTTAATCCATTTGTTTCTCATTTCAATGCCTGTGATTCTCTGGTCACTTCTCCTCAAATAACAACCAAATATTTCTATCTAAAAGGTTCATATTATATTTGATTTTTTTTAAATGCAAGGAACATCATAAGGGGTGACCAGTACACTAAAGGGTAATTTTGAGATCTTTTTTTAGGACAACAACTATGTGTTTATGAAAACATAATTATAAAGAGAAATCTTATGCTCAGTGTAAAAATGGTTTTTAAATTCTTTCTTTATAACAAATATAATATGAAAGGAAGACATTTATATTCATTTCTAAAGTGTCCGTTTAAAGTTTTTCATTTATATTAGTTCAAACTAAACTGCTAGAGCAGAGGTTTCAAGTATAGGGCCAGAATAAGGTTATATTACTTGTAATTGGATTTTTACTCCCCATCTCTCTCTCTCTCTCTCTCTCTCTCTCTCTCTCTCTCTCTCTCTCTCTCTCTCTCTCTCTCTCTCTCTCTCTCTCTCTCTCTCTCTCTCTCTCTCTCTCTCTCTCTCTCTCTCTCTCTCTCTCTCTCTCTCTCACTCAAAACTAATGGGAAATCAGGTTTCAGCTGGTACAATTAGCACATTGTCTCTTTGTTGGCAACTGAAGAAAAAGACAGAACACGTGTTGCAATGTCCCAAGTGCAGTGATGTCAATTCTTGATTGCTTCATTTATTCATTTAAAAAAGTCAAATGCTGAAAGTATGTTCTAGTCAAATATAAAGTTGAGAGAATCGACTTCACATTATACCATAAAGCTTGGTCTCTCTCCACAAAATGCCTACCCACCTGCCGTGAGCACCACACAAAGCATCAACTCTGTAACTCTAGTAACGACCCCTTGGGATCTTCATAAAAACTGCACTCGTGAAGTGACTAATACATCCAAGAAACACCCACGACTTTCAGAGTATGAAGCAAACAGCTTGACAACTGTGGCATGCATGCCCCGAAGGCCAAACATAAAATTAAGAAAACATATTACAAAATTGATAACTAGGATACACAACAAGAAGCCAAGGACTGCTACAGCTTAAGAATATGACTGCGTAAAAAAGACCTCAAGATTATATTCCCTCACCACAGAATTCTCCTTCATCTGAGCCATCACCGCAGTCATTGTCTGTATCACACTTGAGTGACTGACTGATACACAGAGTATTGTTGCAGCGAAACTCTCTTGGGCTGCAGGTCTTGGCAGCTGCAGATTATTTAGAAATCTCTTATTACTGAAGTTCAATAACAGTTTTTACAACTGAACAAGGGCAGCACCAACCAGAAAGCACAGTAGCACAAAATATCAACAGCATTACATCATAGTAGGATAAAAAGAAACAGGGCACATTACAAACATAATAGTGTGAAACATCAAATACAGTCAGTAAAAATTACCAGCAGAACAAAACAAAATGTAGTAAAACAAAATGCAAACAGCATGAACAATATTTAATATGGCAGAAGAAAATAGAAAACAGCAGGACAAAGTATCAAGCATGGCATACAAAAAAGCATAAAATATAATATGAATAAACAAAAAAAAAACATGCCATGACAGAATATCAGACAGTACTTCAACATGTTAAACAGTATGACAAAGAATCAAACATGGCAAGGATATAGTACCAAATGTGACAGAAATAACAGTCAGAATAACAAAACAACAATCAGCATAACAAAATATAAAACAGCGGGATGATGCATCAAACATAACACCACTGTATTTTACACAGAAGAAAAACCATTAAGTTGTGCCGCATAAAAACCAAAATTTCAGGGCAAAATATCAAACCACAGGGTAAAAATCAGACAAAGGCAAGAATGTCAAATAGCAGCAGAATAAAACATCAAATAACAGAACTAAACTTCAAGATAAAACATCAAACAGGACGAAGTGGCATCACACAAAGCTGGAACAAACCTCTTCACATGAAAAGACTGAACATTAAATTATGGTAAGACAAAATTATCAATATCTGACAGGACAAATACACATCAGGACAAGAAATAAAAAACTGACAGACTAAAACATCAAACATACGGCAGTTGTTTTCATCAGACATGTCTCCGCAGTCATTGTCGCCATCACACATCCAGATCTGGCTGATACACTGGCCATTACCACACTTAAATCTATTGGCAGGGCACGATGTATCTGTAACATAACAATATACATTAGCTTTCTGGTTACAAATAACAAACATAATCACTAACAAAGAAAGGTAGTCCCATTACATGGGTGTAAACTGTTGGATTATCGCATATAATTGATTTTGGCTCCCAATCTGACCCACCCTAAAATGTGTATCAGGTAATGTACTGGGAGGTAAAGATGGCTGGTATGATGCAAAAGCCATTGCAGTTGATTGTTGCATTGGCTTTCTCTTTCTACTTGGTGACTTTTGTTTTGTTATTATATGTTTTTGTTACCTAATGTGATATTTCAGTGGCTGGATACAAATTCTGTCCGTCTTCCACAGTGTGGTCATAAGAAGCATCACCACTTAAAGAAATACACAATCATCTAGGACAAGAAACTTATATTTTCTGTTAAACTTTTACAAGAGGGTACCAAGAAGATTCTGCTTTCAGTTGTAATGAATGGTCGGCTGTTGTAATATTTGAGATTTTTGTAGTGACTTGCCTCACTCTGATTATAACTTGTTATTACATCTGGTGTATTATGTTGAGATGATTTTGTTTGTGTAATAAGTAATATACAACTGTATAATTCTTGTCCTTAATAAACACAGTGGTTTGTTGTTATTTTTTTTATTCCATTGTTTGTTGAGTATAGGTGTTATATCACTATTGGTTGTTGTTGTAGTCTTTATACTACTACTATACATATACTGATACTTCAAAACATTCTTTAAGACCTCCACTGACTTTTACCTGATCGTTTAGGGTGTAGACTCATACTACACTCCCCACATAGGAGAACCTTTTATATTCTCATTCATCCTGTAACTATTATTCTTCTCGTCTCTCTCTCTCTCTCTACTGTTATATCCCCATCCACTCAATTCTCTATCCTTTTAAATGTAAACGCCATAGGGTTACAACAGTTCAGATGTGTAATAGACCTGGTAAATATGAAATTTTCGTTGGCTTGTAGAATTGGTCCTAAGTCAAAGTACACTTCTTTCCACAGTGAGGTACTGTCATTACCTGGAGGCGACAGGTTCACGACCTGGTATTGTAACTATAGCATTCATTTTATATGTTGTCTAGTGTATCATCTTATCTCCACTTCTTTCTACTGGTACCAATCAAATCATGCTAACTGGTTTATTACACTATTTCTAAGGCTTCAGGCATTCCCAAACTATATTTCTGAAGCAAAATCTCAGTACTCCATGACACAGGTGAAGATCCTAATGTAAGTAACCAAAATCACACATGATTTTATTTGTCTTTTTGTTGGTAGGTTTTCACATTTGAAATGTAGATTGGGCATCAAGCTGTTTTAATTATTTATGTTTTGTTCCATTCAAAATATTATTTTCTACTTCTATTGCATTCATTTCCTTTAAATAAAAAATAAAAAAACAGGAGAACTAAGTGGAATTCATTTAACAAAATGGGAAATAAGGATGCAATCTAGGAGAAACCAAGTAGGTAAATTAATGTGGGGATTTTTCTGTTAGAGGCAAATATAGGAATCTTTTCTTGCACTTTGTGGTCACTGCACTAACCCTGCAGCCCTCGATGACCCCCCCCCCCCCCCCCCCCCCCCCCCCCCCACCACATGTCCTAAACCACCATAAAAAATTGTAAATATAGGCAGTAAAGACAGTTTTTGTTAAATGAGTGTGTACATAAAAACATTGTCGATATTTTACCTTTAGGAATCTTTAGCAAACTTGTCATCCCCATTGTGGGATGCAATTTTTTTGTTATTTTGAAGCCCCACCCTGGCTCTTGCCAGGGGCCGCAATATAGTATAATGGCTGAACAAGGTTTCTGTGATCCTCATCCACATGCTGGCACTTTGTGTCATTGGATGATTATCGCTTGTGTGATGTCCTGAAGGGTTAAAATGTACTACTACTACTACTAATTTACCTTTAGGACAATCCACCTCATCTGACCTATCCAGACAATCATTGTCTCGGTCACAGCGATAAGAGCTAGGAATACATCTGCCATTTTTACACTGAAAGAGGCCAGGTCGACATGTGGTCACTCTGATCTCATCTGGATTGGGCTCACAGGTGCGTTGGTCTCGGCCAAGTCTCATGCCGTATGGACATCCACAATGTCTGCCAATTTGGCTCAAGCCGCCAGCGGTGGGCACCACAAAGCAAAAATTGGAGCATTCACCATTTCTTAGGTGACATGGATTTTGTTCTGTTAAAACAAATGTCATGAAAAGATATAAAACCAAACCAATCAACGTTACAATATCACATTGTTCACTGTTCATTTTAACTCTTTCAATCCTAGAGAGTTTAGCATCAGAGGCCCAAGAGCTAATCAAGAGAGATGTAAAGTCAGTGCATCATGCATTCACTGGGCATCTAGGTAAAAGTAAAGGTCTCTTTTCCACACCTTTTTATAGACTGGCACTTGGTCAGCATCATGCTGGCTGCTTTTACTTCCCAGGACTGCACCTGATACCTATTCAAGGCTGGGTGGACCTGGAAGTCGAGGTGACTTTTTTTAAAAGTCTGGCTCTGTCAGGGTGCAAATCCGCAGGCGGGCATCTAGCCGTCAACGCCACGGTGACTGGGCTTCTAGGTAAGAACCTATAAATGCATGATGCGTTCCTTGGGACTGAAAGATTTAAAGATCATCTTCATCTCGTATCAGACATGACTATAAGTGGTCTGATCTCCTCCTGTGTATGTCTCCAAGTGTTTTTAGGCTAATAACTCCCATTCTGTTCTGGCTGACGTAACAACGGGTGGCTCCTGCGTGGTTTTCCTGTCCCACTGCTCCAGCTGGTACACCCAGGTTATGCTGTCTATTCAGGTAAAAAATCATTTTCCACAAAACTGAAAGCCTCACAGCGTTTAGCCTCTTGTATGACATTGATGTTGTCTGTCCTGTCCATTGATGGCCCATTCCTGACAGTCTCATCAAATCACAACATCACAAACATAAATAACAAGTGAATGTTGTGGCCAGAGAGCCTTCATCAGCACATACATAAATCTACAATACCACAGATACGAACAAAATTACACAAAATCATGTAAGTGATGTATAAAAATCACATAAGAGGACAAAGAGAACACCACACACACAAAAAGACCATGGCATGACCCTGTCCCCTGAAACTATCCAGGAAATTAACCCGGTCAATGAAGTCTGATGTGTTGGCTGAAAGGCACAATCACGTCACTCGGACGAACAAAAATGAAGAAGAAATTATATTTCTGTGTTGTCATTAGAATGACTAGACACAAGTGTGGCCACCATGAATAAATAATGGCCAGAAAAAAAAAGCGGTGAGTGACAAGGGCCATAACACCAAGTTATTATATAAATCTGTGTTGGATATAAGGTCCCCTAGGTGAAATGGTATCCATGAGCCACAGACAATTACATATTCTGCTATCACATGTTCATTATAATATTATTGTTAAAACAAGGTCAGCTGTTTCATAAGAGAAGATAACTGTGTGCTATTTCAGTCTCTGATATGTTTGCAGCAGATGCGAAAGTAACTGCTGTGAAAAATTTCCAGTTATGGCTTTTAAAGAAATACATAATGGATGCGACATAGAAAAATCATATTTCTTTAGTATTTTCTGACCAAATTTTATAAGGGCAGACCTACAAACTCATGGAGTCATCAGATGTTAAAAAAAAAATAATCGCAGAGATGAGTGGGGGCAGGTGAAACCTGCGTGGATTTTTATCATGGTATGGGGCGTCGCAGGTTGACCAGCCTAAAATGGGTACCAGGATGGGCTGTCCTGGGAAAGTAAAGACAGCCGGCGTAATGCTGACCACATTACCCGAGTGTAGATGGTCTGTAAAAAATATGGGCGCTCTTCCCATTTGCCCGATACGCCTAAAAGGCGTGGAAAGGGATCTTTACTTTTTTACTTAGGTGAAACCTGCAGCAATAAAACTCAAGGGCTCAGATGCTGAAGAAGAAGTTTAGAAGATGTTTTGGTCAGCCTCTACAATGATTTAAAGATCTGTCATATTTCCATTTGTCACACCTCTGCTTCTTCTCCTCTCCAGCTTTCTCATCATCATGATATACTCCAGTTTTCCTCTCATGGTCCGTCTCCTTCTGATATGATAACCAGTTCTCTTCAAGATTCAAATTCTTTTAGGACCTCTACACTATCATTTTTATTTATCCACATCCATGGTATTATCTTTCTTCTTCTTCTTCTTTTCTCTAGAATCTGTTCTGCCTTTCAGTGCCAGGTTTTGAAAAGGTATCTGGTTCAAGTTTTGTTGTCGGCTATGTTGATACTGAGATTCACAGGCTCATATTTTTAAATGTATCCATCACTTTTGTGGGTGACCTCTAGATCTGCTTCGATTGTAGTTAAGTGACAGTAATTCAGTAAATCAAACAAATTATAATACAAAACTATATGCACAGACTGACTAACAATACCAACAAAACTCAAGCATAAAACACAAATCTAACCTGATACTGGTTGAAGCACAGGATCATAGACACGGATGCCCATAACTCGACCTATCCCAGATCTGATTTTTGTTTCCTGTCCACCTCTTTTGTTAATGCGAACAATAGCCTGAAGTCGCCAGTCAGTGTAGTAGATAAAATCTGAAATTTTAGCAAATCTGGCAATTAAATAGGACTTTGATAAAAGTGAGAACAGTAAACTTGTAGTAGTGGTAATTTAAACACAACATTATTCTGTTCACCTTATCAGTGTTATGACTGGTATATTGTTTTTGTTTTGTTTTGTTTCAATCATGGATATTTATACCTATCAGTTATGTTTGGTTAATGAGTATTGCATAACTTATGAATTAATGGTTTTAAATTGTAAGAGTATAGATTGTTAAGTTCAAAAGATTTTAGTAATGATATTTTGTGGTCTATCTTTGCTGAAATTTCAAGTTATCTCAGATATACCATAATTTTGTTTAAGCTATATTAATACCTCACTGCCATTCTTGTGACATACTGCTTATCCTTCCTTGTAATTCTTTAGAGCCGTCTACTTCCAGCATGTTTATTTATTGTCATAGTCTTATTGTAGTGGATCATATATTTATAATAAACTATGATGGGATAAGAATAACAATGCACAATTGGAAAACAAAAACATTATGTAAAATTATATAAGCTTCCTCTTCTTCTTTCATTCACTTGAAATAGATTATCTATATCTGCAATGTTGTCTCTAGTATGAACTTCACTGTCTTTTGTAATTCACTCAATGACACATAAAGTTTTGACTTGCACCGATGTTTCTCTTAGTCAAAAGTTTTGCCTTGATATGTTGTATACATTATGTATATGTTGATATGTTATATAAGCAAATAACCTTGTTCACACCAGTGGCATATTAGACATTTAAATGCTAGATCCATATTTTCATAGACCAATCAGTACTTAATGTGTAATGTGTCAGGTCAGCACCATGCCAGATATCTTTACTTCCCAGGACATTTCCTGGTACCAGTTTTGGGCTGTGGTGACATCAGAGTCCTAAGGTCAATTTTTTTTTTAAATCAGCCTCGACATGGATTCAAACTTGAGATCTTCAAGCTGGCAGCCAGAGTTCTAGCCACTGTGCTGCTGCAGTTCCCATAAGAAAAAGAATATGAATAAACAAGAAATTATAGGGGAAAGTTCTCATGACATATGCTATGAGAAGGGTTGTAAATGATAATGCTTGATATTTTTATGAGAGCCGGTAATTTATTTCTCTATAATTTTTGTACTCCAGTAGAATGACAAATTTAAAAACAAAATCACAGCAACATGGCAACAGATATCTGGCTATGACCAAAGACTACCCTAATACAATGCCCCACCAACCTTCATAAACTGCTATTCCAAAAGGGTGAACCACTGTATGCCCTGAGAGTGTCTGAAGGTCATCGCCATCAAGCTGTGAATGTTGAATTCTGGAAAAAAGCAAAAATGCTGCTTTGTGAACAAGTTATATGAGTTGAAAAAAAGAAAATAATTCCAGGTTAGAATCATCGTCATGTTTTGTTCCGGTAAGTAAGGCAGCCATGGTTTACATTTTTTACAGATCATCAGTGTTTAGGCTCATATTTGTGTTTTTATCCTGCTCACGCCATGATGTCATCTAAGAATTTAACTCTTTGACTTTTCTGTTACTTTTCCCATTTTGTTTCCCAGCTGTGAATAAATTTTCAAGTTTCTTTCTATTTGTAAAGTGCCTCTACAACCTTGACTACCTCAAATGTTTTAAATCAATTTATGGTTTTTGTTCTGTTTTTTTTTAAAGGCTACTCCATTCATTTATTTGTTTATCCATGGGATTCTTTGTATTTTCCTCAAAAACACATTTCCAAAACTAGATATTTCTCAAATTGTTTACTTACTGTTCATGTTTCACATGAAAACAAAAATATCTATTCTATCAAGCAGTTTAATGTTCATTTTCTAATTGAAATTAACACATTTCTATTAATGAGTATATAATATACATTGCAGAAGGATATTTTAAAAATAACCACTATATTTGCTCAGATCTCTACAAGATTTCTATGAGATCAGTATAACTGATAATTGTTGAAATTCATGTTTGATGTACCTGAATGATATATTCTCATATCTTTTTTTCCTCAAAGAAGATGGCTTCATTAGCTTTTATTTAATATTTCCCATCTGTCAACTAATTTTTTAAATAGATTTTATTGAGATCCCTGGGAATCGTCAACAGAGCTACGGGGTCACAGCTTTGTGTGATGCTCCCAGCAGGTGGCTAGCAGATCCCCTGGTAACTGCTCATAGCGTTTTTCTCCTCAGACTGTAATTATTTATTTGTGCTTCTGCACTGTACACTTTTCTGTTATCATTCCACAGATAATTATCAGCTCATGAACTGATACTTTCTATTAGACTTTGTCAAAAAGATTATATTTCTCATTTTCTTATTGCTATATATGAGTGTGAATGCTATGTACAACAAAGACACAAAAGTTTACCTATCGAAGTAAGCATCAGCCCAGTATAGCCGGTCATTGGTGAAGTCAATGGTTAAGCCATTAGGCCAGCCTAACTGATGCTTCCTTATCTGTGTGATGTTGGTGCCGTCCGTGAAACAGCGGGCAATGTAGGCACTCTGCCGAGAGTCCCTCAGCCAGTCAGAGTAGAACAAGTATCTGTTGGAGTGTGGCAAACAAAACAGTTGAGTTGGTACAAATGACAGGCAAATGCAGGAATTACTTTATCACAGGCAAATGATATCATCTTGTAACAATGAAGAATTAAACAGTACATCACAAGAACAGGGGGAGCCACCGTGGCGTAATTACTAGACGCTCACGTGCGGAGCCGGACTTTTTTCAAAAAATAAGCTTGACTCCCATGTTGACCCAGCCTTGAGTGCCAACCGGGTGCAGTAGCGGGAAGTAAAGGCGGCTGGCGTGACGCTGACCACATCATCCACCAAGTGCTGTTCGGTCTATAAAATATAGGTCTAACCCTATACACCTTAAGGCGTGGAAAAGGAACCTTGACTTTTGACTATTTCACACAAGAAAAGGGGTTAGAATATGAGATGTTCGTATCTTAAGACAGAACAAAGGTATCCTAGATCACTTTAAATATCCACAAACGCAGACTACACAATATAATCACTATAATTGTTCTAAAGTACATTTAAAATATAATGAATGTGAAAGTCTATACTCCTACAAAAGAATACAATTAATACATAAGCTATATGATATTGCATTATCGAACATAAATAGTAGTCATAAATATCCATTTTGAAATACAACACCCCCCCCCCCCCCCCCCCCAAAAAAAAAAAAAAAAAACTTGTTATACCTCAGTTAAAAGCCCTGATGGGTTGAATATCATACTGTTGTTTAAATTACTACTACTAAATATTTTCTTGTTAAAGTGGTAGCAATTATAACCTGCAATCCCACAATATGTAAACAAAGATCACGTGGTAATCTTAGACCAACATTGCGAGTGTACAAAGTAACAAGAGAATATATTATTTTACATTTTATCAACGACACACACTGATCAGCTCACCCTTTAAGTGGGTGGACCACTATGGACCTAGCATTACCCAAGTTGTTAATCAGGTCACGTCTGTCAGTTGGGTGATTGACACGGATGACGGAAACTGTGCTATGCCGGAAATCGGTGAAGAACAAATTTTTGGATATCCAGTCGTAGGTGATTCCTTCAACTGATCCAATGTCTGTCACCAGTTGAGGAATTGGATCTGAAAAAAAGTAATGAATTAATTAATAGTGGCTCAGAAAGCAAAGCAAATAAATAAACAAATTGGTTGCTACAGCAAACAGAGTGACTGTTTGTCCATGCAGAGATTTGTTTTCTTCTTGATGTTCACCAGCTGTAAACTTTGGCAAAAAGTTCTGGTTGTTTATCCACTTCTGGACCGTTAGTCTTGTCCCAGAACTTGAGTTTTGCATAAAAATTGATTTTACAATGTCGCATACCAGCTTGCCCCAATTTTAAAACACCCTGCTGTCCCAGCTGAGATAAAAAGACAAATTATAAATACAATCTTTATACCGACATTAGGTTATCAATGTCAGACTTGGACATTAACAAAAGAACATGAGAGAAGACTAACCACCTGTGAAACGAGATGTTTGAGAATGGCTGCGAATAAAACCAGAAGAGATCGAGTGAGAAACGATGTGATTACAAGAACTATTGGAACCATACCCATCGTTAAATTTATTGAGAAGCAAAGAATGAAATGGTTTGGTCACCTAATGAGAATGGAACCAACGATGCCAGCATCAAGAGCATACAACATGAAAATCGAAACAACAAGAGGCAGGGGAAGACCAAGAAGAAGATGGATTGAAGGAGTCATGGACAACTTGAGACTTCATAACATCACGGCATATGAAGCGACTGAGTGCGCCCTGGCTCGGTTGCCGATCATCTGATAGACTGCGACGCCTAGCGGCACAAGCAGATTTTGACAAAAGAAGAAAGAAGTTTATTTGTATACAGACTGTTAGTTCCTTGCTTCTCAGACAGAGGTACTCTTTGAAGGAAACACCCCTAATTAGTCAGCTTGTATGATTTGCTTATTAGGGAGGCAATGGTTGTATTCTTTTTCCCTCCAAAACAGGACTCTGAAGCCCAATTGGGTTCATGTTTCAAGTTGAGAGAATAAATATTTCTTGTGCAGGTGGACATCTTGCTGTGTACAAGCTATGTCAGAGATTATAGTTCAAACAGATCTGATTAATGATTAGTGATCAATGAGGACTATCATCACAGCACTCTCAGCAGATCCATTGTTGCTCTGATCATTTTCTCAGTAGCTGCACAAGCATGAACAGCTGATCACACACATTCTATGCTGATTAATCAAACATCTTGTACTCTTGGTAAAATGCTGATGCCTGGCACTCTAGGTTATACTCCTTTGTCCACCAGCCTGGAGAGGGATGCGGAGTCATGCCTTTCCTTTTTTTTGTCTTCCCAATATGGAACATGCATGGCACAGATGACAACATTATGACATGTCTGTGGTCAAGGCAACTAGAAGAGTACAAAGTAGACCAAAATCAAAATTTATGAAGCTTGTGACCTGAGCACACTCCTGTATGGAAGCAAAACTGTACTCCATATGAACCTCGAAAAAAAAAAAGACTAATTACCTTCCACATACATGGTACAAGATGCATTCGTGGTTTATCATAGCAAGACTTTAGCCCCTATGAATGCATACTCAGAAAAGTAGGAATGCCAACAATTTACAATTGATTGAAGCAAATACACCTGTGCTGGTTGGTACATGTCTCCTGCAGGGAAGATGGTTGTTTTCCATTTAAAAAATCTCCTTATGGTGAACTAAAAACAGGGAAAAGATCTACAGGAAGGCCAAAGTTACACTATAAGGATATTTGCAGAGGTGACCTGAAAAATGCCAACACTGACACAGATACTTGGGAGAAATAGCTGCAGACCATAAGAAGACAGTAACATTTGGACTGCTGCATTCTGAAAGGGACCTAATGCAGCAAACTACAGAGATGCCTGAGACAGAGACCGCTACTCTCGTACAGGTCTTGAAGTGATGAGAGCAAATGCTGTTCCTAAAACCAGCAGTACAGCTTCATGGTTCCTAGGGAATGACAGTTGTCTACTATACTTTAATGTAGTAGATTTATTATTTTTGAACTTAATTCATTTGAATACTTTTTAAACATCCTCAATAATTCTAACACAAGTGACAAAATACAGTAAAAATTTAATACAAACCAGAGCTTCCAATCTTTCCTCTGTAAATGACACGGTTTCTGACATCAGAAAAGAACACCGTCTCATTTTCTGCATCATAATCCAAGGCCACATAATTGACACCCAGTCGGCCCCAACGCTGGCCTACAATGGGTGGGATAGCATCTGTAGAGGACTGGCCTGGTTCTCCCAAGGCAACACCCCGAATACATCGAGGGGAAGCAAACAGAATAAACTTCTCAATCTCTGAAACAAAAATCAAGAATTTCATTCAATCACTGTCAAAATTAGTGCTGTTGGCACTTTTCTGTTTTTCCAGACAATATACTGCAAATGAATTACAGCCCATGGTGATGGGCAATTAAGCCCAAGGGTTTACTTTACACTAACACAAAGTGTGGGTATTATTGTAGAGACTATGTGTTGCTCATTTAGCATGATCCCACACTTGGTCTGCCTTGTTTACTCTAAAGGAAAGTTAACACCAATAAGTCTGTGTTAAAGTATGCTACAGCGTCTGTCTGTCCAGCTCTTGGACATAAAAACATAAAAAACAATGTCCAAGCAAAAAAAAAAGTGTAAAAAGTAACGTTGAGATCAAGCAAAAATGAGGTTTTAAAAACAAAACAAAAAGAGTAAAACATCTGAAGCAAAATCATAAAACTTACTGGTACAATTTGCCTGGTCGCTGTCCAGCTGGTAGCCAGTCCTGCACAGACACCTGTAGCCTAGCCCATTGTTGTCTGTGCTGTGGGAGACTGTACAAATGTCTTGGCAAGGATTCTTTAGACACGGGTTTCCATCTACAATAGAAGTTTCAGAAAGATTAATATGTTTTAAAAAAATAAGTATGTGTTGCAATTGCAGAAGCAGTAGAAGAAAAGTAACAGGGTGAGAAGAAAAAGAAAAATAGAGGAGTTGGTGATGGATGGGGAGGAGGAGGTGAAAACAAAGAAGAAGGGGAGGAAGAAGAGGAAGAAAGAAAAGAAGCAAACAACAACAGGAATCCCTACCTTTAATGCCTTAAAGTATATTGTGTATATGGTACTAGTTTTATTTTATTAGAGCAATGGGCACTCAGCAAGTTATATACTTAATAATACCTCATCAGCCACTTTGCACAACTTTTCCTGGGGCCTACTGTAGACTGGGTTTACCTGAAAGCCCATAATATTTTTTAAAATCTTTGTCAATATAATGGTAATCAAAGTTCCAGATTCATAGCACGTGGGTCGTCCTATAGTGGCTCCATTCATGTACCAACAAAAACCACACAGAATGTTCACTTTGGAGGAAGAGGATAGAATGTCCACTTTGGAGGAAGAGGAGAAATGTCCACTTTGGAGGAAGAGGAGGAATGTCCACTTTGGAGGAAGAGGAGGAATGTCCACTTTGGAGGAAGAGGATGAAATGAGGAAGAGGAGGAATGTCCACTTTGGAGGAAGAGGAGGAATGTCCACTTTGGAAGAGGATGAAATGAGGAAGAGGAGGAATGTCCACTTTGGAGGAAGAGGATGAAATGAGGAAGAGGAGGAATGTCCACTTTGGAGGAAGAGGAGGAATGTCCACTTTGGAGGAAGAGGATGAAATGAGGAAGAGGAGGAATGTCCACTTTGGAGGAAGAGGATGAAATGAGGAAGAGGAGGAATGTCCACTTTGGAGGAAGAGGATGAAATGAGAATGTCCACTTTGGAGGAAGAGGATGAAATGAGGAAGAGGAGGAATGTCCACTTTGGAGGAAGAGGATGAAATGAGGAAGAGGAGGAATGTCCACTTTGGAGGAAGAGGAGAAATGTCCACTTTGGAGGAAGAGGAGGAATGTCCACTTTGGAGGAAGAGGATGAAATGAGGAAGAGGAGGAATGTCCACTTTGGAGGAAGAGGAGAAATGTCCACTTTGGAGGAAGAGGAGGAATGTCCACTTTGGAAGAAGAGGATGAAATGAGGAAGAGGAGGAATGTCCACTTTGGAGGAAGAGGATGAAATGAGGAAGAGGAGGAATGTCCACTTTGGAGGAAGAGGATGAAATGAGGAAGAGGAGGAATGTCCACTTTGGAGGAAAAGGTGGAACGGCAGATGTTGATAATGGAATTATAGAAGATCAGGAAGTGGCAAAAACAGCTATAAAAAACAAAAACAGTCTATAGAATCAGTGTTGGCAGAAAGAGTGAGAAAGAGAGAGAGAGAGAGAGAGAGTGTGTGTGTGTGTGTGTGTCAGAAGGGAACCAAGAGACAAACCACTAAAAAAAAACTCAGTTTTTTTCATAAAAGGGTAATCCCATAGCTGCTCCACTCCTGTGTCAACACAAACCACACAGAATGTCCACTGTGGAGAAAGAGTTTGGAATGTCCACAGTGGAGGAAGAGGAGAATTGCAGAGTTTGATTTAGGAATCGGAGAAGAACAGGCAGAAACAGCTGAAGCCTGTAGAAACAGTACTGCCAGAGTGTGTGTCAGAAGAGCCCCAACAGACAAGCAACCAAGGAAAAACTCAACAGAAAGCAAAAAAAAAAAGCTCTAAATATAAGACATGAAATGATGCTGTGGATGGCAAAGTAGCAGCACCTGTCTAGGCAGTCCTTACGAGCACCAGCAACCACCAAATGTGACCAACAGTAGGGAACCTTAAAATAACCCTTGGCGGACATGAAAGATGAGCTACCAATCAGAAAATATTATTTACAATTAAAACAATCTGATAAACATAGAAGTTGTGGCCAAAAGCTTACATGAGCTGTTTGAATGTGATCAAAATGTGTGTAGTTCTTCAACTAAAGAACAATCTCTCCCATTGTCACTACAAGTTGACCCACATAATGACTGCATTCATTTTAATGTTTTGGATAAGTAGTCTCTTTAAAAATATCAGGATTCATAATTGTATACTTTCCTGAGGAATTGTAATTTTCCTGTAAAGTAAAGGACCCTTTTTCACACCTTTAGGCGTAAAGGGCATATAGGGCTAGACCTATATTTTATAGATCAATCAGCAAAAGATGGGTGATGTGGTTAGCATCACGCCGGCCGCCTCTACTTCCCAGGACTGCACCCAGTACCTACTCAAGGCTGGGGCGATCTGCAAGCCAAGGTCATTTTTTAAAAAAAAGTCCAGCTCTGTCAGGCAGCAAACCTAAGACCTTCCGAATCCGGGTGAGCGCCTAGCCGCTCCACCACAGCGACTCCCCAATTTTCCTGTAAATAATGTATTTAAAAAATTCAAAATTAACCGTTTCCATCACCTCTGAAAACAAGCGTCTGCAGGGACTGATGAGCAAGAACAACTGAAGTAGGGATGCCAACATCCATCCTATAAATCTGTATCAAACTTTGAGGATCTGAGGCTGCATCAGTCTTGTTCACTCGGATCACGCCCAACTTGGTGATGTCAGCAAAAAACAGCTGGTTCTCAAAAGAAGCCAAGGCGACTGGGGCTGGAATACGCAGTCCTCCTGAGATGATTGTTCGTCTGCAAGGAGCATCAGCATGGACAAGTTTAAATGAATTCCTAATATTTAACTTAAAAATATTTTAACTCTAATGTAAATCAGTACTGTTTGTATGAAGCGAACATTAATTAACTGGTGCTTGCGGAATTAAATGGTATGACAGAATCACAACTGTGTAGCTTGGGAGAAAACTAAACAAATTCCAATGAATCAAGAGATGAAGACAAAATGCTAGTACCAGACTGGATACATGTTGAGAAAACCTGAGATAGGCTTTATACTGGAACCTACAGGGGCAAAGAAATAAAGGCAGACCAAAAGCATATGGAGAAGGGAGCTAGAGCATGAAATTCAAGACTGGAAGGACACTGACTGAACTGCATGCAATAGCAAAAGATGGGACAATTTGGTGTGAGTTGGCAGAGTGCATATGCTCCAATGGGGGGGGGGGGGGGGGGGGGGGATAAAGGGCAGAAGAGGAGAGAAGAAAGGATCATCAAGATAATTCATGTTTATAGTCTATTTCTTTTTCTTCTTGCATTCACCGGCTGTAAACTTCAGGGAAAAGTTCTGCACTTTAGTCTTGTTCCAGAACTTGAGTTTTGCGTACACATTCATTTCACAGATTTGGCTTATTTCATGCAGACTGTTAGTTCCTCATCTCAGGCAGATGCACTCTGACTTCGAAAGAAACACTCATAATTAGTAGATTTTATGGGTGAATGGGTCTAGAGTCTATCTCCCCCCCCCCCCCCCCCCCCCATACTAAGGAACCCAGGAACCCATATAGAGATATAGATTGTTTAATATTTACGATTTTATATAATCCCAGCCTCAAATAAAAACCTCCCTGTATGCCTCCTAAAGCCTTATTTAGGAAAGGTAAAAGAGGGGGGGGGGGGAGAAGGCTTACTACCCCCTTAATCAGCATGTCATAAAAGGTGACCAATTAAGAGTTTTACAAATGCTTGGGGGGGGGGGGGGGGGTTGTGTGTGTGGGAGGAGGGGGCGTTTACAGGCTATGAATTCTGGCTGAAAGTCCTGGTTATTTGTCTGTCTGTACTTTGGCTTTATACCAGGACCTGCGTTTTGAGTGTACATCCATTTTACTGGCTTTATTTGTGTGCAGTTCTTATTCCCTGCTCCTCAAGCAGATGTATTCCGACTTTGAAGGAATATGTCATTCCTACCTCTAGGATGACTATGGCCATTGTTTCGTGAGACACGATTTTGCCTAATTTATGTGGTGTCCACTTTGTCTGCAGCTGTTCCCCTGATGAACCCATTTAGGGCAACCTCGTGCAGACTGGGCAGCCCTCAAGGGACAGCAGATCATCAGCATTCCCTGCCATCCAAAGAGGCTTCTATAAATGTAGAGCCAACATATAATGCTCTGGTCCTGGGCTCAAATGACCGCTTAACCTCACAACCATATGTTGAGAGTTTTCCCACTCATCACAGGCGGCATCCTCCAGAGATCAGTAGGTGGTCCAGGACTTTGATGACCACAAAAGTAGGTACATTCTTCTTCATCACGTTAGACACTTTTGATGATGTTTCAACTGTGCCCTTAGCATGACAGCATGGAGAGACATGCATCAGGCATGGCTTCACCTGTTTGGTCTCAACACTCAGGTGAGTGGGGCTAATGGTAACAGACAGTTGAACCTTTATGGTAATCAGTAGGATTTGTGATGGCCGGACATTAGGACTTTTCTGGTGTGCCATAGAATGTAATTTTGTCAGACATTGAGACTTTTCTGGTGCGCCATAGGACATAATTTTGATAAACATTGAGACTTTTCTGGTGTGCCATAGAATGTATTTTTTGGGACATTTGAGCCTAAATAACAGAGAGTCAGTGGCTGTCATGGTGTCCCTCAAGGTAGTGATGATGAAGTTGAGGGTCGATAAAGAATGTACAGAGACAAGATTTTTACCACAAGAAACTGCCCACAGGTGATGTAGCTCATCCAAGCTGCGTACAAATCTCTTGTTCAAGGGCTGAGTCTCAGCAGTTTAATTATTCTTTCACTCAACAGACGTTTTAACCAAGAGTTGTCATTTAGGGTACATTCTGCAAGTGGACTTTACTCAATGTTCCAAATGAGTTTGTGATGGATTTTTCACGCATGCACTTGGGGTGGGCTGATGACAGCCAGACTTGACGCTACATCTCTGGGAGCAACCAACTCTGAGATCCCCTGCCAGCTCAATTAATGCTTATTTAAGACATTATCCATGGTGCATGATGAGGACATGTAGCAGGAGTCATGCATGAGCTTCCATAAAACCAGCACAGAGAACGCTGGTGCACGGGGTGAGATACAGAGTGTCTCCTTAAACTTGTCACAATAG